TGGGAGATTAGTATATTCAGAGTCTTATTGTTCTTCCTAATGGCCTATTCAGGCTGATGGCCTACTGTCTGGTGGGCATTTCCCAGGTGCAAACACTTTTGCAATTGATAGTGTTTATATTCCTAACTTTGGATACAGCCATGATACATGCATACAAATAGGATAATCATATTCGATAAATCATAACCTTTCAACTGATATCTCACAAGACCCATTTTGCATCCAATACATTGTAGTTATGCCATATTCATATCATAAGCATATTTCTATGAAGAATATGGGCGTGATGTGACACTCACTTTTTTCTATTTGGTTCCATAGCACATGTCCTCTCTCCCTTGGCCCCATGCATGCTCTGCATTCCGGCCTGCCTTCCAAGCAACACCACCAGTCAGTTATCTCTAGAAAGATCTGAGCTGAACAAAGCCGAGCGGTCTGAGATTGCTTTCCAGCAGCCACATAGTTTCTATTGATTCACTTTCCTTTAGTGTTTAAGTTACTGTAGACCAACAGAACAAAGATATCCTGGGGATATCAATAGCTGTTGCATTTTTAAAACAGCAACCCTCAGGGCAGGTAGGCAAAGAGAAATTGCCTGATGCCTGTCATTGTGGGCATGAGAGCTGAAGGTTTATATAAGAGCATGAATTGGGCCATGTTTGATATTCATTGGGAGACCTGCAGCTGATACCTTATGCAGGTGCTGCTTCTTTGACTATGGAAGTGGATGGGTTTTGCTGCCGGCCATGTTAGTGCAGCCTGAGTCCAGCACCAGCATGCATGGTAGACCTGACAGCTGCAGCAGTGCATTTAAAGGAGGCCAAGCTAATCACTGTCTTTCCTGGCAAATACCTTCGTTCAGTGGAGCCACCTGAGGAAGTTACTCATTAACCCTATCTGAGCAATTAGCTTCGCTGCCAATGGTAACCTGGCTGAAATGAATTGAGAGACTCAGATTTTTGATTCAGAGAAGACCGTGAGTGTTTGCTAACTTACTGAGAATAATCTGTAGTTTTGATTCTTTTTCTTTCCCTCCCTTCTTTCAGCCTCCACCAGTCTGCCCCTCCTCATCCTCCTCTTCCCCCTCAGACTCTTCAAGCTACTGGTCCCTGATCCTTCCTTTGTCCCTCCTCCAAGATCAGCTCTCTGGCTTGTTCCACAGACTCTCAATACTTCTCTTTCCTTTCCTGACTTCCAACGGCCTTGACCCCAAAAGGTTCCATGCTCATGGTGCTATCCTGCCAAGTTGGTTCCATCTTCTCAGTAGGTCTGGCAGCCTCTGCTGAGCTACTTGTTATTGTCAGGTCTCTCTCTCTGGCTCTGCTAGATCAGAGATAACTCAGAAGTTATCACACCCCAGAGAAAGATAAAGTGTGAAGACAACATCTGCCTTAGTAGAGGCTTCCAGAGCTGTTGAGATCCTGCATTGGTTTTGCAGGATCATTGCCAAAGGCAGGGGAGGCAACCGGGAATCGGAGCAAGATGGAGAAGGGGGAGTACTTAACCAAATGGATCTGACCTTCAAATAGTGCTGGTTTGCATCCGCGTCTGGCTTGAGCAGGGATCTGCTTGGTTTCCAATGAAGTGTGCTGCATCCTGCCTGTCCCGAAACTCACCCTGCCTAAAACTTGCCCATCCTGTTCCAATTCCTTCCTCTTTGTTGCCTGTGTTCAAAGTGAAACTTGCCAATGACTGTAGTGAGTTTCACTTTGCAGATAGGGGTTGGGGCAGTAAATGAGGGTGAAAAATAGTCACTGATTCAGAGCAATCTTAATTGCCCTGACTGATCTGGGTTCAGTAAAATAACATATGCTTTAAAGCAGCCAAATGCAGGGACATACCGTAAGGAGCAGAGAACATAAGCCATGTTTACAGAATGGGGAGCTTATTTTGGAAAGCAGTGACTCTGGAAAGGACTTAGGGGTCATTGCAGACAATCAGCTGACCATGAGCTCCCGATGCGATCCTGTGTCCCAGAGGGCTTCTGCAGTCCTCCAGTGTGTAAATGAGAATGTCAGGAAGATGGTGTAACTTGCTCATGTGGCATTGGTGAGTCCACTGCAGCAATACTGTGTTTCATTCTGGTGTCCATGCTTGAAAAAAAATGGTGAAAAATTGGAGGGTGTTTGGAGATGTACTACACGAAGGATTCAAGGTCTGGAAAACCTGCTTTAGGATGAGAGAATTAAGGAGCTCCATCCATGTACCATATTGAAGAGAAGGTTGAGAGCGGTCTTGATAACAACCTGTAAGTACCTACAAAGGAAGAGTACACCTGATTTCAAGGGCCCCCTAAATTTAGCATAACAAAATCCAATGGCTGGAAGTTGAAGTTAGAAAAATTGAAATTGGAAATCAGATACAACTTTCTGTCAGCGAGGGAAATTAACCACTGGTTAATTTTGCGAAGGAAAGTGGTAAATTTATCATCATTTGCAATCTTTAAATTGAGCCTGGATCTCTGCTCTAATTTGATCACAAATTTATGGGCTTGATAGTGGTCACCCATGAAATGGAATAATGGCCTTCTCCGCAGGAATTACTGGTGAAATTCTGCAGCCTGTGTGTTGATCTCTTCCGGCTTAAAATGTGTGACTCAGACTGCCCATAATGCTCTAGAGCAATCAGGACAGAGAAAGGGAGGAAGAGTGAGGCAAGAAGAAACAGGAGGGAAGAAGATGAGGAAGAGAGCAGCAAATTGCAAGGGAACAGAAGGGGAAGAGAGAAAAGGGTAGAGAGAAGAGCAATCGATAGTAGGAAGGGATGATAGAGGAGGAAGGATGGTCTAGTGAACAGAGCACTGGACTTGGACTCAGGAACGTTAGGGCCAATTCTTGTGTGACCTTGGGCAAGTCACTTAGTCTCTCTGTACCTCAGATCCCCATCTGTTCACTGGGGGTAATAGCACTGCTCTGCCTCAAAGGGGTTTTGTGAGGGTAAAATCCCTTAATGGTCGGGAGCTTCTCAGCTGCTATGGTGATGAGGGTGATATAAGTAGCTAGACAGATGCTCCAGCTTGTTAATAAAACAGAAACAACAGGGAAGAATGCTGTGTACTCCAGCAGATAAAAGAGGAATTAAAACACTTGGAATAAATCGGGGGGGAGGGGGGGAATAAGTGACCTCTTACTTTTGTGGAAATGAACATGTTTAGAGTCAGTGGCAGCCATCTACCCTGGTCACTAATTGCAGTATCCTCTCCTTCGTTCTGTCCTCGCTTGCCCTGCAAAAGTTAGGCATGTTTCTCTTTTATTGGAAACAAACCCATTCTCATCTATTCTGGGGCAGATCGCTGCGGAGCATGGGTCTGTTCTTTTTTTTTTTTAAATGGGCTTCTCTGCTATCCCTATTTTAAATAAATGTGCATTAGATAATGAAATTTAAGCTCCCCAACACAGATCATTTATTCCCTCACGAGTTGTTGTTGTTGCCTTCTGGTTTTTGCGTGTTGTACAGTCTGGGTACCATAATTGCAGCTCCTTCTGTGTTAGAAATAGCTTTCATATACCGTTTGAATTTGTGAATGCAAGTGCTGCTGAGATGATGTGAACATCACTGCAGAACCTCCGGTATAACCACACTGGAGGATTGCATCTTACTTTACAAATGGCAAACACAGTTGTGTTTTCCTGAGAGGTGGGTTTCATGAATGTCTGCATGTTCAGGACATACGCCTTTAGGATTCTGTTTCACCCCACCTTCCATAGGGTGGGAATACAAGCATAGACGTGTCTTGTGAGACAAAAAGTTGAGAAAATCTTTAGAACATATATGGGTGTAATCAGGAAAAAAAATCTAATTCTGAAAGTGCTGTAATTTGCACAGGGTGGGTGAGTACTGGCAGCATGATTTAACATGATGTAACAGCCACACAAAGACCATGAAAGGCTAACCAGAGTCGGCTGGATTTTCCTCTCAATTAAACTCATAGTCTCAAAGTGAATTGGGTCTCACAGCTATGTAGGAGAGCAGAATTTAGCTCCATACAGTCATTCATTTCTCTGCAAAAAAATTAGTATGTTGAAAGGTTGCTCGAGTCCTGTGCATGTATGAGTATCATCTTCTGCTTAAGAGAGAGCATATCCATTGCCTGAATGGTGTATGTATGTAATATAGCGCCGGAATATCCAAACAATTACTGGGTGATGGCCTTACTGCAGAGTTTACCCAAAGATAAAGATATTAGCCTGCTCATTATAATTGGGGCATTTCCATTCTCTTCTTTTGGCCATATAAGGGAAAAGATTCACAGTGCACAATGTGCACTTTCATGGGAACCTGCCACAAAGAGACAGTTTCAACCTGTCCCCATGAATTACTAGCTCCCAGCAAACTATGATTCCATGACATAATTCCTTCCCTGTTCAGACAGAATCAGTCGGGGGGAAGAGTTCAGCAGCCCATAGCCATCAATGCAGAGTTTTTGGAGGGTAGTAAAAATCATTTCCAGAAGGGTGGCCTTTCTTTTTCTTTGGCAATGGCAGTTTGCTTAGATGAACCCCCTCCCACCCCCCAACACCTTTTGCAATCAGATCCTCATGGACAGACCTTTGCACTCTCATGTAGTTCCATTGATATCCATGGGTCCTTGCAGGAGTCTGCCTGTAAAGATCTGGTGGTTTTGTTTACATGTAATGCAGGGCAGACTGTTTCCACCTAGTACCATGAAGCCCAAATCCTGGTCAATACTATACCAATACGTATATTTTACAATAATCAAAGTTGCTCCTCTAAGTGTCTAATTGTAGCCGCAGGCGCTATTCTATATTGCACGTAGCTATTTTGCAGATGCAAAATTGGGATGTAAATGGAGTTCCCCAAAAGCGTGACTAGCTTAGATGAAAATACCAAACTCAATACACCAGTGATTTTTGAAAGCACAAAAAGCCCATGTTATTTTAGGAGTGAAAGTGCAAATAGGCAAAGTGCTACAAAACTCATTTTTAAAAACTCAGTGGCAATGTGGTTTTTCATTAATCTGTTAATCTTTTTCCTTTAAGCTTGTCATGAGTCCTGCTCTGCATGCTGGGGGCCTGCAGAGAACAACTGCTTGGCCTGCAAGGACGGGTCTCACGTTTTAAATGCCGGGCTCTGTGTGGCCAACTGTGGTCATGGGTTTTATGTGAAGAATGGAATCTGCAATGGTAAATCTTTGTTTCTCTTTTTCTCTGACATGAACTTTGCACGTGCATGACAGAAGGGAATCAATATGTTGTGTAGCCAGCCAGCAAACACGATTGTAGATGTATATCTGAGAGACCAGACACACCCTATTCCATAAATGTTTAGTGAGAAATGCTGCTTCTTGTTTATAAGATTTACTAGCTCATTTAAAATGATCAGGTGCTGAAAGGTTTAAGGCTGTTTTGTTCACTGAGCAGCATGAAAGCAAAAATGAGATGATTCTTTGGGCTTGACACATCTGCTTGACTGTGGAAAGAGCAACGACTTTTGCAAGCAGATTGCTTGAAGATGTGCAATAATCCACAGCTCGGTGACGAAACAATGCCTGCAGCATGGGGGAATCTTTTGAAGGACAGGGAGAAAGAGAAGGAAAGGGGGGCAACGAATATAAGTGTTTAGAGACAGGTAGAGCTGGGCAGATAATGAGAAAAAACGAAGGAGTTGCCAGAGTGGATCAGACCCAAGGTCCATCTAGTGTACTAACCTATCTCTGCCAGTGGTCGCTACCAGCTGCATCAGAGGAGGTGAGACAAACCCTTCAGTAGGCGGATGTGGGATAATCTGCCCTTCCTAAGAGTTTCTGATGTCCCAGCTACCTGAAGGAAATTGGCACTGGGGTGATTACGTGGTGGTTGTTGCACTTTACAAATGCCGAAAGTAAGCATGCTGCCTCAGCTATCCCGGGAACTCGCCAAAGTGAGATGAACAGGGGCAAACTCATGTACGTGAGGGGCTGGCTCTGCATCGATGTTGTTCGTTGTCATTCGTGTCGTGCAAAGCACTGTCGCATCACATCGCAATGAATGGTAAAATCACAGCACGCAGGAGTCGCTGTCCAGCCATCTTCCGCCACGTTTCACGGTCTTCACGCAGCCTTAAGAAGTGCACCATACTGCCTCCCATCCAGCCGGCCACATCGTCAGACCACGCTCGCTGTGGGTGTCCCCTTCCGCTGGCATTTGACACCAATCGCTGCAAACCTTGCTCTGGCAATCTTACTCTGCTCATCCAACCCATGTGTCCCGCAAACTCCAATTCTCGTCTGAAAGTCTTGATGATATCAGCTGTCACTCCATTTATGCTGTAAATTCGGGTGATTACCTTCTTGTTAGTCCTGTGGGAGGTATAGCTAATGCGCAGCTGTCACCGGTAGCATTTCAATTCAAAGGCAGAAAGCCTCTTGGGTGTCTGTTGTCTTAGCATCCGTATCTCACGCACACGCAGGCAAGAGACTGCAGCAGTGTCATTTTATACTTCATGGTAATACCTTTGCTTCTCCAGATGTGGTTGAATGTTGCTAGAGCAGCCATCATGAATCCAGTTCTATGTCTGGTGTCTCTAAGAGTTCGGCATCCCTTGTCGTCACACTACCCAGCTCTTTGGAGTGCTCACCACACTCCAGTGCCTCCTCAGATGTGGGTAGGAATATCTTCGCCTTTTCAACAGACTTAGATGTCACCATTGCTCTTGTCTTTTTCTTTGATCTCTGTATATCTAATTTCGCTGCTTTCCTCGCTGCCCTGTCTAGAAATTTTTGCACCTCTTCTTGTGACCATCCAATCAGGTGAATATCACTGGCGAAACACAGATGACTAATTGTTTGTCCACGTGTACACCCTCCTGTAGGTTTCCATCAGTGGCTCTTCTTACAGTTTCTTCAAGATAACCGTTGAAAAGGGTCAGGAATAGCATGCAGCCTTGCCTGACTCCTATCCTCAAGTCAAACCAACTGCTTTGCTCATACCCCGCAAACACCAAAGCCGTTGCACTGCTGTAGAGCTTTTGTATCTGCTGTATTACATTTTCACCAACTCCAACCAGCCGCAGGATTGTCCAAAGAGGCTTATGCCATCTGCTTCAGCAAAATCCATGAGGACATGGACCGCCTTCCCGCTGTTTCCTAGCACTAGCTTGCATAGCACATGCAGATTGAATATTTGCTCCACCGTGTCTCTTTTGGATCTAAACCCAGCTTGTTCTTCAGCCAGAAAGTTCTCTCTCTTGGGCTTTCTCTTCAGGATGGTGCTCAGCATTATTTTGCTAGGGCTATATCAATAATGAGATTGTGGAAATTATTGCACAAACAGCTGGGTTCCCATTTTTATGAACAGGAACCATCAGGGTCTGTGTCCAAGTCTTGGTCCGTATTCCAGATTCCCAAATCATGAGCTTATGGGGTGTGTGTATGAGTGTCTCTCCATCACTTTTAATTGATTCTGCTGGTATGTTATCTCTGTAGTTACACCTCTACAGATGTCCTTAGTAATACTTATGGTTACGAAGAAAACCCTCTGAATGCAAACTGATGTCTGCTGCATTCAGAAAATGTGAAAGAGGGCTGTGACCTTTCCACCTTACATTCATCTCAATGGGGTGTTAACTCTCAAGTCTCTTTCTGATGGAAAATGAAAATTGTAGACATTGCTAAGAATTTATCTGGATCGGGAGCAGATGGGACATAAGCCTATTTTTTTCAAATCTACAATTCCTGAGAAGAAAACCTTTAGGATTTTCGGAGCCTCCAGAGGCCATGTCTCACTGATTCTTTACTGACAATTTTCCACTGTTGCTGTAATAAAAGTGCATCTCCACTGGTGATAGCAGTAGTGAGAGCACTAGTGCAGAGCAGCTGCTGCTGTTTCTACTATGGTGTAACTCAGAATTCCACAAGTTCTTTAGGGCAATTAGAGATCTGTTCTGACTTTTTTCATATATGTTACTCGGCATGCAGTGAAAGGCAAGAGGAAGGGTTTGATTTACTGTAACATTTGAAAGTGTCTCCGTAACAAGGAAGGAGCTGGGCATGACTATATTTTGCTATATTGTATACATACAACCAGATTGGAAACACTGCTGTTCCTTTCATAATGGTGCATTTCATTAATGATCTGTCCTCTTGGCAGCTTGTGACCAGTCCTGTGAAATATGTTATTCAGACCAACCCAGATGTTTAACCTGTGCTTCAGATAAGGTGTCACACAGTGGGAAATGCATTTCAGAATGCCCTGGTGGGTATTACACAGACAACACTCGGAGATGCAGAGGTAAGAGGCATTTCTGCTTGGCACTTGTTGCATGACCTTTCTGATGACCTTCAAGGCACATTCCGAAGCTCATCTTCTTTTACGAGTGGGTGGGGTACAGAATTATTTGAGGAGACGGGGTTTGAGTTTTTAAGTTGCTCAGTTAACTCGGGGTGGATTATTTTAAAATGATCTCCTTTGCAAAGCGTTTTGAGATCTATGAGTGAAAAGCACTATGCAACAGGAAATTATTTTTCTTATAATTTATTATCCTCACTGTCATTACTTTAACATGTGACCGAATACTGTGGATGTGTGCGGAGTGAGAGATGACTTGGTTGGCAGCATGGTACAGTAGCCGGCAGCATGACTACAAGGAGATTAAGTATGCTATTCCACTTATATGCTCTCTGTTTCTCCACCAGCTTGTCACAATTCTTGTGCCAGTTGTATTGGACCATTGGCTACCCAATGCACTTCCTGTTCCCTTTCTCTGGGATTGCACCAGGGCCAGTGTCTGCCTGCCTGCGGAGAAGGCTTTTATCACGATCACAATGTCTGCAAAGGTAAACTATGTATTCTGAACCAGATCCTCAGTAAAATTCCATTAGCTGATTTAGAGCAGCTGAGAGTGCCCCATTACCGTATACTGAAGTAAGGTGAGGTGTGTGAAATTCCCACTTTTTGCTTCATTTTCCCCCCACAACAAACACACACAAATGATTATTTTTTTATTTTTTTTTCCCCCAGGGTTTGCTCCCTCTGGAGATTTCCTCCCTCCCTATATTGTTACAGTAGGCCAACATGACAATGTTTCCTATATTTTTCTGATGACAGTTAACTTTGCATACAATTTCATATTAAAATTCAATGGATTTGCTCATGCAAAAGGTAATTTCCCCTGGGCTGCAAAGGAAAGTATGAACATTCAGGGGACTCAGTTTACAGTTCTCATAAACCCTTCAAAACCCTCCTTTTCCCCTCCTCCCCATCTCCCCCCAGCTTCCCCAACAACACAGTGTTGGTTTAGGCAGCTCTACAGGTAAAAGGAAAATGGAGTTGCCTAAAACACCAAGCTGCCGTGTGCTCCCCTTTAGGATTTTGAAAAAAAATAGGTTTTATTTTTTAATTGGGAAAAGATGTCAAATCTGTTTTCACCATTTCATTATATAAAACAAAGCATCCCATTGGATTGTGGAATAGCCTCCCAAAGGAGGCTGCGCATACCCCATTAGTTAACTCATTTAAAATTATCTGGTGGGATTTTCAGATGCATTGGCCTAATTCTGCTCCTTTGGAAATGGGTGATAAAACTCCCATTCCCTTCAATGGGAGTCGAATTTGGCGGGTGCTTGAGAGAAACCCACCCACGCGTAATGCTTGACGAATCTCCTGTAAGGAGCAATTCAACACTCCGAGGTGGCTGAAGAAGATGATTTATCTATTTTTTTTCCCACCAGCTCTCATTTTTATGACAGGATTCTGTGGTTTGCCTTCAGATTATCTGGCTTCTGTCAGTTTAAGGATGATGTCCTTTGATCCATGACTTCATATTCCATTGCTCTTGTACAGGTTGCCATCCATCTTGCCGTGCCTGTGTGGGGCCAGAGAACTCTCACTGCACCCAGTGCAGGAAGCCAGAGGAGGTATTGCAGCCTGGACAGCTCCTCGAGGGAGCACCGTATGGCATTTGCCTTTCTCAGTGCAAAGCCCGATTCTACCTCGAGAACACCAGAGTGTGCAGAGGTGAGGAAAAGAGCTGGCCAAATGATACTTAAGTGCTTTCAGCGTACGTGCTGGTCTTCATTAGGTTTTAAATACAGTATTGGGAATGACTGATGGTGTGTGTGTGTGTGATACTGGATGTGCTTGTGACATGCTACAAGCTACTGTCTGGCTTGTGGCACCAATAAGTTATCAACCTGAAACGTGTAGCGTTTCGTAACCTAAATGTGCTCAGCTGATGTTTGTCCTGAATGCTGGTGTTTTTGAGAGAAAATATCATTTTAAAAATGTGTAAGATTCTAGCAGGTCCAGGTACGTTTTTATGGCTCCTAGAGTAGGTCTGCATTGGTGTTCCCGCTCCATTGAACACAATGGTAGGAGTTTCACCAGTGACTTCAACTGGAGCAGGAGCAAGCTCCAAGTGCGGAAATTCTTGCAGGGGTTGCAGAAAATGTTTAGTTGCCTTGCTTGTTCCTGAAGCAGTTTAACAGGAGTGCTGCTTTTGTAAAGAACTGTATGAGCAAGTCTGCACCCAGCACACCTTTCAGCCATGGCTATCTTAATGCATTCTGGGTATCCTGATGGACCTATCCCATCATGCCCAGCACTGTGACTGGGAACAGAGACTTTTAGGTAAATTCCAAACAGAAGGCCTTACATTGTGGGATGGTGTTAGGAGGACAGGCTGAAGTGATACAGGTGGAATGCTTGTGGCTTCCCAGCCATGCTGAGAGGAAACCGTTGTAGATGGCACTGGGTCAGCCAAACCCAGACTATATGAGTGATGGTCTGGATGTTGCAACCAGCTAGTAGAACCAATGGCTGCATACAGCTTGGGACAGCTTTGCAAGCAGGTACACGGCACAGTTTGCTACAACCACTTTTCACGCAGTGCAGGCAGGGCCGGTGAAGAGTTTACTGTGGAAGCCTGGAACCAGCTCAGCCCACCTTCAGACTTAGGCTGTGTGTACACTGGAGCCGGGGGTGGAAGTTCCAGGTAGGCAAACTCACAAGCTAGTGTGCTGACAGCAGTAGCGTAGCTGCAGGAATGCAAGCAGTGGGATGGGCTAGCCGCTCGAGTACAATCCCCTCCGAAACCCTGGGGACATACTCAGGACAGCTAGCCTCTCCCACTGCCCCTGCAACTGCTGTTAGTTTGAGAGCGCTGGCTTGATCAGATTTAGCGCAGGCATGACACCGCCAACCAGAGTCTGAAGTGAAATGGTACTTCTACAAATGACAGCTCTGCAGAAAGAGTCCCACGAGCCCCTACGCAGAATGAGCATTCTCATAGGCTAGATACTCTACAACTGTACAGCCTATTCGGCTAATTTGAGTGCTTCCCCCATACAAGCTTTGTGTTTGCTGGCGATGACTGTAACATAAAACTTATCTAGTGTATTCGTTTCACAGAAATTTGCTGGAGGGTCATTTCTTGCCTTAGAGGTGCTTAAAAGAGAAAAACACATTGTTAACACAACAAGATCGTTCTGCAAAACAATCAGCTGTACAGGCTGTAACAGGTACAGCGCTCTGGTTCTCCTCTCAAAGGCGTCCGCGTCAGGTTTGTATCCATCTTACAGTCAGCTGAACAGGTGCCAAGTGAAAGGAATTTGCACGTATGTAGATTTAAGCGATTAAGAGGCAAGCAAGAGAAGAGAACATCTCTTGATTGTCCTAAGTGTTTTCTGTGCCAGCCTCAAATCCATAATTCAATCACTCTTGACATTTTTCTTCAAATAACATTCCAGTCATTGTTTTCAGCGCAATTGCAGTTCTGTGCGTGGGGATGGATAACAAGAACTTGTTGTTTTTCTTGCTTCTTAAATTTCTAGAGGCGGATCTTCAGTGGGTGCAAATTGTCATCGCGCCATTTAAGTCCATAGAGCTGTGGCAATACATCAGCAAAGGGTCTGCCGCAGAGCAGGCTGGAATATTTCTAAGAAACAATTTCATTGGAAGATGCCAATTTTAGAACCTGGCACGTTACACTGAAGCATCTTGGGTTCAGTGAACTTGCCATGACAAAGGCTGCCAGGGCCCACAGCGTGGAGAAAGCGCTGGCCTTACAGGGCTCCCAGACTCCCTGCCGTGAAGCCAGGAGCCCCAGCTCTTGCTGGGGCTTGGCTCTAAAAGTAACTGGATGGATGCTTATTCACCCTTCTAGCAATGCAAACTCTGCAACTGACGTGAACAAATGCCTATAAATAGGCAAAATTTGCATTTACTGTCTGAGAGGTCGGGCTTGAAAGTTTTCTCCATACAGGTTTGGATTATCTCAGGTATCCATGGAAACATTCTTGTCCGTAATCTGAAACTCTTGAAATTTCCCTGACAACATTGGGTCAAATTGATCCCTGGTCTAACTTTCTTGATTTCAGTGGAATTAGCTACACCAGAGGCTGTGTGCTCCAGTGGAAAAGGGCACCGCGCTAGTAGTCAGGATCCCTGGGTGCTGTTCATAGCTCTGCTACTGACCCACTGAGTGACCTCCTAGTGCCTGTTTCCTTCACCTCCTAGTGCCTGTTTCCTCCCATCCTTTGTCCGTCTTGTCAGTTTAGACTGTAAGCTCTTAGAAACAGTCCCTGCCAGCCCCAGGCTTTGTGTTCTGCAGCAGGGGTTCTCTACCTTTTACTCTCTGAGGCCCCCTTGACTTGCTATAAAAACTCCAGGGCCCAGCGGGGGTCAGAGGGCCTTGGGGTCGAGGATCAGGGCTTCAGCCCCACTGGAGTGCTGGGGATCAGGGCTTCAGCCCCGCACCTCCTGGGGTCAGCCCTGCGGGGAGCGGTGGGGATCAGGGCTTCAGCCCCGCAGGAGGCGCCCAGGGATTGGTCTCTGGGTTTCAGCTGCGGGACCTCTCAGCCCCCTTGAAAGGGCTCTCAGACCCACAGGGGGCTTTGGTCCCGCGGTTGAGAACCTCTATTGTACAGTGCCTAAAACAATGGGGTTCTGCTCTCTGCTGGGTCCTGTAGTCTCTGCTCTAATACAAATGGATAACAATCAGCAGGGTTGCAGTTGGCCTGTTTTGGGGTGCAAAAGCGTAGAGTCGTTGATTGTGCATGTGGCAGTGATTTATTTCAGCGCTCTCTCACACGCTGACTTCAGGCTGGACAGTCCTGTTAATCAGGGCTGATTTCCCTTATTAGCTGAGAAGTCAAGTGACTAGTCCTCAATAGAGCTCTTGCTGCTGCCACAGAATGGTGCTGGGGCAAGGCCACGGAAGGTAGCGACAGGGAAGACCGACACGCAGGGTGTGGACCGACCGTGACAGATGATTTCCTGATGTGCTGCTCCTGTGGAAGGGCAGACGCCCACTACTGTTCCAGGGAGGATGGGGAAGGTACAAGACCATTTCTACACGAGCACTTACGTCGGCAAAACGTTTTGTCACTCAGGGGTGTGAAAAAACACACCCCCTGACCAACATCTTTTTGCCGTCGTAAGCGCGTGTGTGTACGGCACTGTGTTGGCGGGAGAGCTACTGCCGCTCGTTGAGCTGGTTTTGTTGGGCCGACGGGAGAGCTCTCTGTCGCTGCGCGAGCGCTCCTGGAGGGGCACCGCTGTAAGCTTGTAAGTGTGGACCTGGCCTAAGACAGCAGCTTGCACCCAATTCTTCCATTCTCAGAACGCAAGCGTGATCTTTGTGAGAGGGGGTTAAATGCAGTTACTTGTGGTTGCTCTTTGTATAAATATTCCCGGAAGACAACATTTGTACCTTTGCCTGTATTACGGCCTCTCGCTGGCAGAGAAGCCTGTCGAGTATGTGGCTTATTGCCTTAGGGGAAAAGATAAGCTAGCAGGTGAATGAAATCATCTCAGTCTAGGACAGCAACAGCAAGCACAGGCTGAAAACCAATTTGTCTTCCTCTTTGTTTTCTTTTCTTTTTCTGTAGAGTGCCACTCCTCATGCTCAGCCTGTACGGGGAGAGCTCCCCACAACTGCACGGCCTGCTCCTCCCCCCGTGTCCTACATGATGGCCAGTGCTTATCCGAGTGCCCGGAAGGATTGTACAGCCAGAATGCTCTTTGCCACTGTGAGTGCATCGCAGAGAGACCTACAGTGTATACTGCTGCATCTTGCTGCTTGAACATTTCAGTGCAATTAGACACGCTGTCAGGTTATAGGAGGTTATTCAGTAACTTTAGGAGAGACTCATGTGGTCCAGCTTCAGCAGCTGGATTATTTTATCAGAGAGAGAGAGAGATGTTAAATAAAAAATTATAACCCACTCTGCTCGACTGGATTGGAGTGAAAATATACTGCATTTTATTGCAATAGGCTGCGGTGGTGTTCTCAGCCAACATACCATGGGGGAAGAGATCTTTAACATACTGTGTGGCGCTTAAGCGGGATTCTGCATTCAGAAGGGCTGGTTTTACTAAGGCAGTATTGTCCAGTGGATAGAGCATTGCAAGACTGTGGCCTTAGTCCCGGCTCTGAAGATCTTACAGTTTAAATGCATAACAGAAACAGTAGAGTGAAGGACCAAGCTAGGCTGTCCGGTGATGCTCTCATATACACGGGTGCCACTCTCTTAGGGCCAAATTCAATGCTGGTGTCACTGGGTGCAACTCCACTAACTAAAGTGGATTTGTGCCGGAGCTGTATTTGGCTTAATGACTTCAGTGGGAGTTGTGCATGTGAGTACGAGTGGGGCTCAGGCTATCGTGCAGATGTTACCTCCAATAGACTTAAATAAGGAGATGAAAACAAAATTGGACTGTGCTGGGGAGGGGAAGCAGTGGACTTAACTGGGTTATCTTTCTTTCCAGCCATCAGGGCTCAGGGTAACGTATTTTCTCATTACACAGAATGCTCCAGAACATCTTTAAGAAAACCATCAATGCTCTGTGTCTAGGCATTATGTAGCTGGAAATAGTTTTCTGCCTTTCAAAACAAATAATTTTGTATTTGGGATGAGGAAACAGATCTCTTGTTTTTATAGCATTTATTTGTTTGTGGTTTTAGGAACATTTGAAGTATGCTAACCTAAGTCTTCAACAAAGCTCCCATTTAATTTCCATGGGAATTTGTGTGTATGGATCAAGAGCAGTATCTAGTTTGTGCATCCACAGACAGCAAAGAATTACCATTCTATTTTAATAATGGAAAATAAGCAAGACAATAGGCAGCTAGATTTTTTTTTAAGAACCTTTGAATGGTTTATGCTCAATGGTTCAAAAGGCTAGAAAAACACATTGTCACTGCGAATTAGATTATTTTTACTCTGTAGTTTACTATAGCACTGGGTTTATGAGGAGGAAATTATGTAATTGCGTGAGAAAACACATAATTCTAAATGGGTGTACTTATCGGACTAGGGAAGGGTGTTGTATTTCTGACGTGCACATCAGCTGCAGTATAATTATGAGTATAAGCTTCTTCAGCCAATCAGTTTTCATCCACGTCATTTAATCTAATATAATCAGATTACCAGAATCAGTCACTCTGTGGCTGAATGGCACAATGAATTCCTATGTACCCATTGAGCCAGAATCTGGGGATTTGGTGCAATCTTTCGTTATTAGCTGCTGACCCCAGGAAGGTGGGGGGGGGGAGGGCAAGGTTTGAAATGTGATATGTTTCTCAGACTTCGTTTCAAGGTCATCAACTGGTTTTATCAGATTGCAGCCATTGTCCATAAATGTGTACTGGGCTAGATATTTTCAAAAATGATACTAAATTTCTTCAATGAACTGGTTACCACTGGGTAGGAGGCCTCCAAATTGGAGAAACGAAGTTCCTCTGAGATCCCATGTTCTATTTATTGGATTTTAGCCAAGAAATACTCTATAAAGATGTTTATTGGGCAAGTGATTACAAAAATTACATTGATTTTGGTGTTCTGTACTGCCACCGAGGAGATCCTGGCTCATGGCTAACTGTTAGTTGCATTGAAATGTGTCTGATCCTGGGATGGTGGTGTTGTGTAAGTGGCAAACATAGGCATAAAGAAAATTACCTCATCTCACACCTTGCCAACGTAGAACATCTGTAGCTTTTAAACAGGCACAAGCAATAATGTTAACATAACCTGTGTCTACCCGATTTTTACAGTGTTTAAAATGTTTCATTCCATTTCATTCCAGCCTCTGAATAATAATAGTCAGGTGGCTCAGTCAGAAATAGGTGGTGATGACTTTTCAGGACTAGAAGAAGGAGCTTTATATTATATGAAATGGGAGAATCCTAGCTTTCCATTAGAGATCGAGCAATTATTTCTAGTCCGGGGAGGTCCTGCGATGTTGTTACACTTCTGAAGTATCACACTTTTATTCAGGGGAATTTTTAGAGGTTTTTAGACATCATTAGTTTCAGTATTTTTTTTTTTTAAATTTCCCTCAGAGGTCTGCACAGTTGGAATCCTGGTAATAAGACTCCTGGATTTGTAGGTAGAAGGATGCAAAACATTGTCTCGATAAAAATATTTTAGAACACTCTTCATCTCTTTCTGGAGTAGTTTTACTGTAAAATATGTGGCATGGTATTTAGGTTTTATTGAGTGAGTTTGGGGGACACTTCCATAAATCACTCCTGGCTTCCCCATTCATGAGTAATGTGGCCATCCCGAACTCATGCTAATAAAACTTTTATACCATGCCATCATGATCCTTTATCTCTCCCCTGTCTCTTGCTGTGCGTGCATGTGTGTATGTGTATATATACACACAGGCTGGCAGATGATCTCTATATTTTATATGGATTTAGATCTTGATTTATGCAGAGGACAAGCACAAAGGTCTTTAATTTCCTGCTGCTTGCCCCTTGTCGAGCCAAAAGAGGAGAGGGGGTAAAATCCTTCCAGATCAGAATTTAGTCACTTACACCGTGGTAGCAATTTACACCTCCATTGCAGAGGTGTAAATGATGACACAAGGAGCTGGGCAATGGAGAATTAGGCCCTATGATTCTCCCCCCTTTCCCCCCCCCCGTGTGTGTATATATATGTGTGTGTATATATATATATATGTATGTTTTGCTGAGGTACTGATTATCTTAACAGTGAGTGGTGTTTTCTCATGCAGCCTGCCATCCATCCTGCAAAAAGTGCAAAGGTCCTTCAGACTCTGACTGCATAACCTGCCATCCCCATGCAACCTTTGTGAGTGGCAAGTGCAGGACCAGCTGCAAGGAGGAGCAGTACCTGAACCTTGTGGGATATTGTGTTGGTAAGTGAGAGGAGGAAATGGCACAGTCTGTACAGACTCCTGGCCATTCTTCAATAGTAACCAGATATTTCAGTGTACAACTGTAACATAAAGGAGTCAAAATGATAGTTACTGATAAAATAATATGACTAAAAAGTACTGCTAAACCACTAGACATACCATATGGCACGACCACTTACCACTGCGTTTTATTTCTCTTCGAGCTGTGTGAGGCCAATTGCAAATTATAGAAATACAGAGGTTTTCAGCTCTACCACCCATCCAGCACAAGGGACCCTGAGTTTAAGCTGCACAGATGGTGGAAGCCCATGGGTGCTGACTCTGTGCTTCTTCCTGAAGAGGTTGGTGGGATGCAGTCTTCTGCAGAGGGTCAAAAGCCACTCTGAGGCAGGGAGTTAGAGGAGAACTTGGGCAAATGAACCCACACCTGAGTTCCTCTTCTTTTCCCCTTGACTTCTCTAGCCCCAGCCCCAGTAAATGCAGTCATTCCATGTGCAGCCCCAAAAGGGGAGATAGGCCGATTCTGATCGTCCAATGGACAGTCTTAAAAAACCCCACACAAACTAATGCCTGTCCCCCTGCTACTAGCTGGTGTGAGTCAACAGGGACAAGAGATCTCTGATAGCTTTGATCTCTGTGGAGAATGGAAGGGGGTTCTCATCTCTGATCATGAGAGAGGGAGGTGAGGGCTGACTTGTCCTTCCCGGCTTGTTGCTGCTTATTTTGGGGAGGATTGGGCTTATGTCTGGAAAGTGGTATGTTGCAATATTATGAAAAGCAGTAGAGTGTTCACACAGTTAATGGTATCGTAACAAATCAGCTCTTATTTAACAGCTGCTGCCAGAGTATAATACAGACCTCAACTCTGCTGTGTTCAGTGATTGCTGATCCTCTTCAGAGGGTTTTAAGTAGCTGGAACTTGTACAATTTTGTGGACAGTTCAGTTAGGCAGTCAGACCATTGGACCACCTCCTGTTCCAGGCGAAGCTCTGGAATGGGGCTGCCAGTCATGGCAATCAGCTGTCTTTGGGTCTGTGGCCCCTCATGGGGAATAGCCTGCCACTTAAGACACTGGACATGCTGTGTTCATCCCCTAAGTCAGTGCCCTGAACTCAATTACCATACCAGGAATGGCACCATCACAAGCTCCACCCCAGAGAAAGATGCAATCATAGGTAGTCATAATGCCTGAAGGGGCCTTCGGCAGCTGTTGACGAGAGTGGTATCCCTGGAGAATCAGGAACAGCGTGGTGGGCCAGCAGCCAGGGATGCTGCTTTACCGCAGCATAGGGCTTCAGAAAGATGAATTAAAAACCCATCCCATGATTCTGAGAAACAGCTTATCGGGCCTTACAGGAATATTGGCATAGCTGGGTTTGATGTGTGCACTTTTGAGAGATAGGAGGATTTATTCAGAGGTTACTCTCTGTGGGTACTGTATACATGCACTTCAGCCTATCATCAGAAGCCACTAATTGCATTTACCTGTTTAAAAAAGAAAAATCTCATTTAATCCATCATGCAGTCAAGGATAAACACATTCTGGGAACAGTTCCAGTCACTTCTGAGCTGTATTGTTTCCATTTATTTATTTATTTTAGTTTATCAAAGAAAAGATACAGCTTGTGAGGCCTATGACAGCACTGAGAGGCTCCAAGAAAGATAAATGATCTGAAAAAAGGAGGGGGAAAAAATGCACTAGACGTAATAAGTAAATCTATTCAAGGATTATCACTCTCAAGTTAGTCCTGACTCCCCACTCCCACCCACCGCCAACATAGACTTCTTTTTTTTTTTTCCAATATAAGATTTGTTTCTTTGATCTCAACTTCCAGGACTTCCTTTTTTTTTTTTAGGAGATATATTATTTTGCCTGCCCACCGCAGAAATGGGAAAGGAAGGAACAAGATAGCTAAAGAGGGGAGAAATGTCCAAAATGTATTCTGCAGTTCTCTGAATGTACACAAAGCAGGGTTACTTATCAATTTATAGAAAGAAGGAGACATGAGTCGTGATTTTGTTTAGCTAATGCCTGCAGCCGAATGATTACAGTGAATGACACCTATGAAAATAATTCAGCATTTCAAAGAGTTAAAAGCTACATTGGATAATGGGGTGGAGAGTATGCTGAAAAAATTTGTGGATGACACCAAGCTGGGAGGAGTTGCAAGAACTTTGGAGGACAGGATTAGAATTTAAAATGACCTGGATAAATTGGAGAATTGATCTGAAATCAACCATATGAAATTCAATGAAGATAACTGCAAAGTACTTCACTTGGGAAGGAAAGATGAAACGCACAATTACAAAACAGGGAATAACTCGCCAGGTGGTAGTTCTGTTGAAAAGGATCTGGGAGTTACAATGGATCACAAATTGAATATAGTCAACAGTGTGTTGCAGTTGTGAAAAAGGCTCATATCATTCTGGTGTGTATTAACAAGAGTGTCATATGTTAGACACGGGAGGTAATTGTGCTGCTCTGCTCGGCACTGGTGAGGCCTCAGCTGGAGGACTGTGTCCAGTCCTGGGTATCACACTTTAGGAAGGATGTGGACAAACTGGAGAGAGTCCAGAGGAGAGTAACAAAAATGAAAAAAAGCTTTAGAAAACCTGACCTGTGAGAAAGCATTAGGAACACTGGGCATGTTTAGTCTTGAGAATAGAAAACTGAGTGAGGGGAGGGAGAGAACTTGATAAGTCTTCAAATATGATAAGGACTGTTATAAAGATAACTGTGATTAATTGTTCTCCTCATCCACTGAAGGTAGGACAAGAAGTAGTGGGCTTAATCTGCAGCAAGGGAGATTTAGGTTAGATATTAGGAAAAACTTTCCAACTGTAAGGGTTGTTCAGTACTGGAATAGGCTTCCAAGGGAGGTTGTGGAATCCCCATTGTGAGAGGTTTTTAAGAACAGGTTAGATATACAGGTGGTCTAGGTCAAGATGATCTAGGTTTATTTGGTCCTGCCTCTGCACAAGGGGCTGGACTTGATGACCTCTCTAGGTCCTTTCCAGCCCTACATTTCTATAACTTCTATGATTTCTCTGTAAAGTTTCAGAGGATGTAAAAATGTGCTTGTTTGTAACAGAATATTACTCCAGCTCACTGGCCTGATTCACTACTTCATTGATTTAATTGGAGTTACATCACTGTAGAACTGGTGTAACACAATGGCGAATCTGCTCCGTTGTGTTTGCTTGTGGCCTGGGTCTTCATTGTATGAAAAAGTGTGCCTTTTGTGGTGGTTGAATGCTTTATCTTTTGAAACCAGTTTGAAGCATTAATTGCTTATTTAGGTCCCCAATCCTACGTAGGGATCTGCTACCACAGATTCCAGTGTCCCACTGGCTAGCTGATTCTGTTGTAGGATTAGCACATTAGAAAGCTCATTAATGTGTTATGCTTTGTAGCTCTATGCAGAGAAATCCTTTATTTCCTCCACTTTATTTTGCCATTACCTTTCATTGTGTTCCCTCTAGCAGATCCCCTTTGAATTGCCATTCCTAGCTGTAAGATTTACTGGAAAGAATGAGTAATATTTATCACGTCAGGGTTAGCCTTGGGACTGGTTTTCTTTGCCTCTGGTTTGTGCGTATGTTTTAATTGCTCACTGTCATCTCTATAAGTTTGGTAGAGTCTTGTAGGATGGTAAGCACACTGTTATTTTCATGTCCTTGGGCCCTGCATGGCTTGGATTTGGCCTGCAGACTCTTTATTATTGGCAATGATGCACGAGCCCGAAAGAACCAAGCTTAGTTTTCAGAGCTTAGGCTGTATATGAAACACTGGCAGTTGGAAGGACCATCATTTTCCTTCTAAACAAAGCCAAGTTTGATCTGGAAATCACTGAAGCAACAAGCATTGGCCCCCCACAGTGCTATTTTTACAGAATCACTTCTCAGTAGAACCACACTTCAAAGGCCTTATTCAAACCCACTGAGGTCAAAGAGTTTCAGTGGCCTTTGACTCAAGCCCTAGAATAGGAGGGAAGGCTTAATAGTTACAGTACAGCAAAGAGGGGCAGGAGATCTCAGTTCTGTTCCCAGCTCTGCCTCAGTCTTGCTGTGTGACCCTGGATAAGTCACTTAGGCCCTGACCCTGCACCACAGAAGTCAATGGTAGTTCTGCCAATGTCTTCAAAGGCACAAGATGAGGCCCTTCATCTCTCTGTGCTTCTATAGAGTGGGAATAATACTTCCCTGCTTCACAGTGGCAGCGGCGGGGGTGTGTGTGCACGGATGTAGGTAAAGTGCCTTGAGATCCTCTGACGAAAAGTGCTGTAGGAAGAGTGTTGCTATTGGCTGACTTTTTAAAACATCTATGGGTGGGTCTTTGAGGGAGATATTTGTGGCCGGAGGGGATGTTGCTCCTTGTTCCAAACTTCTGTCTAATGTTAGAACAAATTGCACATGCTGATGGCCCCTGTCCCTTGCATCTGTGCTGTTGTTGCATCTCAGTCAGCCTCCTCACTCAACACAGATTGAAATGTTACTCTATACACTTGCCTTTACAGGTTATTAATGATCAGTCTGAAAGCAGCTGTCCCATAAAAGCGAACATCAGAAACCATTACATTTACATTATGTACAATTTGCTTTAATATCTGCAAGGTTTTTGACTTTGCTTCAAAAGCAATGTTTTTACAATTATCTATCCATCATCACGATTGCTTGTTATTCCAGTCCCTCGCTGACCCTGGGGGCAGAATTTTGTCGGGACTTAAAGGGTGCACTGTGCATTGGAGCCTCATCTTCTTCTTTTTCTATCCACGGGGAGAAAATCTTTTATGAATGATGGAAAAAGCCAGCTGTCAAGTGAAACTATTAACTTCTAATGAATTTTATTGTTGCATTTTTTAATAATATCAATAAAATAGTGTTATGCTTAACACGGTCACTTCATGCACTTCAGTTATCACAAGAGGAAAAAATGCTTCAAATATTTTGAAGCAGAAGTGGGTTTTCAAACTCTAGTCCAAGGTATCCAAAGCCTCTGCGAAAAAGCTTCCGAGGAATGTACAGGTTACCTGGGGGCTGTGTGGGGCAATGCCAGTACGCTGGGCTGAGACTCCTGAGATGTTGTGTGGGCAAGTCAGTTTCCCTGTCTGTAAAATGGGATAATGATCCTGATTTCCTTTATAAGGAGCTTTGAGATCAATTGGTGGAAAACGCCATATAAGAGTTAGGGATCATTTTCAGGTGTATGTTTGGATTTTTAGCTGTTTCCAATCCAGTTTTAGGTGTCTGTGGTGTTTTCATCTTTCCAAAATTTGACAAAGATTACTTGACATTTTCCAACTACTAGTAAAGGTTTTTGTTCAGCTTCATAAACCTTGGGAACCAATTACTTGAAAAGTTTCGCCTTCAAAACTACTGTCCTTCTGGTGAAATCTACTGTCCTTCTGGTGAAATCCCACCTTCTCTTCAGAGTTTCTTCAGATTTCTTCAAGAGTATTCTCAAGTACTTAACTGAAGATCCATGAGAAAATCACAGGAAAACCTGAGGTCTCACATGTTGGAAGAGCCTGAGAATTCAGAGCCCAGGCTCACCTGGGCATTTTGCTGACCTATAAACCTCCAGCCATCAAAGGCTTCCGAGAAGAACTGATAGAGAAGATGACTGACATGGTGATGGAATTCAAGACAGCTCTTGATCTTGATCACCTCAGTTTCCACAGGGATGACACCTCTTATTCAATAACTCCAAACTTCCTAGTTAAAGTTTCCATTTTGGAATTCTCACAGGTATTCTTCAGATCCACACATACAGTTGGTCAGCCCCCCTAACCGGATCCTCAGGCTGGATGTGGACATAAGGGTCCAGGTTCTTGGCTGGTGTAAATTGGGATGCCAATTTATACCAGCTGAGGATCTAGGTGAAGAAATGCAAGAACCACCTCCCTGCTTTGGTCTGGGCTGTTTTGTCTCATGCCCCATTCCTCTGGAATTCCTCTGGTCAGTGTGTTCAGAGACGCTCCTGCTCTTTGTGGTAATATAAGCATCTCTCTATGAGACTGCCAAGGTCCCATTAACTTTATAAGGAGCTGAGTGTGCTTGTTTATGGGAGAATGCCCCCTTCAGCATTTTCAAGAGTAAGGTAAAAAGCTTTTTGTTTTTAGATGACCTTCTGACTAAACTCTATTGACTTTTCTCTTTGGATTCATTGTAAGTTGTTGTGGGAAGTTTGCATGATGACATGCCTGTGAATTACATGGTATTAGATTATTGATTTAATATAATGCCCTGTTCTTATCCCCATATTCTCTGTTATCCTAATGGGTACAATATGGATAAGCATTTGCAAGGGAAAATATGTCCGCAGGAGCCCTTAAAAGGCTAGGTATAGCTAAACAAGTCAACACAAGCATTTGCTAGCTTAGCTAATGGAGGAGTCAAGAGGGCATGAATGGCTCTGGGTTCTTTGAGTGTTGACTAATGCTTCAGGAACAGTTTTGGCTTCATGATGAGTCCCTGTTCTGTGTGTTTCACAAGCTAAGCGGTCGCCCCTGTGAGTTTAGGCAGGTCAGCTGCAGATCCCTTTCCATGCAGAGGGGGGCAGTGTTTTCTTTACATTTCAAGTGAAAGACGTGCATAGCGGTGGCTTGATAGTGCTCTGGAGTGAAATCTTGCTGTAGCTGTTACATCTTGCTCCCTCTCAGTAAGATTTTGGTGGGGAACCAGGTGAAGAAAGAGGAACCCTAGTGCCTGCTGAGAAACAAGGTTAGTTAAGTCGTTGGCTGTTATGAAAGCAGCTCTGTGATCGTGAGGAGGAGAATGAGCAAGAGGACACTGGGACTATCATCAAGGTGACACCGTCATACTCTGAAGAGTCTGTGTGGGATTCTGAAAGAGGACTCACAGAGTAATGTACCTAACTCACATTGATTTTCAATGAGAGTTGAATGCCTGACTCCTTTAGGCCTCCTTGAAAATGCCAGCCAGTACACTCCTGCAGCTGAAATCACATCCTAGATAAGGTGCAGGGAGGAGTGGTGTGAAGGGGTCAAGCAGAAGTAAAAAGACAAATATTGGTGCTGGGCTGATAGCGGGGGGCCATTCAGAACTATAAGGAGAATACTCTGCTCCTTTTCCTTCTTAGCCAAAAGGGAGCCTGCTGTGAAAATCTATGTAACCTTTTACAGTACAAAGTACTTTTGTTCTTCCTTTTCTCTACCACTTGTTCCCCATGGTCCTTCAAATTCACCACAAGCCGTTGGCTTTCTGGGGTAAGTCAATCGTGTGAGTGTTCTTTGAGCTCTGCACATTGAAAGTATCGAGGGTGAATATAGGACTGATTTCTCAGGAAGCAACAGCCGAATTAAAGGAACTGTTTTAACACATAGGAACAAACACAGCAAGCCTGTAAAGAGGAGAAAAACATGCCATCACCCAGCTCTGTAGGCACTTACACCTTTTAAATGTCTTTGGACTTTTCCAACATGAGAACAAAAAATTATTTAGATGAGTCTGGTTAATTGCACTCGGCAGGTACTTTTCTCTCTGTTAGTCTGCATTTATCGCGTTTACCTGCCACAGATATTTATTCCATGCTCATCGCTAGAGTATTTCAGTGCCTGGTGTATTTGTCTATTTATTGCACCTAACCAACAATTATCCAATTATCACCATCCAGCACAGACACTTGGAGACAGTAGGACACTAATATTGTAGGGTGAGTAAATGAATTACTAGGTGAATAGGGGGAGCATGAGAAATTAGTGAAACCTACTGCTGCTAATTTTAGTGCTTAAGGAGGGTGTACATAGATGCTCATGATCTTACTACTTAAAAAAAAAAAAAAACTATCCCACATAAATTACATACAACATACCAACATATATAATCATATGTATGGAACCTTAGTCCCTGATCCCGCCATAAACTCTGCAGGATAAGACATCTGGGATCATGCCAACCACCTCTGACTTCGGGGGGAATACATGGGGGTACAGGTTCTATCCACTCTGAGTTCATTGCAGGATCAGGGCCTTAGCATACTACAAATATATGGCATTACACAGAGTGTAGTGTGAAGCTTTGCGTGATATTTTATTAGTTCTTTTCACACACAGGATTCTGAAGCACACAATACACTAACCCTTGCATGCTGTGTATGCAGGATGGATGAGGTTTTCCATTGTGAATCATGGCACACTACAGGCATTACTTGATCTTTACTATCAAGAAACATATGTTCTTAGAAAAAGCAATTTCATGATCTTAGCCATAACATTTGTTCTCCTTTCCCTTTGGTTGTTAGGTCCCTATCTGTAAGATTGCTTCTTTGGGGCCAGGGCTGTGTCTTCTATGTTCTTAGGGTTTTATGTTGCCTTTCATAGGGTTTTACGCTGCCGGCCATTACCATAGGGGTGCTCAGCACTCTTTAGGCACTAAAATAAATAAATAAACAATATTGACCCAAAGTGCATGCACCACACTGCTTAAAAAGTTCATGACGCAAAATACTAGCACCTTATGCCAGAGTCTCAGGGAATGAAATATGTAGTAGGTTAGGGGATGAAGTATGCAGCTACCTGAATGATCTGAAATACTGTATACTTCCTGCATTAAATTTTGCCCTCGGCTGCACGTGCACAGAGCTCCCCCTGAATTCAGGAAGACTTGTGCATGTGTAACCCGGGGAAGAATTCAGACTGAGATTTTCAAAGGAGCCTAAGGGAGTTAAGCATCCCTACCCCAATGGAAATGGGTGCCTAACTCTCTTAGGCTCCTTTGAAAATCCCAGCCTCGTTCTTTCGAATCAAAACACTACAATTCTCAATGAAAGTTTCAGGAGAGACAAAGGACAGAAAGGTTAGTTCTCAGTAGAAATCTCATTATTACATTTCTTTCAAGACGGCCATCATTTCCCTGGTAATTTTCTGAATTACTGTAATGAGGATTAATTTGGCTTCCAGGGTACCTTGCATTGTCCTTATATATGTACAAAAGGTTTGCTGTAAAACCTTTTGAAGCTCTCAAGGTTCAGGGGAAGGTCAGGAGCCATTAATTGGTGTGCTGCTGAAAAAGAGGTTTGTAAGGCTGGCTAATCCTTTTGGGAGTGCCGGGTGGGAAAACCTGGGCAATGTGAACCGCAGGAGAAAATTGATCCACTTGCTCTGATCATGCTTTTTTGGGAGCATAGAATCTGTACAGCCAGCAGCATCCTTTTTAGAAAGATTAATCTTAGAAAGAAAAAAAAAAGTGCCTTTTTTTTTTTTTTTTTTTTAGGAGAGAGCTTTGAACCATCTTCGCCCATTAGGGGGGAAGTGGGGAGGACACCTGAATTCAGCAAAAGGCAGCTCAAGAACTTTCAAGCAGTGTGCGCACTGTCTGATGCTAAGTAAAAAGCTGCAGCACCACAGTGCCTGAAAATAACACAGAGTAAAAATTGGGGAGGAGGTGGGCCTAATATTTGCTGATAATGCCTCTTGCAAACCTTCATAAGGACAGTCTTAGCCCCTGATCCCTTTTTGCTCCGAATGAGAGTTGTGCATGCAAAGTGCTCTTAATGTTACTTTTCCGAAATATATTCCTTGTGCTCTCTCAGTGCCGTTGTCTCTGAGCAGGGCTGTTTTGCGAGATGATGGTCAGAAGCCTCCTTCATTGGTACCCCCTATTTCTTTTCTCTTTAGACTGTCATCCTTTGTGTCACCAGTGCGTGGCTGATCTCCACGACACGGGCAGCGTCTGCTTGAAGTGTCAGAACGCCCGTCACTTGCTGCTGAGGGATCGCTGTGTTCCTGACTGTCCCGTGGGATCCTATGCAGAAAGTGGAGTTTGTAAAAGTGAGTAACATCTGGAGGTGGAGCTTAGTGGTGAGATCTGCCCAGCTGCTCCCTTGGAATTGCTTCTCTTGAGAGGCCAGTGGACAGGGCGCTGAGCTAGATTTCAGGAAATCTCTGTTTCAAGCGTGGCTGTGCAAGTCGCTGCACCTCTCTGTCCTCCTGTTTCCTCTCCCGCCCTTTGTCTGTTGTTAAATGGGAAGCTGTCTTTGAGGTAGGGACCGTATGTCTTCGTACTGTGCCTAGCCCCATGGAGCCCCCAAGCACTGCTGTTACACAAAGAATACTAGTTAATATACTGCAGATAGCAGGAAGTTTGTGGGGAGAAGGAGGGTGGGAGTGTGGTTCTGTGTCAGTCTTGCGAAAGGTCCCCGCCTCATCCATTCAGTTTTGGCTGATGCAGTGATGTCACTTCTGGGGGTTGTTTTCAGGTAGGTGGGACTCAAAGATTTTCCATATTCAAGGAACACGTTAAAGAGGGGTCACTTCAGATGTCCTTCGCTAAGCTGCTATGTCTCTTCTGCTCTTGTGGTGGTAGCACAATTTTAGGAGCTTGATTGTCCAGGGGAGCTTCTAGGCATGTGCCAGGAGGAGAAAAAACAAATTCTGTTCACTAAGACGGGAACTACTGGTACACTATGGTGAAATCCAGGCCCCATTGAAGTTAATGGCAAAACTCTCACTGACTTCACTCTGTGTATAGACGTCAACTGGGCACAGGACCCTGCATTAGTCTACGGTAGGATCTCAAATGAGGAAGGTTGTTACATCGTGAAGCGGGATCTTTTATCTGTGCTCTTAGGAATCCAACAGAAAACCTGCCGCCGGAAGCTGAGTATTATCCCAGTTTTTAGAATTTCCTTGCAGTTGACTGAGGCTCTCGCTGAATCAGCATTGCCAGAGGCAGTAATTCCGGCCTGTCCCAGAGAGAACGAGCCGGCTCCAGAAAAGCTAGCCTGACTCCTCGGTCTGTGGGGGTAGTGTGTTGTCGGCGGTCAGCCAGCAGTGTTGGTGGTAGCATTCTGATGGTGCCTTGTGCCTTCTGGGCCATTAGCCCTTTTTTGCCCATCGTGGTACCTGCTGGTGCTTGAGTGGCACTTTTTTTGCAGGCTTCTTCATACCATTTTGCCTTTCTCTGCCTTTCTCAAGAGGACATAAATCCGTTTCCTATGAGAACTCCAGGATGTCCACCCAGAGCTTGTCAAAGCCCAGTTCATCTTACATGAGACAAAGTAGGGACTGATAGACGAGAAAGAGACCAAAAGAAGAAACATTATATATTTAAATATCCAATCTGGCCTCTTTGCATGAGATGGGCACTGCCTAATCCAGACTAAATGTACAAGATCAGCATTGCAAAAACTTCTCTCTACTGGCCCAAGATTTAGTTACAAGGTCGCTGTATCATTACTTACCTAGCTCCACACTGACAGAAATATTAACTGTGTTTCTTAGCTTTGTCTTAGCCTTCCAGGTAGTGTGTTTCACCCGGTAGCGCTATAATATGTCATCTAGTGGGGCATGCCTCTTGGAGGGAGGGGGGGATTCCTTCCTCCTGGAAAGCCAAGTTTAGATAGAGCATTTCTGCCTTTGGGTGTAAAGGTTTCATGAATTACCCAAAACGTTCTGTTGTTCAAGCTATGTCAAAGTGCATATTAAATTTAGGGTGAGCTTTTAAGATCCCTAACATTGCCTTGGGCCAAATTCAACCTTGAATAAGGTGGGTATCTCTATGGATTTCTCTGTCCACTTAGTCAGTGATGGATCTGGCCCTTTACATTTAATGAGGGCACAGTTCTTTACTTACAGGACAGTCAGGAAAGCAAGAAATCCCACAGCGAGAACATGTGTGCATGTAGGAATGGTGGGTGCTCTGTACTCTGAGGATCAGTCCGGTGATGTGCTCTTGTAAAGAACCTTTACAGCCTGCTTGAAGATTTGCTTTTGCGTGAACGGTGTTTTCATTCTTTTTGCCCTCTCAGAGTGTCACCCCTCGTGCAAAACCTGCAATGGCGGAGGTCCTTTCTCCTGCTCTTCCTGTGACTCCAGCCTCGTTTTGTCCCACACTGGCATGTGTACCTCAGCCTGTTTCCTGGGATACTACAGGGATGAGAGCTGGACCTGCAAACGTAAGTGTCTCCTGCCAAACACTCCCTCCTCTTCAGAGTGCCCTTGCAAATGGTTTCTTGGCTTCTTGATCCAGTCTGTCCCATCATGAAAAGCTTGTAACTGTCAGGAAAATGCTGTTGGTGACATTATGAAGACCTTGAACTAGACTTAATAATTAAGGAGCATCGCTATACATGCAACAGTGACTATACAGAACAAGGGCCTAATTGCCTACTGCCTTGTACAGGTCTGGTCATTTATGCGAGTGCAAAATGCTACCATTCTGATTGGGCAGATTTCTGCAAGGTGCTTAGCACTCTAGCTACAATCCAGCAAAGCTCTTAAATATGTGCTTAACTTCAAGCATGTAAATAGTCCCATTTGCTTTAATGAGTCAGTCCAAGTATGTGTTTCAGTACTTTGCTGGGTTGGGACCAGACTGCTCAGCAGGATCGAAGCTTATGAACACAAAGTGGATTCCACTCTTATTAACTTCTCCAGAAAACCCGCTTTCCAAGTAGAAAGGCTTGCCAAGCCTCAGTGTTGTGCCAAACTCCTGGATAGTCTTCTGTGGATGTCCTAAAATATCTGTTTCTCCCCTTGGGCTGTCCATTCACTAGTCCAGTCACAAGCCCTTGCCGAATACAGTTCTAGCACCCAAACTTGAGTGAGACGTTTATTTCTGTAAACAGTCTCATTCCAACCACACACGTCTCATCTCCCAGTTTGCAAATAACTTCTTTATTGTATGTAAAATTTGTGGCTGGTGAAAACTAATGAGAGCCTTATGGCAGAGTGTGTTGATGTATAGAATTTGTGTAATTTCAGGGGGCACTCAGACCTGTTCAGGTGCAATGTTAGTGATAACTCATCTAGAAATAGATTGATCTGCTCTGTTGGACAACTACCAGGTAGAGATAACAACAAAAGTTTAATCAGAATCTTTGGTCTCTTTCCCTCCTCCCCTATTTGTTTTGATTTCACTACACTTTTGAAGAACCCATAGTTTTGAAAATACCTTAGATTAAATCAAAGGAATGTGAAGTAGAGCTATGTACTCCTTTGCTCTCGATATGTCTACTAGAGTGTTTGTAGAGAAACGACGACGCAAACTTAAGAAGCTTTTCACAAAAGTGGTATGCATCTAAAAACATTGTTGCAGAGCAATGCTGATAAAAGAAATGGCATGTACTTGTTTTTAAATGCAGCTTTTGTTTTCCCCCTTGGGAGCAGTCTTTTTGGATCGTGTGACCACGACGTGTTTTGAACTCCACAAATCTTTTATCATTCATGGGTCTTCTAATTCATGGCTTTTTTATCTAAAGATACTTGAGAAAAACTAAATTAATGATTACCACACCTTTGTAAGGACCAGTGAAATGAGACAAGTGCTGGTGCATTTATAAATAGGTATTAGATTCTTTAAATAGACTTTTCTTTAGGGTACGTCTACGTTACCGCTAGAGGTGTAATTTCAGATTGATGTACACAGGGTAGCTTTGACTGAGCTAGCTTGCCAAAAATAGCAGTGTAGCCATGGCAACATAGTTTAGCTGCCCAATTACAATCCGATCCTTGACCCTAGATAAGTGGTCAGTTGACTAGCCTGAACTGTCGCCCACACTGCTGGGGCCACACTGCTGTTCTGAGTGCCCTTCATCAAAGCCAGTTCATGTACATCTACCCAACCTGGAAATGACACTTCCAGCTGCAATGTACATGTATTCTTGGAGACACGTTCTCTCCCAGGAGCTGCAGAGTTGTATGACATTTTTGGACTATATAACAACAAATCATTAGCTCAGATGTCACAAGTGACAAAATGGGTGGTTTCTCCTAGTTTCAACAAGACACCAGGAAAAAATAGGTATTTACAGCTAATCTGTGCTTTGAGTTTTTCAGATTTAGAACTCAAAGTGAACTTGAACCAAGAACAAGTGCACATACACCCCGCTAAATAAGAACCATTGAGTTTCATAGATCTCTACTTCCCAGCCACACTGAACTCATTCTCAAGCCCGTGAGAACTTTTGACCATAAAAACAACCAGTCGAGCTTGATCCTTTGGACTTATGGGGCCATATTTCCAGAAATGTGCCTGCATGATTGTGTGCATAAAATTGTACTTGTATTTGCATGAGCAAATGCCAGGATTGTGTTTGAGATAATTGTGTGCTCAAAGAATCAGTTCTGTTTCGAGCTGACCGTTTGTACGCATAATTGTTGCATTTGCTAGCACGGCTTTGGTAACTGTACATGCAGGTTAGGTGTGCAAATCCACATGATTTTTGCATGTGTGTTTCTGAAAATATGGCTTTTGATGTGCACTGTACCACTCCAAGTGATCGCTCACCATTAAGAGTACGGCAGGTCAGTGCCATAGTGGACTCTCTCTGTACATCGGCTGGATGCTATGAGGGGTACGTCTACATGGCAGAAAAGACCTGTAGCAGCAAGACTCAGAGCATGGGTCAACTGACTTGGGCTTGCACTGCAGGGCTAAAAATAGCCGTGCTGACGTTTGGGCTTGGGCTGGAGCCTGGTCTCTGAAAGCTGATGAGGTGGGGAGGGTCTCCAGTCTGAGGCCAAACATCTACACAGCTATTTTAGCCACTCCCTGCGCGAGCTCTGTGAGCTCGGATCAGTTGACCCAGGCTCTGAGATTCACTGCTGTGTTTTTTTTTGTCTGTGGAGACGTACCCAAAGTTGCTTTCCACTCTTTTGTAGCACTTTGCTATTAAAGCTTTGCTGTGGGATCATAGAAACATAGAATATCAGGGTTGGAAAAGACCTCAGGAGGCCATCTAGTCCAACCCCCTGCTCAAAGCAGGACCAATCCCCAACTAAATCATCCCAGCCAGGGCTTTGTCAAGCCAGGCCTTAAAAACTTCCAAGGATGGAGATTTCACCACCTCCCTAGGTAACCCATTCCAGTGCTTCACCACCCCTCCTAGTGTAATACTTTTTCCTAGGATCCAACCTAGACCTCCCCCACTGCAACTTGAGACCATTGCTCCTTGTTCTGTCAAGGATAGTCAAGAGCTGTGCCATTCATGTTGAATGCACCTGCATCATGCTGAGAAATTCAGACTCCCAACATCCTGGAGCAAAATATTTTGATCCTCTGGGTGTTGCACCTTGTCCAGCTGAACCGTCGGATTTTGCTTCCTGTTTCTGTAAACTCCACGACATCCCACATTTCGAGCAAAATGTAAAACACTTGGTGAAACACTTAGGTGAAATTCTATGGCCTGTGTTATGCAGAGGTTAGACTAGATGATCCTGATGGTTTCTTCTGGCCTTCAGAACTCTGAGTCTATGAATAAGAACTGGACGGGTTAAATTTAAGTTACTCAAGGTGAAAGGAGAAAAATGCTTTAAGAACACCTGGATACAGGGATTTGAATTCCAAGTTCCATGTTTGACTCTGGTGGTTCATCAGATTATTAGTACGCAAACTTTGTCCATCTGGGAGAAAGCAATATTTTAAATTGCTCTCAAGTGGCAAGCCAGGCCTTAAAAACCTCCAAGGATTGGTAGACACTCAGAGCAACATTAAGTCCTATGTGGAGATATGTCCAGAACTCCCTTTTGGATAGATGGAGGGTAGCCATGAAGCGGGGCTTGGGGATGGTAAGCAGGGAAAGCTATGAAGAGTTACCCCAGCAGATTCTCCAAGAGAACATTGAATAGTGGCGCTTCAGGTAAATCTAACCTCATTTGGCTAGTGCTTCAGTAATTGCAGTGATTTTTTTTGTTCTTAATTTCTCTACAGCTTGCAGTGTCCACTGTTTGGGTTGTGAGTCGGCCATGGGTTGTACATCATGCAGAGACTCAGCCAAGGTTCTGTTGTTTGGTGAATGCCAGTATGAAAGCTGCACTCAGCAGTATTATCTTGATTTCTCCACCAAGACTTGCAGAGGTGAAAAACGCATATTTTCTATTTAAAAATAGCCATTAGGATGGCTGCAGAATGGTCTGCTTAGGGGGTCTATTACTGAACAGATTTTTTTCTGTTATCTTTTTTCAGCCGCCCTCTGTCACATACTTCAGTTTTCAGTTAAAAAAAAAAATCCTCAAGATTATTGCAAACCCTTCCTTTGTAAATGATTTAGTAAGTGAGCCATCAAACTTTCCAAGGGTCGGGTTTAGCAATTCTTTCAGTCGCCACTCAATGGAATAATGAATGAGGTTAACATTTTAAATCTTTTTGTCTTGAGTGCATGTAGGGTCTTGTATATTGACCTGAGTATCTCTGGCTTATAAATACTACATCTCTGACCAACAACAACAAATATTGAGAAAGATTTAGAAGACTTGAGAGATTTCCAAAACTCTCCTAGATAATATTCCGTACTGGAAATGTAGTTTGAGGACGATGTAGCTTTATCGTCTACCACCACCATTCAAAGCACTATTGCAAATCAATTGTTATTAGATAGTTATTTCTGACTGGCTCTCTCTATGCTTCGTTTAACTAGGCAGTGAGAGTCTGATGATATTTCAGTACTGTAGAGAAGCAGTGTACAGGGCACTGGACTGAGAGTGTTCTACCTGTCTGCCACAGATCTACCATGTGACACTGGGCAAGTCACCTCACCGTCCTAGGCCTTTGTTTCCCCTCCTCCTCATTGTCCATCTTGTCTACTTAGACTATAAGATTTTGAGAGCGGGGATTGTCTTGAATGATGTATTTGTACAGGGCCTAGCACCACGATGCCCTGATCGAGGTGCTACTGTACTATAAATAATAATAATATAGGTCATATTATGCCCTGGTGGACACGGACACATGCACGCGGTCTCCACTAAAGGCGGCAGGAGCCATGCCTGGGAATCTGCAGGTGGAATTGGGCCTAACTGTATTTGCTATGTTTCTGGCCTGAGGACTCTCTTCAATGAGTGACCTTCCTCTTTGGTTAGTTTGAACTGGGAAAGCTTTCGGCATCCCAGCAGTTCCAGTCTGTGCAAGATAAGAGATTGAGGATTTATGTGGATAAATACTAATGCTTAGCATTGGCAAATAAGGACCTACTGGTGCCTAAGGGACAAGAGCAGACTTCTCTGGCTGCAAAGCTGCATCACTGATAAGCAGGTCCAAACACTGAACAATACCTGTGTTTAACGTAATTAGGGAATGTGAAGCCGAAGAGGGGAATTCCTGTTGTTAGAAGAAGGCCCCATATTAGAAATCTTTCTTATTTTACATCTATTACACTGTCCTTGCTTTACCCTTTGCTGCTAGGGATTAGGCTTCCACAGCGGATAGCTGCCTAATGTGTTAAACGCGTGTACAGTGCTGGATGTGCACGCAGACGTTTTGGTGTTTTCTTGATTCCAGAGTGTGACTGGAGCTGTAATGCTTGTAAAGGCCCCGCAAGGACTGACTGTCTGCAGTGCATGGATGGCTACATTCTGCAGGATGGGGCCTGTGTTGAACAGTGCCCATTAGCTTTCTACAGGGAATCAGACACATGCCAACGTAAGTCTCTGTGAAACTGCTTCTAGCTATCAGTACGGTGCCATGCTTCCCTAGTTCGTTTTTCAGTCTCTCTCTAATTCTCATTTGTGTGTACAGCAAGTTTTTGATTCTGAAGGCATGCCCTAACGTCAGCCTCCAAACCCCCTACACGCAATGTGTCTCTTTAGACATATAGGTATTAATGTCGTAGACCTAGCCATATCTTGCTTTTGTGCAGGCAGCCATAAAAGGTCTAGTTGCTAGTACGTAGATGGTAGTTAATTGTTTTGGTTTTGCAAATGGTTTTCAGGATGTGATGACCATTGCCTCCAGTGTCACCATCCAAATGAGTGCGCTCGTTGTGAAGCTCCCTTTTTCCTCTTGCAAACACACTGTGTCCTGGACTGTGGGAAGCGATATTATGCAGACCGTGCAGAACAGAAATGCACAGGTGAACAGAACTGGGGTGAGAAGGTGGGATGGGATTGAGGGTGCAACTCTTTAAACACTGTGAACTGTTAATTCTCACATGGTGGTTTAGGCAAACAGAGAGCACCATTGACATGCAGTGATATGAAACTCATTGCTGACTCGGTGAAATCAGATTGAGAATTAAGGAATAGGCTATGCCTACCCTAGAACCCACTTACGATGAGTTTGGATAGAGTGAAATTCCATGCAAACAGCAACTCTGGTTTTAATGAACCTCTACTTATGACATTTGCCCATAATGAAAATAATATTCACTGTTATGTAATAGATCCACTCTGTTATAGCTTTCTCCTGTACGTTCAGATTAGCTAGTTGTGCAGGATCTGAGTGCATGGCCAGATTTTTCACTTGTGCAAAGCTAACCATGGTTCCACTTAAAACATTCTTCTGTTTTGAAAGATTGTCAGTGTGAGAGAGCTTTCCTATGTTAAATGGGGGAATACTAGTAGAACCAGCAATGAATCTCACACTGGTAAAAGCTTCCTACCAAGGACACCACTCTCTATGTATTTGTGAGTGGGTGTGTTAGCACTTGTAGATACAGTTTGGGTCATTTTTTACCATTAGGCAAGGTAGTAATGGGAGTAGTTGTTTCCTAATCTAAGAACTGGGACACCTGCACGTATCAGTTCTTGCATTGTTTGTGGTGCCTGATGAGGTTGTGCCTTCCCATCCATCTCAGCTTGCCCCGTGGGATGCTTGGAGTGTGACAATGCCAGTGAGTGCCACCTCTGTGATGCCACCATGTTTCTGAAGAACAAGCTTTGTGTTTCTTACTGTGCTCATGGTTTTTATGGCAACACCAGGACCAGAGTGTGTGAAGGTGAGTTCCTCCCATGGTGGATAAGGGAACTTAACTGGTGTTTTTCTGACAGGTTTTTGGGTCGAGAGGTAGCACTTGTTTAGTAGTATTTTTGAAACTCAAGTTTTGTACAGACACTCCATGCTGTTCACGGACTGGCTATTAAAAGGAGTAGAAAGCTAGTTCTCTGTAATGTTTCTTTTCAGGAAAATGCATGCAGCTGGCATTCCAAGTAAAGTTAATTTGTATAGTTAGGGATAATTCTCTTCAGCTGCAGCATGTTCCTCGCAGCCCCGTCTCCCATCATTCGTGGATGCAGAATAAAACCATGTGGAAAAAATACATTACTGAGGCAACAATGATACATAGCATTTTATATGTACAAAGCACCATGTAGACATGAACTAATTAATACCTCTGAAGGGTAGATCAGTAAGGGTTGTTGTTCCCATTTTACAGATAGGGATACAGAGATAAGAAGTGTCTTGTCTGAGCTCACACAGTCTGTGGCAGAACCTGGATTAGAAATCGGTCCCTCCTGATACTCTACTCTGTGTTCATTCCTCTAGACCACTGTGTCCTCCAGTAATGAGAGTGATATTAGGTGAGTCTGGTCTAGTATCTAGCAGAGGGCAGCAGCAAACATGCACGTCTAGGAGGACAGAGAGACAAATAAACATTGCCTCTGATTATGTAGTGAGAGCATGTCTTAGGTATTAATAAAAAGAAAAGGAGTACTTGTGGCACCTTAGAGACTAACCAATTTATTTGAGCATGAGCTTTCGTGAGCTACAGCTCACTTCATCGGATGCATACCGTGGAAACTGCAGCAGACATTATATACACACAGAGATCATGAAACAATACCTCTCCCACCCCACTGTCCTGCTGGTAATAGCTTATCTAAAGTGATCATCAAGTTGGGCCATTTCCAGCACAAATCCAGGTTTTTTCTCACCCTCCACCCCCCCCCCCAACTCACTCTCCTGCTGGTAATAAATTGGTTAGTCTCTAAGGTGCCACAAGTACTCCTTTTCTTTTTGCGAATACAGACTAACACGGCTGTTACTCTGAAACCTGTCATTAGGTATTAATGACGTTTTTCCCTTGTTTCTAGCCAGTACAGATATGTCTGCTCCCCAGGTGAATGGTTTACTCACAGTAGGGATTGGTGGGGTAAAGCCACTAGACTTGTCCTTCATGGATGCACGTGACCTGGGTGACCAAGATGGAGAGCTGCTGTTCCATGTGGTCCGCTCTCCCACCAATGGCAGGCTAGTGATAATGGAGAATGGGAAAGATGTGCAACTGGACAAAGGTGACCACTTCAGTTGGAAGGATGTGAAGGAGAAGAGAGTCCGCTTTGTGCACAGCAAAGAGAAATCCAGGTGACTGAGTGTGTCTTTGTTTTGATCTCTTGGTCTCGCAACGATGGATGCGTCTCGAAGAGTTACTCACCTGTCAGTCGGCACAGCACCGAAACTGCTTTCTGTGAGGCGCATTGCAATGTTTCCATCACAGTACCAAAGTTGCTGTACCATGGTATCACAGGCTGCACATTTCACTCCGTGTTTAGAATAGGAGAGAACTATGCTCCAGCTTCCGTTTAATTGAATGAGAGTTTGCTGTTGGATTCAGTGGGAGCAAGTGTAGCTCCCATGCTTGGGATACGGTGATGGTGGCGGTAAATGTTGATGTTTTAAGGGTGGTTGTGGTACATAGTTATTTGATACCGACAGGAAAATATTCAAATAATTATGTAGATCCACATCCCAGCATGACCTGCGCTTAGCCACTGCTGACGTCATGCTCTTGCTTTTTAGGTCCTGACAGTATGTTCCCTTACTTCGTGTATAGTACCTGGGTGTGTTCAGATCTGTAATGTTTGAGGAAATTGCATCTACTGACTGCCACTCATATGTGCCTGAATGAGACTGAGCGCCAAATTCCACACTCGGTTACACCACCCTGCAACCAGAATAAGCTCTAGTGTGTGGGCTGGAATCAGTGGAGTTATTCCAGTTTTACACCTGTGTAACTAAGAGCAGAATTTGGCCCATTGTTGTCAATAATAATTTTTTACTTTCAGAGCACTCTTCATGTCAGAATCTCAAAGCACTTAAAAATGTAAGCTAATTCTGACGAGAGAAGGGGCAGGAGCATGTGGTTTTCTATTGAGCTAGAGATTTCTTTCTGCGTGGTCTTCAAAAAGTCACTTCAGTGCTTTTGAAAATCCCACCCAGTATTCTTTAATGGAGACTAGTTTATTGAATTTTGGACATACTGGTTTACTGTAGATAATAATAGGCAAAGGGAAATTGGAGTATATTATGTACTGTGAATGCACTTTACTGAAGATACTATATAAACCTAATTGCAGAAGTATTAAGTTCACCTGCCACTAATCTACTCATTCCTCTTTGAATATATAGTATTTTGTCTTTCTTCTGTTCCACAAGCACATTTCATCCATTAATATTATTCTATTTTTATGCGGGGGACTTGTTTAGGAAAGGTCAGTTTTCCTTGAAGGTCAGCGACCAGCGGCTCTTCTCCCAGTTAGAGATGATCACCGTGCAAGCACTGTCGACACAGGTAATATAACAAAGCTGAAGAAATCCCTGATTTTTTTTATATAGATTTTAAATTTACAAGAGAAACTTGGTATCTTGTAACAATAACAAATGAACCTGAGCAAAAGTCAGTCGATCTGAATTTCTTCAGGCCAAAGAGGATATACCAGAGACACACAAGGCTGGATTCTCCTCTCATTTACACGGGTGTGAATTAGGAGAAGCTCCATTTAATTTAATAGAATTACACCATGTAAAAACAGTTTAAGTGAGAGCAGAATTTGGGCCACTGAGGACTGTAGTGCAGTGCACAATTATTATGGTATAGCAGAACGGCAGCTCTTCTAACGTTAACGTTGAGAGTCACTTACTTTTTAAAATAGTCTTACAGTTAGTGGATGATCTAGATGTTTATTCCACTTCAACGGAGTCATTATTGATCTCTACAGGAGAATCTTTTGCACTTGAAAGCCTGTAGTAAGAGTGTCTGCTTCCGGGCTGCTGATTAAGTAGACTAGTAGGAACAAACAGAGCAAAAGAGATTTCTAAATGTCTCTGCAGTCATTTATGTACCCCTTAAACTGCTCACCACTTTTACTCATGTATATGATTATTTTACTATCATTATTACTTAATATCTGTAGTCTGCTATTGCCTAGAGGCCTCAACTAAGTTGAGGCCCCATGGTGGTAGGGGCTGTACAAACATATAGCAAAAGAGGTTCATGCCCCATAGAGCTTACAGTCTGAAACACAAAATATAAAAGGTGGATGAGAGAAACAAGTATGTGAAAGGAGGACAGGGTTACAAAATTAATTGGATGTTTTAGCACAGATTAGCTGGGTACGCAATTCTTAGCCAATCAGTAGTGGTAATCACATCTTATACTCTTATGGGACCTGATTCTCATTTAAACAAAGGCTGTTTTACACCAGTCTGGCCAGTGTAAAGGAGAATGAGAATCATAAACTTCAAGGCCTCTTTATATCATCAAAGCAGTGTAAAACAGCCTTAGTGTTACTGAGAATCAGAGCCACAGTCTTTTAGTGTTGACTCTTGTCTGCCTGACTCCGCACCCTTAATCGTGAGTCATTTAAGAAATATATAAAAGTTTCTTTAATCTCTCCAGTTAGGTTCAGATTTCAGGCTGTAGTGCTATGCTGTGTTTTAGGCTAATTATGTAGGATCACAACCAGCTGCAACACCGCTCCAAAGCAGAAATGTTGGCACATTGAACTACTGACATCCTCACTATGTATAGCATTGGTGACCATTTTATTTATCTATTTAGTGTTCCTGATAGGGAATAAATCCTCCAGTTTGAGAAGGTTTTTTCTTTTTGGGGGACCCATAGTCTCTTGATCCTGTGAAGTCAGTAGGAATTCAGCACCTCGCAGGGTTGGGCCCTTTAATGGTAACTTGAGGATTTTTTTTTTTTAAATATCTTGATTGTGTTTTCTTACTTTTAAGCATTATTTTCTATGTGGGCTAAATTAATAGCTTACACAATAACTTACAGAACTCAACAGTGCTCCTTACAAGAAAGAACTAGATAACTAATTTGAAACTGGTAAAATTTGGACTGTAACCGGACTTCTTCCCAGGTTATGTAATGTCTTCAAGATGGAGGTTAGGTACCCCTTTGCCCTGGAGTTAAAGCTGTTGTGTAGCCGGGTTGGTCCAATCTATAAATAGAATTTGTTTTCCATAAAACATATGTCTGAGCATTATTTGGCGGCCTTGTACTTTGCGCAGCAAGAAAATATTTCATTACAGGCCTAGTCTTACAACTGTTGAAGTCATTAGTAGAACTCCCATTGGTTTGAGTGGAAGCAGAGTAGAGACTTAGGTGAGCTAGGACTAGAGGTCTAATCCAAAGCCTATTGAAGTCAGTTCCAACTCCAGTGACTTCTAAGGGTCAGGCCCTAGGGTCTGTGTCTGTACAAACACTTCATACACTAGCTGAGGTGAAGAGTTTAAGAATGCTATTGCCTGATTCTTTTGGAGACAATGGGCCAAATTCAGTCCCCGCATAAGGAGACATGATTCCGTTGACTTCAGTGGAAGTTGGACCTACTTATGCCCATGCCAAATTTAGTCCAAAGTCTGTGCTGCTTAATTCTCATTTTGTCTGCTGGACAAGAGATCAAAAGCCCAGCCAAGTGGAGGTGGCTTTTTGCTTCAGACTCACTTCTTCACCAGCAGAATAACGAAACCTTGTGCATTCCCATGTTACTCCCTTCAGTCACTTCCACTGAGACACTGTAACATAAGCTGAGGTCTCCCAGCCATTAGGTGTCACATGGAGTCATTTGTCTGTGTGAAGCCATCCCTTTAGATTTCTTTTTAATTTGCATGTCAGGGAATAGATAAGTACCCATAGTCTGTATCATGTGCGTTTGCAGCAGTGTTCCTTATACGACAATATCATCGGTTTAATAACCTTTGTTTTTGAGGAAAAGAGTGGGTCTGAGAAGAAGTGCTGTTCTAAAAAGAACCCCTATTTCAGCAGAGGGATATTAAACTAAGATTATTATTTAGTTGTATTATGGTTGTGCCTACAGGTTCCAACCGGGGTGAGGGCCCCATGATGAAAGGCACTATACACACACAGAACGAAAAGATAGTCTCTGTCCCTAAGAGCTTGCAATTTAAAGTAGGTGACAATAGACAACAGGTGGAGACAATCTGTGTTCTTTGGCTTTGGGTTTTGATTAGAAAAAAAAATCCCTTTTCTAAAGGTTCATGTTGCCTGTTTCCTAGATAAAGGGACACTTGAAACCTGAAGAAAACACATTTACCCAGATACGTAACCGGTTATAATGAAACAGTGATCTGCGTTATATGCCCTTCCCCTAACCTGTCTGTCTTGTCTGGTAGATTTTAAGCTCTTCAGAGCAGGGATAGTCTGCTGCTCTGTGCTTGTACAGTGCGTAACGCAAGGCGGCCCTGATCTCGGTTGCTGCCTGAGCACTACCATGATAAATATGATTAATAATGATGTTGCCATACCACCTGGGACTGCAATTTCATTTGATTACAAAAGCAAAGCATGGTGGGCCTGGTCATTACCTGTATGGGAGACCTCCACGGAACGCCTAGGAGCTGCAGAAATGGGAAGTGGTGAATGCAAAAGGCGGCACTCTTCTCTTGGGCTACATCTAGAGCCATTACCCAGTATGTGCAAGAGGAGGCGGCATTGTCTGGTCCATGAAGTTTCAGGTCATATTTTTATGTACGTTTTCCTCCTCATCATAGCCTTTCCTTGATAGGAATGGTGCCTTCTCCTTCTTGGTCATTGGGCAAGCAAGAGGGTTGTAACTAGGCACTAGGGCAGCTCTACCAAAATCAGGGGGAAAAGATCTGGAAATCAGTTATTGCTCAGAGTTCCCATTGACTTTAGCAAAACCAGGCCTTGTCCCTTGAGGTTCTTATTGAGCTATCTAAGCAGAGCAGCAAAGGGGATACAGACCGTGAGCAGGTAACTACATTCTTTATGCATAAATGTCCTGAGGCTTTTTGTTCAGCTTGCTGCAGTGTGAGAATCCCACCTTCTAATGTAATTAAATCTGTCTAGATAGTCTTAAGTTCTACCCTTCTGGGGAAACGTGCAGTTAGTGAATTCCTATTGTTTACAAATAGGGGCTTTCCAGCACATGAAGGGAATTAATCTCCCTACCCCACACCTTACTTCCAGACTTCCAACAGCATTAGAGCACTGTTGTTTAGCTAAGAGCTGTGTTTATGTTTCAGGCCCCCTACGTGCTAAGGAATGAAGTCCTCTTTATTAGCAGAGGGGATACTGGATCAATAACAAACATGTTGCTTGATATTCGAGACAATGACAATCCCCAGGATGTAGCAGTGATGGTTTTAGATCCTCCACGTCATGGCCAGCTGGTCAAAGCTCCAGGGGACACAGCTTCTGCAGCCCAAGTATTCTATCTGGATGACCTGGCGAATGGACTCCTACGGTACGCTCACGATGGTTCTGACAGTCGGGATGATACGGTTCTTCTGCAAGTGAATGATGGGCACCACTTCCAGAATATCCTGTTCCACATTAAGATTTCTCCAAAGGTATGTTCCTTTCTGCAGTGGCCAAGCTAGTAGTTTATAAAAGCAGTATATCTGGGGGAGAGGTTAGAGACCAGACATTGCTGACAGGGGTGCAGCAAGGGAGGGGCAAAGTGGCAGGTTGGGTTTGGGTTTGGGTTTGCAAAATCTTGTCTGTTTGTGTTTTGGTTTGTAGACCCACAATGGTTCCACTTTAGTGGTTCAGCTTAGCTAAATAGTTCCTGTTTCAGTTCATCTGTAGCTGCGGTCTGAGAGTTGAAAATGCACCATTCTTTTTTGCGGTGGGAGCAATAGACATGTGAGAAGAGGGGGGCCTGACTCTACCCTCACTCCCTGGAGGAAGGGGTGCTGAGAGGCTGGTAGCAATCTGCAGGCAATAGTGTGATATTGGACATGGGCCCCCAGCTAAAAAATTCACATCTGGATCCAAACTTCCCCCAAAGTCTGAGGGTGCACTGATTAGGGGATTTGGGCCAGCAAATTATAAAATTAGGGGCCAGAGGCAAAGTTCTGATCCAGATAAGGAGTCAAATGTCCCCGAAGTGTGGAGGTGTTTGGGTTTGGGGTTGTAATAAGGAGTCAAACGTCCCCAAAGTGTGGAGGTGTTTGGGTTTGGGGTTGTGATTGAGGCTCATTTATGACTGGCTTTAAAGCGGGTTATTCATTTGACCAGAGGTTAGGTTATGTAGCTAAGTAACATCAGTGGAGGAGAAAACAGGACAGCTTGGTGTTTGGGAAAAAAGAGTTCTTCTGTGAGTGCCCGACGCAGTAAGTTAGTATTACACAGTCCGTGCTAAATTGTGAGAAGAGTGGATGCATCTGGAAAATGAATGGATCTCAGGAAACTATCAGGAAAAGAAACCTACATAAATTAAAAGGCTTAGTTAACAAAGTGTTTGAATTGCTGACTTCAGCTTTAAAGGGATGGGGAGGTATTGAGTGCGGTGAGTTCATGGCTGATCAACATCCCAAAGCTATCAAGATCACTGAAGTTTAATAAACTTTACTTAATACTTGACCCTTCTTAATATTTAATCATGTTCCTAGAGATATTTGAGAAGAGATCCCTAAAATTTAACAATTATTATTATTTATTTTAATTTAATTCTTCCATTTTTATTAAAAACTGGATGTTCCCACCTGTAGTTGTGTTATTCCCATTCTAAGTACAGGGAATGCGGTGGTAAAGAAAATTATGGTGCAGTATCTATTTTTAAATCACATCACTTTTAAAAAACAAAAAAAGTAGAATGCATTGTGGCAGACAATTTTTATGTCAGACACTATACATTGTGTAACAATCATTTCAATAATGTGTGGTGTTGTCATAAGATAAGAGTCGTCAAAAAGTCAAGGATTTGTCCACCTGAGAAGAGGTCAGATTTGTGCAGTCCTGCTATTGTGTATTGTGGAACCCAACAATTACAACTGACTTCCTTATATAACTTTGGCCAAGTCACTTAATCTTCCAGGGAAGGGGTTGGAAGAGGCGGGGCAGAGGTGGGGCCTCACGGAAGGGGTGGAGTGGGGGCGGGGCCAGGGCAGTGGGTTGGGGGGTGGTCAGTGGTGCGGCCCTCGGGCCAATGTACTAGTCCCCATGTGGCCCTCGTGGTCATTTGAGTTTGAGACCCCTGCTCTATTGGGAAACAGTGAGTCCACACCCTAGAAAATGTGCCATCTGACAGCATCAGATCAGCCAAAGCGGGAGTTAGACCTGGCTGCATGTTGTGTGTTTGTTGTAGGTATCAGCCTGGGTAATGGGATATGGAACCCTTTGCCTTCCAGGTGGCCAAAAGATACTTAGATCAGATGGTTGTGTGATGTTCAGTGTAGTAAGGGCTGATAGTCTCGGTTCATTTCGCAGTGGATGAGTATCTCTTGTGGGCAGTTTCAGCAGGAAGGCCCAGATTTGAACGGGCATAGAGACTGAACTACCTTCTCACCGCTAGGGGCGATTCAGCCAGGTTGGGGTTGAGGCACATTGGCAAGGCAGTGTGGCGGAAGCATGACCAGCAATAGCCTGTGCTATACTTGCTGAGTGGTTAAATAGAGAGGACTTTAGTCTTCAGGACTGTTCAGTACTCACAAAAGGTGCATTCAAATTCATGCGTGTGGGTATGCGCACACACACAGTGGAAATGTAACGATCAGCCTTACCACCGGTAAACAAAAATCTGACATGATTCCAGTTGTGTCGCTGACCTCTGCAGGAGAACTGACTCTGGCCTAGCTATAACTTGTCACTTACAAAATAAAAGGATTAGCAAGCAAGAAGGAACCTTTTGCTGAGTACATTTTTATTAATTAGTTGAATCACAGCATCAAAGCCAGCCGGGAATGTTATTGAAAAATGACTGAATGATTTATTGTGGGGAATGAAGAGCCCTTCATTCATTCATCCATCCCTTCGAAATGAGGAAATGCCATTGTTGCTCTGGAACTGTGACCTTACTTTTAATTAACATTTTCTTGGAAATTTTTTCTTCTCATACAGTGCATTTTTGGCCCTCGCCCTCAAAGTACTCTGAAGCACGGCTGCTCTCTCATTTCTCCCCTGCCATAATAAATCTGGTAATTTCTCTGACCCTTTCAAGCTGGTAATTTCCTGCTGCTGATTTATGCTTTGATGTTAAACTCCATAAGTGCCGTGACATCACTGACACTTGAAGACGGGTGGAAAGTTGCCATGGGTATTGTTAGGGTTCTCCTTTGCTGGCAATCAGTCCTGTCTTACTTCTGCTCAATTCTTTTAAAGAATAAAGCGGTCATTTGTCCTAGGGGATCTGCTGATCCTAAATGATGTAAAACTTAGGACTACATGACATTCTGATTTAAAAAAATTGCATTATGCAAAATCAATATTAAATTCATTAAAATTTGATTGGTAGATCTCAAAAAGTAATTGTAAGGGGGGAGTTATCATATAATGGGGGTGTTTTAATGGGGACCTGCAGAGATCCTGCAGGGATCTGTTCTTGGTCCAGTGTTGTTCAATATTTTTATAAATGATTTGGAAGCAAATATAAAATCATTACTGATAAAGTTTGTACCTAACATAAAACTTGATGAAGCGGTAAACAGTGAGGACAGTTAAGTTATACAGAGCAATCTGGATTGGTTGGTAAAATGGGTTTATTTGAACAACATGCAGTTTAATGCAGCCAAATGTGAGGTCATACAGGTAGGAACCAAGAATGTGGGTCACACTTACAGGATGTGCGGGACTGTAGCCTAGAAAGTAGTGACTGAAAAGGATATAGGGGTCCTGGTGGATAGCCCAGCTGAAGAGGAGTTGCCAATGTCATGCTGTGGCTAAGATGGCTAGTATGATTCTTGGCTGTAATGCTGGGCAATATCGAGTAGATGGAGGGGAGTGTTATTACCAGTGTATATGGTATTAATGAAGCCATTCCTGGAACACTGTGACATGTTCTGCTGTCCACACTTCAAGAAGGATGTTGAAAAATTGAAAAGGTTTCAAAAAAAGAGCTATAAGAATTGTTTGGAAAACCTGCCTTACAGTGGAAGACTTAGGAAGCTCAATATATTTAGCTTATCAAAGAGAAGATTGAAGTGACTTGACCATGGTCTATAAGTACTTACACGGGGCGACAATTTTTGATAGGAGAGCACTTTTAAATTTAGTAGACAAAGGTATAATAAGGTGACTGGAAGGTGAAGCTAGGTGAGTTCAGTCTATAAATAAGGCATAAATGTTTAACACTGAGGGTAATTAACCGTTGGAACATTTACCAAGGGATGTGGTAGATTCTTAATCACGTGAAGTCTTTAAATTAAGACTGGATGTCTTTATCAAAAATATGTTCCAGCTAAACCACAAAATGTGGGCTTGATGCGGGAATTGCTGGGTGAAATTCTGTGGCCTGGATTACACAGGAGGTCAGACAAGATGATCACAAGGGCCACCTCTAGCCTTAGAGCCCAGTAATCTAGGATGAGGTATTTGAGAACTTGTCACTGTTGTTAAAACTGATTTTGCCTTGGGATAAATTTGGCTCCCAAATATTTATTTTCCAGTTGGAAAACTTCCTGTGCCACAAGTAAGGTCCCTTCCAACCCTGATAGTCTCTGATATTTTATAAACATCAGGTTTATTTATGTGTCTCTTCCAGACACACTACCACACCCAAACCCCTCGGTCATTTCATGTATTCGCAAACACTTTCGTAATGGCAGAACTATATCAGAAAAGTTCTCCCCAGCGTGTTGTTGGTTCTAAAGGTGTTATACTTTGACATGCTTCCTAAGATGTGAAAGGGGTGAGAGATTGAAGTGATTGCCAGGGCCTGTGTGTATTGAAGTGTCACTGTTCCACTATGATGAAAATTACAGATACTTAAAAAGGTTGAGAGTGTTTTTATTTATAGCTTGTTTTTAAATGAGGGTGTGGTTTATAACCATCCTCAAAGAAGTGTGTGTGGGGAAAGGATTTAAAAGGGGGAGAGATAGCATCAGACAAGTATTCTAGTCCTGGACAAAGGTTTTAGCAGTGGAGATAGTGAGGATTTTTGACAGTGTCATGGAGGTTAACCTGACAAGAGAGAAGCTGCAAAGGGAAAGAAAGGGAAGCAGATGCACCAGGACTTAAGGACAAGGAAGACAATACTGTTTAAATGAAGAGGTGAAAAGGCCACTGACAGAGACGGAGGATGATGGTACGGAGAGGATTAGGGAGGGAGTGACTTGCGATCAGGAGAAGCTGGGCTCAAAGGGGACAAGAAGAAAGTCACAAATGGGACTGAAAAATGAGAAAGTGGAAAGTGGGAAGGAAAACAAGGTGGGAAATGGAATTGGTAGGACAGGGAGCTTCCCTCTTTGAAGCAGATGAGAATCAAAGAGAGTCAGCTGCCTCATGTGTTCTGCAATATTCAACCTCATCCTTCTTGTTTAAAAATTTGTTTACACTGGCCCATTATCATTGCTCTTCAACCAAGACTCTGCTGCTTCCCCCCTCCTACCCCCAATCCCCTGCAGAGTGATGGAGGCCCCCGGCTGGTCACTAACCCCCTGGTGTGGGTCCCAGAAGGAGGGATGCTGCAGATCACCAACAGAATTTTGCAAGCAGAGATGCCTGGTGCCAGTGAATCTGAGATAACCTACACGATCATCAAGGACCAGCCAAGATACGGTAACTTATTGTAGATCCTGTACTACCAGGGGACATTGCTGTTGGGCTGCTCCTTCTCCTTCCCTGGCATCTCCCACCCTTAACAGAAGAAGTGCAGGTTTCTAATTCTCTGGGAGTCAGGCATGCTCAGCACTGGCTAAGGACATTATTTCATGGTATTTTGTACACATCAAATATCTTTGGAGAACGCAGTTAGTTATAGTGCGCGTTTCAATACCATCAGCTACGAATACTTACATATGATGTCCAAATCCCACATCTGGCCAGTTAAAATGGGCGTCAGCTTGTAAAACAGTCATGGCTAGATTCCAGTCTGAATGCCCAAATGGTGGGGCTGCGTGTTCCGTTTCATTGTCCATGGTTGCAGATGCATTGAGCTCAGTGCAGTTAATATGGAGTTAGACCCAGATGCTCAAAGGTATTTAGGCACCTAACTCCCATTGATTTCAGTGGAAGCTGGGCACCAAGTATCTTGTGAGGACCTGGGACAAAGACCCTCATGGGAACACAATGTCACCCACTGTTTGTCAAATAGTAACATGATGTGATGCAGTGTCGTTTTAGCCATGTTGGTTCCAGGATATTAGAAGGACAAGGCGGGTGAGAGAATATCTTTTATTGGACCAATTCTTATGTCAACCTTATCTCCTAATTCCCACTGTGGGCTCTGATCTCTGAGTGGCTGCCTTCACAGTCTACAGAAACAAAGGTGGTAAAAGCATTCTACAGGCTGAGGGGAAGGCAGGGTGGTAAGTAATGGGATTTGTGACTGAGGTACAAATTCGGAGAAGCTGGATGGGAAAGAGAACAGAGCACATCGGGCTGGAAAATAAATATGAATAAGAGAGAACGACATTAATTTCCCCATCAGATGTATTGTTTCATTCACAAGGACAAATAATCTTTAAACATGCTTTAGACCCAAATGAAACTGTATTGTTTTAATTTGCTGAACCAGATCAATTTAGAAAGGGTCACTTTAACAACACAGACTCTGCTCTTCTCCGTGTTGTTTTTAGAATAGGTTTAATTCTTAAACAGCTGCTGAAGCCTCACAGAAGATGTTGATAAACACAGTGCTACTGTTCAGTTCATATTTAAATATGCCCTATATTGTCTCTGGGTAAGGCGAGAGTCTCGTTTTTAATCATTTGAAATATTCGTATGAAAACAGGAATTTGATCTTTAGGAATTCATCTCCTGCTGCCTAATCCTCATTTGAAGTTATAATCCTCTGGATGTATCATCGTAAATATCTCCACAACAACTATTTGTGATTATATAAACAGAGGTTTATGGCTTCAGATGAGAAATAAACAGCAGGAGCCTTTGATCTTCAAAGTTTTCTATGAAATATTATTCCTGGTGGTGGTAATAATAATTTAAGAAAAAGCAAGGAAATACAAAAACAGGTCCTGAGTAAAAAAGGGTCAACATAGGGCTCCAGTACAAGCAGAATTCCAGATCCGTGAAATGTGTGTGCATTTTCTAGTCTCAGCTTGTTGTTGTTCCAGACCAGTTAGAAATGAACCATCTATGTATTTTTATTTGCTGATGCTTCCTTCTGATTTGTGGGGGAATAGCTACTCCAGAGGCTAAATCCTGGCCCAATTGAAGTCAGTCTCAAAACTGCAAGTTGACTTCAGTAGGATCTGGATTTCACTCCAGGTCTGTAATGTTAGTAAAATGAATGGGAATTGGGCATCCTAAGAGACTGACTCATGTGAGTAAAGTATCGGAATCAGGCCTATCATTAGATTGAAGGACCATGCTTCTAGGGGAATATTAGTGTAGTTTTCAGTGCGTGACAGGGTCGCCGGATGCAACCTGGACTGTGGGATCGCTGAGCCCGCTGAACTCACCAACCTGGGCTGCCTCTCGCGTTGTGATGCTGACGTCAAGCTATAACACTCTGATCAGCACTGCGTTTACACAGACATCCACGGGCAGGCACACACTGAACTGAGTTACATGAATGATGTCCCAGCCACTCATGAATCGCCAGTAGGGAGGCTCCCCCCCAGCCTTGCACCCCAGCACTATACTGTCCCACACTGCTTAAGGCTTCCTTGGGCAGTGCAAGTTCATTAGTTCACCACTCCCTCGGTGTTGAATGGATACACGCTAGCCTTTGTAAACTGAGCTGAGATTTCCCAAGCACTTCAGCCAAAACAGATTTATTAATGACAGAAAGATACATTGTAAGTGACTATAAGTGGTAGGCACACAAGTCAGAGATAGTTAACTTAAGAAAAGTTAACATTCATTCTAAATCCTAAATTTTTAGTCTAAGCAGGAACTGAACCAAACAATGTCTCACCCTGACAGATAGTACAGGCAGGTTACAGTTCCCCAGTACACAGGCTGGGACTACCTTCCAGCCTGGGACCACCCTTCCCCAGTTGGTCCATTGAGACATTCTTCCAGGTATTGAGTTGTGGGGGAGAGACCAAGTGTTGATGTCACTGTCTCTCTTTTTATATCTTCTTCCTGCTTACTAGAAAGATCCTTGCTGTGACGGGGTGGTTAGGCAACCTTCATTGGTCAGGCAGTCTCGATGGCGTATGTACTCTCTTTGAGAAGTCTCTGGGATGGCCCTTGGGAGAGTGGATTCCCTTTAATGGGCCATCAGCATGTGTCTGGCTGGTCCTCTGTTGTAGTTGAGAGGTTGGCTGGGGGTGTCTTCCAACCTCACAACATATTTCAGTAACACACATTGCTACACTTCATAACTGCACATATAATGTAGCACACACAATCCAAAAGGATATTAATGTTCAACAGATCAAGACTTTTCAAATGATACCTCCCAAGGCATGCATTGTACAAAACCGATCATAATCATGTCATAATGGTGAATATGGGGGTTCCAGGATGCTACTTTGAGGTACAGAATGTCACATAGTGATAAGAGAGAAACATGATATGCAAGCCTGCGTTTTTTTATTACTCAAACGTCATTCAAATGCGATTTTGGGAAATGAACTAAGAGAGCTTAAAATGAATATTTTGCAAAGCAGAATTATTGCTACAAAAAGAGCTAAATAATTTGTATGGGTTTTGATTAGTAGCTACAAGGGATACTTTCAAAGGTCAATAGAGAGGTGGAATGCACAATTAAATACAGATTCAGTGGGAGACTGGAGTTTGCTATATGTGCAGACTACATTTCTATCCATGAGTACTAAAACATAGGACGATATGTAATTATTAGCACAGATTATATATAACTCTAAAACAAATGAGTAAAATTAAATGTTAAGGACCAGCTAGATCCTCAGATGGTATAAATTACCATAGCTCCATTGACTTAAGTGAAGTCAGGAATACTGTGTCCGGTTCTGGTGTCCCCAATTCAAGAAGCACGTTGAAAAATTGGAGACTGTTCAGAAAAGAGATGTGAGAATGACTAAAAGATTGATAAACATGCCTTATAGTTAAAGACTCAAGGAGCTCAGTCTGTTTCGCTTATCAAAGAGAAGGGGAAAGGGTGACTTGATCACAGTCTATACGTACCTACCTGGAGAAAAGAAGCTTGATGATAGAGAGGTCTTCATTCTAGCAAACAAAGGTATCACAAGATCAAATAGCTGGAAGTTGAAGCCAGATGCATTCAGACCCTAAATGAGGTGAAAAATTTTAACAATGAGGATAATTAGCCATTGGAATAATTACCAAGGGTTGTGGTGGATTATCCGTCACCGACCATTTTTAAATCAAGATATTGGAGGTTTTTCTAAAAGATCTGCTCTAGTTCAGCCACAGCTATTACACTTGAGGCAGGAATTAATTCAGGGAAGTCCTGTGGTCTGCGTGGGTATGTTTACACTGTGTGCTAACCCCGGGCTCTGACTCCAGTGTGAGCTCAAAACCCCTTAACATCCACACACAAATCAGTCTGACTCAAGTCAGCAAGCACTCAGGACCCTGGTCTTAAGAACTACTAGGAGGGTGGGTCAGAGCCTGAATTACACCGTGATTCAGGGCCAAGCCTGGGCATTTTGCAGTGTGGATGCAGGTCAAGCCATAGACCCAAGGTCTGCATAGTGCAGTATGGACGTGTTAGCATGGCTATGAGATCCAGGTGTAGTGGTTGCAAAGCCAGTATTACAATGCAGTATGGACACTCAAGCATGGGGTTGGAAATACTGAGTCTACAAGCTCAGGTCCCACAGATCTGGGCTTGATGTGCAGTGTAGACATATCATATTATGCGGAAGGTCTGACCAGATGGTCCCAGTGGTCCTTTCTGTCCTTAAAATTTATTAAACTCTATGTGCTGAGGATCTAGCCCTAGAACTGTATACAAAATGTGATATAAAACCCATTAATATTAGGAAAAATGTCCATAATGCTCCTATTGCAATTAACAGAAAAACTGTTATTGAAGTCAATGGTGCAGGGTTGGGCCATAATTCTGAACATGCGACAAAGTTTGGTTCTGAAGTTATTGAATATATACCTGATTTACTAAATGTGTGGGTTTATTTAACCCAGGTGTTTGCATTTTGAAATAATGTATAAATTCTAGATTAAATAGACATCACAGTAGCCCTATGGGAATAGCACTGTCAGTTGCAAAAACGTTTATAAGAAAATACCGAACAAAGGAATCTACACCTTCAGCGTAATAGAATCATTTACTTTAGTGTCAGAACGGATGAAGGGTTAGGAATGCATGAATCCCAAGAGAACCTCCTCATACCCATTCAGAGGTGATACAAAGACATTTAAGATCACATGGGTCTCTTATTTGATTATCAGTTAGATATAATCTACTTTAAAAGATGTTTTATTGTTTTGATCGTGTCATTTTTCATAAGGTTTTTGTTTGATTTGTTTGTATTTATATATGAGATTTTGGAGAAACTTTGAATTATGTGTTGCACAATAAAATAAATAAAATATTTAGGACCAAGATTTTGATGCCCTTTCAGTGAGTAGCACTTGACTCTGTGTAATCTCATGGAAGTTAGGGGGCTACTCATGGAGTAAAATGTTGTTCACCATGAGTAAGGGATAAGAATCTTCTTCTATATATATTTGGAGGGTCAAAGTTGATCAATAACAGGATTGATCCTCCAGTGATAAACATTGTCATGGCTGCGTTGAACCCAGTGGAGGTAGGACAATTTACACCAGCTGAGGATCTGTCTGGCTGTGTGTAAAAGCTGATATAAGCAGAGTGTTTTCTGTGTGATATCAGGGGATCTTTAAACTGAATATTATTCCGACCAGAAGCTATAGCTTTGCAGTGTTTTTACATCAGCTAATAATACTGGGTGTTGTAATGTATTAGTTCAGCATTTCTATATGTGCTGAATATTTCTGCTTAAGTAAATTAGTAAAGAATAAAATTATGGGGTTAAAAGGTGCACAAAAGCATCAAACAAACTGGGCCAGAAAGAATTCAAGTGCACTCCATATGTTGACACAAACACTTACAAAGAGTCAGCTCTCCCTACACATAGGAGTAAGTAGAGTGGTCTAGGAGCAGTGTAGTGGCACTTGGGAAACATGGGTTTGGTTGCTGGCTCAGCCATATGCCTCCTATGTGATCTTTGGCATCTTCCCTGTGCCTGTCACCCACCTCCGGAAATGGATTCCCTACTTCACACGAGTGTTTGGAGGCTGGTGATTTTGGAGTGTTTTAATCTAGAGGCAGACCAGTGAACAGAAGAGGCTGCCAGTGGGTGAAGACTTTTCCCTTTGAATGCACAGTTGGTTGTGGGGAAGGACACACACGCTTCCTTGTCTCATGCATGGTCTCTCCCTGTTCACCTCTGCTTTCTCAGGGGAGGTCGTTCTTCTGGGTCCAGTGCCAGCAGATGGCCCAGCTGCCTCATGGCAGCGTCTGCCTGATGGAAGAGCTGCCACACCAACCACCTCTTTCACCCAGCAGGACATTAACAAAGGCATTGTGTGGTATAGGCAGTCTGGATCCCGCGCGGAGAGCGACTCTTTTTACTTCCAGGTACTGCCTGTCTTGCCATCTGTCCTAGAGCAGCTTTTATTTTCCTCTGAGACTTACTCTGTTTGCTGTGCCTTATCCATTATCAGGATCAATGTTTGTGCCTGGAGACAGAAAGGTTTAATCATAAAAAGGCTCCCTATAGGTAGGACCAAATCTTAGTCTTAATGCAGGTAAAACTCCCACTGATGCTAGAGACAGTTTTGTCCCCCGGCAGGATTTGGCCCCTTGTAATGACCGCAGTAGTAGAGGTATCCATCTGTAGAGCTGATTTATTAGGCTAACTCTTGTATGCTGATGTTGACCTCGTTTGGCACGTCACAGACCACATCGCAGATCTAGGGAAAATTGCCTTTCAAACAACTTACCAAGGGACTGCCAACTCCTAGAGGTTTGTCTGATTCTACGTCCATCTCAAAGAGGAGTAGACTCCTGAGAGGAAGTTAAATTGCACCACTCCAGTAGTGATATCCTGCTGGTAGCCTCTCTAGGCAGGAGATGGAGGAATAAAGTCATTAAAAAGGTGTGAGAGAATGACTGTCCCCAGAGTGAACAGGTGCACAATGGCCTATACGTGCGTGGCCTGACTTAGGACTGTGCCGAGAATGAAAACCGCAGACTCATTACAGCAGAAAAGACACAGACTGGAGCAGTGTGCCCGGAGGCGGATGCTTGCTCGGGTAGTGATAGTACCCCCCTCCCTTTCCACGCTTGGATCTACACAGAATATTTGTTGTTTAAAAATGCTGATGCTCAGGGCATGCCACTTTTCAGGAGCCCTGCGACGGGGGTCTTCCTGGAGTCAGTATTGGTGGGAGGGGTCTGGGACTGATGCCCAGGCAGACCAGGTGTGGAAGGGAGTGGGGCAGGGAGGTGTATTTTCCCCATCAGCCCCACAGAGATGGCTAGGAAGACATAACACAGCTTATTGCTCTCTTATCCTTCTTTACTCCCTTGTAATAGGAACCCTCTTCAAGATAAGGGATTTCCAGGGGGCAGCTGCAGCCAAGGGCAGCATGGATGGCCCTGTGCCTTAGGCGATGTCCTGGGAATGACTGAGTGGGGAGCAGAAGGAGGGGAGGGAAACAACACTCCATGAGGAGATGGTTGCAGAGTTTTCCTCTGCCCAGGCCCCCTCCCATATGTGTATTTCTGTATCAGGGTGTTTCATCCCTGAGAAAAGCACCACCTTGAGATTTGCTGCTGCAATTATGGAGGTGTGGCTCACGACTCCAGCATTAAGTTCTGTTTTGCTCTTGAAGCAGGGATTTAACTTCTTTATTTGGTATGAATAATGCAGCATGCCCTCCCCAAACCTACTGTGCTCACTCTGAGCAGTGAGTGGGTTTTTTTGAGAGTTGAGTTCGATTTGAAAACACCCAGGCCAAGAGCCCATCTCTCTCCTGGGGTTCTCTCATGTAATAATTTAATTTTCTTAATAGACTTCTGCTCTCACTCCACCAATAAATGTGTATATATAGACAAAAAGGCACAAAATACACCCCAGCAGCCATTATAATAAAATAAACCCCACCTTCCCAGCAGGCAGAATGATCATAAAATCCCTCAGACAGGATCTTGCATTTTGCTTGGGAAGTTTAACAGTCTCCCATAATGCTAAGTCAACATGAACATTTGCGTGCAATATTTGTTACATTTGGTTTACAACTTAGAAGCTATTACTGACAGGCAGTTAAGGTAATTTCTGAAGTAATTAATATAAGTGATAATGAGGAAGTTGAGAGTGCCAGATGTTGAGCAAGCTAATCTTTAATTTAATGGCTGTGTCGCTCATCGGTATCTGCCTTTTGCATGAGTCAGACGTGTGGGTTTAGTTTCTTGGTGCAGCGACAATAATTGTATGAGGAGCGAGCCCTATAGGGAAAAGAAGCTACAGCGTGCGGTATCATATCAGAAGATCATAATACATCTGTCTGAGTGCAGAAAAGTGGATTGTGACTTCCCAAAAAAGGCAGGCTTGTGTGTTTTCAACAGCGCCCTGGGAATTGTAGTTCAAATGACATCAACATAAACAGACCCTCTGAGTGACTAAAATCATTTCGGTTTTACTCTTTCAGGCCTCAATTCCGCAAAGCATTTTCATGAACGTTCTCAACTTGAAGTGGGTGTTAAGTCCATTCTTACTCAGCAAACTGTTTTAAGTTCTATTGAAGTCAAGGACGTACTGGGGCCTAATCCTTCCATGGTGTTGAGTGTAGGGAAGGCAATGAGAGCTAAGGGTGGTTGCCGACTTTCAGGATTATTATAAACCTTTCTAGCATAGTTTCTACACTATGTTTTAGTGCCTTTAAATTTTTGTAAAAATAATTATGCTGGATCCATGTGTTTATAAAAAAAAAAAAAAAAGCAACTGCAACTGGACTGTGATGAGTTAGATATTAATTTCATCTTGATATTGGGATGGTGGTATGGACCATCTTCCAGTGTGGAGCACAAAGTCGTCTTGTGCAGCCTTGACCTTGATAGTATATCGTATCAAAGAATAGTACAGTCTGGTACCTACTATGTGAGTGCATTTGGATCACAGAGAAGCAACCCTAAGAGACATCTGCTTGAAGGTGCAGGGTGGTTTTTTTTCCAGCATTTATCATCTAGTTTTGCTGCGCTCATATTCTCAGGATCAGCCCCTAACTTTGTTCTCCCAAAGCCAGAAGGAGGAGTAGGGGAGGTTAAGAGGAGGGCCTAGAAAGGCAGTTGTGTTTTCAAACAATAGCAGTTCTTCATCATTGCGAATGAATTGTGATCATGAATTGTGATCAAGGATTCCATTTGTATGAACTTGTATTTGCAGGTATCGAGTGCTGCTATTCCACAAACCCACCTGGAGACCCACACATTCAACATTGCCATTCTCCCACAGATACCCAAAGCACCGCAGCTCTCACTTGGGTCCTCTCTCCATATGACTGTAAGTCTAACCCAAAGTCACTGGCGAATTGTCACTGCATTTTTCCTTCTCATTCTGGGAGTGTACTGAGACCAGACTTTGGCACAGAACAATTATCGCTTAATATTGCTTCCTCTTAATGTTGTTCAGTCTGTGCATTGTACCTGATTCAAGGATCAAGGGAAGCTGGATGCATAGTAGAAAAAAGAAAAGTGAAATGAATCATAGCTCAGATGTTGAAATGTAAAAAAAAAAAAAAAGTTGGAAAGTCAATATGAATAGAGGTGATTGAGATAAAATTGTAGATTGTAGAGGCTCTTAATAAAGAAGAGAAAGGAAGAAACTACATATTTACATCTTTTCAAAGAATTCCCATAGCTCTTAAAATCCCATGTATTACAGAGACTAGTACAGTGGGAAGAGGCAAAAAGTGAGACAATAACAAATAGATCTTATGAGTAACTACACTGCAATCCATTTTTACAAAGATCACAATCTGCTCACATGACAAAGTTCTAATCCACCAATCTGACACCAGAAACATATATTATAATATTTTCCTAAAACATTCAGACAGGTCTATTACATTTGACTGTAAATTACTCTTTTTGAAGCATTGGCAGTGGAAGTAAGTATTGCGTTTTTATACTATGCCATGTAATCTAATGCAGTTGTTCCCCATATCATTTTAATTTGAAGAGACGCCTGCAAGGCTCGTGGGAATTAAATTAGACACACAACAAGCCTTGTAGGGGTTGGCAGGTGTATGTAGTGTATATGGCATATATTTTTGCTTTGTTCTGCTATGTGCTCTGTTCCTGTGAACTAGCAGAATGCTGTTGTATACCTGAATCCTCCTTGGAGTTCTGGTGATAGCATAACCCACTAAAACCTATGCTTTATGCCAACAAATATACCTTGGTTCGACTGTTTCTTTCTCAGTGCAGACTGATACAAAGCCCACTGATGTCAAGAAGAGTCTTTTCAGTTAGGTCAGTGGGCATCAAGATCCACAAGTGTAGCACAGTGCAAGAAGGTCATGGTGCAGTGATTAATACAAGAGAAACTCAGACCTTCTACAAATTGGGCCAAATTCGGCCTTGGCATAAATTGATGCAATTCCCATTAGCTTCAGTGGGATCTGTACCTGATTCACCAGGGCTGAATTTGGTCTATATGGCCTGTTTTTGAAGTGTAGGATGGCTATTCACTCTTGTTATTTTCAGCATGACCCTGATTTTAAGATCATTTCAAAATGTCTTCAGGGAGAATGCAGCGTTGTTGTCTTGATGTTGGGTTGTACAACCCCTGACAGCACTGACCAAAGATGTTGTGACACTGGGTTAATGACATTATTATTATTAATACGCTCAGAAGTGTACTGGGTACCTCTTGTAGGGGAGTGGCTACCCCACAGCACACAGCGCTGGCCACACATGGTACAACTGGCTCTCCCTCCATTTCCTTCTCTGAGGTGGGTCTCTGGCTCTCCACATGCTGGTCTGTGCTGGAGATGTGACTTAGCCCGCTGGCCAAATCACAAGCAAACCCGTAGCAACAGTTCAACAAACAAAAATGTCCTTCTGCCTCTTCAGCCCACCCTCTGGGCCTTGCTCCCAGCTGGTTTCTTGGCTACCTGTGTGAGTCATTCTGGTTCTGGGACAGAGCACTGGGTCCCCAGGCTGGTTCCCGTGGAGTACCGTTCTCAGCTGCTTTGGGGCTGTGTTCCTTGTAGCCTTCCCTGCTGTGGTATAGAGCATTGGGCCCCCAGGCTGGTTTTCTGGGAGTACTTAGTCTCCTGCAGACCCTGACTCAGGCCTTCCACAGTAGCCTGCCCACTGCCTGTGGTTCCACCTCCAGATTTATCTCATTCTCAGTCCTTTTATAAGGCCCATATGTCGATTAAGCTGTCACCTGACCCTCCTTAGTCCCTCCGCTTCAGGCTGGAAGCAGCTAATTAATTATGGCCAGGTGTGGCTGACCTGTCTCCCCTTAAAGGGGCCACTCACCCACTGACATTGCCTTATGAAAATAAATAAAGACCCAGTCCATGCTGCAGAGAGTCAACGTGACCCAGCAAGCGAGGGTCATTAACAGACAAGTTGGTAGTGGGTTGTAATAAGGTCATGTGGTGATTAAGGCAAGTGGACATCTCAATGGCTCTGCTACTTGTTAGACGGTATATTCTCCCTGCCCGTCCCCCCCGCCATGTTTGCTCGCAGACAAGATGGCCGAAGTGAGGCATTAGGAGGGATTTGGAGGTGGCCTGGTGAACAACTTTGGGGCAGGCGTTCCAAGCATAAGGGAGATGGCTTGGAGTTGCCTGTGAGAAAAGCCATTGCGGAATGGAAGGGCTAGGAGAGGAGGTCAGAGCTGTAGGCAGGGTACTTGAAGCCTGGCTTTGGGAACCAGGGCTAGCCATCTGAATGAGATGCACAGGCACGTCTGACCTTATTAATTACTAATTCTTTATTCATGATGTGTTAAGTGCCTGCGGCATGCTTGGCTCTGTCATAGACCCAGATAAAGACAGAGTCCCAGCCCAAACGACCTTGCAGATAGACAAAAACACACTGGGAGGATAGAGAAAACTTTAGATCTGCCTATTGTAGGTACTTATACAACCTCCATTAGCATACTATCTGCATGCCCCACCACACCTCTGTGAAGTAGGACAGTGCTGTTATGCCCATTTTATAGATAGGCAGTTAAGGAGCAGAGAGACTAGGGCCAGCTTTTCAAAGCTATTTAGGTGCCTAAAGATGCAGATAGACGCCAAGTGGGATTTTCAGAAGCATTTAGTTACCGAACTCCCACTGAAATTGAAAGCCAATGGGAGTTAGGCACCATGGTGCTTCTGAAAACTCCGCTAGGCATCTATCTGCATCTTTAGGCACCTGAATACCTTTGAAAATCTGGCCCTTAAGTGACTTGCCCAAAGTCACACAGGAAGTCTGTAATGAAGCCAGGAAGTGAAGCCAGGTCTCACAAGCCCCAAACCGGCACCCTAATCCTTGGACCATCCTTTCAGGTGTAGTAGGGGTGGGTGGGGAGTTCTTGCTGTTTCATATTGGGTAGGTAAAGGATCAGTGTTAACCTGGCGAGTGATAGCATGTGATTTCTTAGAAGAAATAGGTTTCCAGGTGGCATTGAGGGAGGAAGGCCATGAGTCCGAGAGGGAGTTCATTCCACACGTTGAGGTTGGTGAGGTAGGAATACAGGAGTGGGTGAAGGAACTGAAGGGAGTGGTGAAACCGTGCCATGATTATCTCACCGCTGCCAGTGGTCTTATGAAGGTTTAAAATGCGGGCAACTTTCTGCAGGCAACAATAAAATCTGTTCAGGCTGTTATTTGGAGCAATATTCAGTAATGTATCTTTTTCCTTTGAATTTTTTTTAAAACAAGATTCACGGGGAAGGTGTCTGATTGCTCCATGCAATGCTGGATTTTATAGCTAATTACACACCACAAAATCCAACAGTGTCATAAAATATTGTGCTTTACTTGAGGGGGCTCATCACAACCTGCAAATGCTGCCTCTTTGAGAGACAAATATGCCTTGGAGGCAATTACAAAGGGACCATAACATTAAATCTTCTCATCATAAAAAGACTGCACTTCCCACATCAGCGTGATTGAGTTCTGCTAATCCGTTTTCAAATGTCTAAATTCCTTCAGAATTAGACTGGCGTCTTTGCTGAAGAATGAGCTCACTGCTAAGTCCTTCTACGGCAGAAGACTGGTTTGATTGATCTGTACTAGAAAGGTCAAAGGAAGTTAAGTGAAAGTTTGACGATTAAGCTGGGCATGTATCTATAGTGTTTCCTTTTTCAATTATGCATCAAGTTACACCTTCCCCAAAAGATATGATAGATGAGGTGAGCATGCAGCTTCTCTGATGGCAAACGCTAGCTGAGTGTAAGCTGAGATCAGATTTGTGGTGTGGAAGAAAATTCTGTGATTGTTAAAGTGCAGTTTTTATTCCAAAAAGTGGCTCTGTAAAATTGACACCATCGTTACCATGAGACTTGTTCTCTTTATGCATTCAGAGCCATATCTGCTGGCATCAATGTCAAAAAGTAACTTTCACTGCCATCAATTTCTGTTAGCTGTGCAGGCCAATGTAGCTGAGAGGTAGCAAGCTGAATTCTCCTTCATGTGCATCATCAGCAGAATTGTTTTCTAAATTCCTTTCAGATACACTTGTGCAAATGTGCTGAAAACAGTGGGGTTGAACAGGTGTCCCGAAATACTGATTTATTTAATGAACGGTGTATATTAGAGTAAATTTTCTTTTGCTTTTTACTCCAAGCTGTTTTTTAAGATGTATTCTGTCAGGAACATTGCTTTGATGGTGCATAATGGCAGCATAAAAGCTATAATTTTAATCCAGCTAGGCTGAGGACAAATATACTCCCACACTGAGCACTGGACGTAAGGTTGGGGTTGTCTGTTTTTTTATTCATTGTGCTCTGTATTTGGATACAAGAAAATACTGTAGGAATGACAGGCTTACCATACAAGATAATGAATACACTTTTTCATCTGAGGATCTCAAAAGTATTTTACAAAGGTGGCTAAATCTCATTGTCCTCATTTTACAAATGGAGAAACTGAGGCACAGAGCGCACATATAATTAGCCCACGGTCATACATTGGCAGAGCCAGGGATGGAATCATGGTCTTAGACCCCTAGGGCCATTAGTCCATGTTGTCCAGAATCCTGCCTTCAGCATTAGCCAGTATCTGACACTACAGAGACAGGTAAAATCATGCCTCATAATAGATCTAGCCAGTTGTGTAATAATGAAACATGGGAATTCCATACATAGTCATCGAGTTTACGACCAGAAGGGACCACCAGGTCATGTAGTCTGACATCCTGTATATCACAGGCCCCTAGCAACACCCAGCACCCGCACGGTAACCCAACAACCAAAATTAGACCAAAGTATTACAGCCCATAGAAGCATAGGCTATTATATGCCACAGGCAGAGAATAGGAGTGACTGAGGCTCACCAGTGACCAAGGCCCACTCAGTGGCAGGGAAATGATTGTGAGACACTTCTCAGGTAATCTTTGCAAGTGACCCGCACCCACATGCTGCAGAGGAAGGTGAAAAAACCCCAAGGTCACTGCCAATCTGAGCTGGGGGACAACTCCTTCCTGACATGACTTGTAAGGATCAGTTAGACCCTGAGCATGTGAGCAAGAACCAGCCAGCCAAGCACCCAAGAGAGCGAATTCTCAGTACCACCACAGAGTCCTGTGTGCCATCTCCAACCGTGGCCATCCTGATGCTTCACAGGAAGGAGATTTTTAAAAAACCCAACCCAACACATTAGGTGGGTGCGGGAGGGGTGGAGAAATCCCTAAAGCATGAGCTTTAGGAACATATGACAGAAACTGGAAGCCCTGCCCCCGACCATCACAAACAACCCCATCACACAATCACATTCACAAATTTGTCCAGCTCTCTCTTTAAACTAATTAAGTTGCTTGCCCCCACAACTACTATTGGGAGGCTGACCCAGGACCTCACCCCTCTTATGGTTAGCAAACTTTTTCTAATTTCCAGACTCAATTTGTTCTTGGCCAGTTTATATCCATTTGTTCTTCTGCCAACATTGTCCTTTAGCTTACACAACTCTTCACTCTCCCTGGTATTTACACCTCTGATGTATTTATAAAGAGTAATCATATCCTCTCTCGGCGTTCTTTTTCCTAGACTAAATAAGTCCAACTCTTTCAGTCTCCTCTCATAAGGTAGGCCCTTTATTCCCCTCATCATCCTAGTAGCTCTTTTCTGCACCTGTTCCAGTTTGAATTCATCTTTCTTGAATGTGGCTGACCAGAATTGCATACAGTATTCCAGATGAGGTCTCAGCAGTGCCTTGTACACTGGCATTAATACTTCTCTTTCTCTACTAGAAATGCCTCTCCTGACACATCCTAGGATTGCCTGTGGTCCATCTAGTCTAGTAGTCTGTCTCTGACAGTGGCCAGTATCAGATGCTTAATAGGAAGGTACAAGAATCCTTTAGATGAGAGAATTATGGAATAGAGGAAATTTCTTCTCAATCTTACCTATTAGTAGTTGGTTTATACTCTAAAGCATGAAAGCATCTATCTATCTATCTATGTAATCATAGCAAAATATTGTGTTAAAAGTACATTATTAAGGTTACAAAGTTGAGCACTCAAATGCTAGGAAAGTCCTGGGACTTGTGGAGGGATGGAACATATTCCGTCTGGGAATGGCTCATGCCCAGTCCGGTCACAGCACTAGAAGCCATGAGAAGCTTGGACATGCTCAGTGAGGATAGAATCTTCGGAGATTTTAGCGATAAAGCTCTAGCAAGTCTCTAGTGAGCATGTGCAAACTTTCAAAGGCTTATAACTTGGCCGGATGTGGGCAGATTTTTACAGAGATGGTAAAAGGACCCCTCCCAAATGTCAAGTCCCTGATCCAAAGCACAGGGGCTCTAGAGCATGTCAGAGTAAGGGCCACAAGAAATTTCCCCCTAGCATTGTTCTTTAAAATGGCAGAACCATGTTGGCTGAAATTTAAAATATATATATATCAGCCTGATGCAGGCACCCAGCATGGAAAATTTCTGTCCAAACAACTGAAGTTTGGCAAAGTTATAAGCAACTGAAAATAGGGTCTTATAATGGGTGCGTTGTGCAACCTCAGTAATAGGTGGTGGTACCAGCCCCACCTATATTATAGTTATTTATATCCCATTGAATAATATTGCACATGTTCTCCTATCCATATAAATGTAATCTTTTTTTTTAAATCCTACTGTTCTCCACAATATTATCTGCTATAAATAATAGATTAATTAGGGAAGTAGTTACCTTTTACAGTTTTAAATTTGTTGTCTTTTCATTTCACTGAATATCCCCTTCTTGTATTATAAGAGAGGATAGATATGAGTCCTCAGTTTACCTTCCATGTAACAAGGCTTGGCAGAATTCACTTTTTTTTATTTTTATATGGTTTGGACGGATAATATCGTTATTTATTTTTAAGCATTTGTTTTTAGATGTTTATCAATTGAAATTTTAGCAGTTACTGGAAGGGATGGGAGGACATCAACCATTTCATAGCAGTAGACACTGGTGTTCTAAAAATTAAAACCTTTATCAGAGTTAAAACACCAACTATCAACATCACATGTCAAAATATACGAAGTAAAAATCCTCTGCTAACACTGGCATTATAAACCCTTTTTATATAGACATTGAGGTGGGACTCTAATAAGTTCCCAAGCAGCAGTTTCCTTACTTTGCCTGTCTGTAAATTTGGATTATTATCAATGGAAATATTTTTTCATTGGTTTATGTGTGTCCAGTGAAATCGTTGTTTATTGACATTGACCGATAAAAATTGAATCTTTCCAAACCTACCTGTAACATTAATTATCTTGTATATATCTATCACATTCCCTCTTCATTTTTTCTCTAAACTAAACATTTTCAGGGTGAAATCCTGACTCTGTTGAAGTCCATTTGAGTTTTACTGATGACATCAGTGGGGTCAGGATTTCACTCCTAGTCTTTTCAATCTCTCCTCATAAGGAGATTTTTCCATTCCTCTGTTCTTTGTAGCTTCTTTTTTCTGAATCTCTTCTATTTCTGCTATACGGTAATCAGAACTGAACATAGTATTCTAGGGTAGCAGTATACCACTGATTTATATACTGCCATTACAATATTTTCAGTATTATAAGGTAGTAGACTATACACGATATGGTGAATGGGAGGAAAATAATCTTCTTGATCCTCAGCAGGTGATCATCTCATGCTCTAAAGCAGGGGGTTTAATTGCCCATGTAATTAACTTAGCTTGTGTAGCTACAGATGTTGATCATGAAATAATCTGGGTCCTTTTAGGATCCTGCTGGAGTATTCAACTCCATGACCTCTTGCAGCAGTTAATTCCACTGGATTAAGACTATCATACATCCACAAATTATATATATTGTGACAAAGCTCTGTCCTTGCCTCCGTGGGTCCCGCGTTTCCTGGTGGATTTCGCTAGCCTCAGAGGCTCACTGTGATCCTCCACGTAACCCTTCTTTCCCTAGAGACAAGGGTCACAGTCTACTGAGCCATTCTCATCATAAGCCAGCAAGGGAGGTGAGGAGAAGTTATCCTTCCTTGCACAGTCTCTGTTGTCTCCCAGTCTCAGTGATTAATCAGGGGGCAAAGGTGGCGGGGGGAAGCCCGGGCCCATCCTCTACTCCGGGCTCTAGCCCAGGGACCCTAATAGTATCAGCTATGGTAGCTGACCTTTTAGAAACATGACATGTACAATTCCCTGGGCTACTTCCCCCGCAGCAGCCCTCACTTCCTCAAGCTCCACTTCACCCTTACCTAGGAGCCTCCTTCCTTGTCCCTGATATGGTGTGTACTACTCAGCCTCTCCAACAGCGCAACTTCCTCCCACAGCTCCTGACCTGCACACCCACCTGACTGCCTGGGAGGCTTTTAACTAGTTTCAGCCAGCCCCTGATTGGCTTCAGATGTCCCAATCAACCTAGCGTTCTCCCTGCCTTCTGGACAGTTCTCAATTGGCCCCAGGTGTCTTAATTGACCTGGAGCAACTGCCATTTCACTTATCCTGGTACCAGGGATTTGTTTAGCCTGGAGCTAGTATATCTATCTCCCACTACTTTTCTATAGCCATCTGGGCTTGCCCCGTCACAATATATAATATGCAGTACAGTGTGCTCACACCCACAGTGGCTCCTTTGAAGTGTTGTGTTGACCCAGCATTGATAATGTTCTTGTAGCACAGGAAACAGTACGCTGTTTTTAAAAGGGTTGAAAAGAAAAGGAAAAGCTGCTATTCCTTGACATTCCCATGGAAATTGCTGGAAATTTTTCAGGATCTTTTTAAAAAAGCAGATTCACTGAAAACAGATCTGACTAGACCAATAAGCTGGCTAGGGAATGACTTGTATCTTCACCCAGTAGTTTTAAATCACATTTATTATTTTTTCCTCATCCATTCTGCTAAACATGTGTGTGAGGGGGGCTGTAAAAGAAGCACTGCTCTGAGGCACATATCCCTTTCTGCTTCCCCCTTGCTCCAGGCTGCAGCAAGGCCATCCCAGGACAAGCAGACACCCTGCCCCGTCAGCTCTGCTGTACTGGCTGGTGTGTCTGGATGTGGGGGAGAAGCAGAGACAAGACTCTGTTCACTCCTGGCCTACCAGTCCCTGGATTGGTGAGGGAAATCGAGGCAGCAATAGCTCTGTTCACACCTCCATTCCCAGACCACGCCCAGGTCAGGATAGCCAGCACAAGAGTATAAGGGGGGAGGGGAGGGTCCAACTTTCTTGCATGGATGTAAAATCTCAGTTTAGCTCATCTCTCATTGGCACTGGTTCTCTGGAGAAAGGAAGACTCATGATGGTAAAATAAAGTGCTCTCTCTTCTTAATGCTTAATACTTGACGTTCCTGTAGCCCCTTCCATATGAGAATCTGAATCTGGTTCACAAACATTAGGTGATAAGTGAGACATAGGCGGTGAAAAAGCCTTGCGCTGGCCTTCTGCACGGAGGTACGTTTCACCCACTAGCGAACCCCACAGCACCTCCTAAAGGTAGCTGGGTATTGCCCCGTTGGACAGACGGCACAGTGAGATCAAGTGACTTGGCCAAGGCTCTCCCAGCACGTCGCTGTCGGGGATCTAAATGTATAACTTTAAAGATCAGGTATTTGGAGACTCTTGTGTTTAAGGATTGGTTCGTTTGGGAAACAAATCTCTCAATTGATTTGTTATATTTCTGAGCAAATCTCCAGGTACCATTGGCTTTTGTGTTCATTGTATAATGTGTTTTTTAGGCGCTGGAGGATCGTGTGACCGTGATTGAGCCGCATCATCTCTCCTTTGTAGACTCAGAGAGTCCGAGTGGGAAAATCGTGTTCAACGTGACTCTACCTCTGCAGCCAAATCAAGGCAAGATGTGCTATTAATGTGCTTTCTTTTTTTTTTTTAAACAAAAGTTTTAGTGTTGGAGGCTAAGGACTTCTGTGCATTTATTGCCATTTCTTCTAAGTTCTCTAGCTTTATCCAAAGTATCTGTCTGTGCAGGCAGCTATTAATCTCTCTATTTTCCTTCAATACTTTTCAGACCATCTGTTTCTCAATCTGATTCTTTCGGTGAGCAGAGGGGTGAGCAGTGCCCAGCCAGCTTTCTGTAATGTCAGCGTCTGGAATACATTGCACACTGCACCCAATGGTTTTGCTCTTTTCACCTCTCCATCCATAAGCATCTGCAGCGCTTACTTAATTAGAAATCTCTGTTTAATTCCCAATGTCCTCTGTTAGGTCCAGAGATTTGGGCTTTGGGCTATGGCTGGGTGACCCATTCTGGAGACCGTAAGCAGAGATAACATCGAAGACATAAATAGCACTACAAGGGGGGAAGGGACAGTGGCAGAGCCTTGATTGTTCAGTGTTAAAAATGAAATGGATGCCTCTTGTTAACATGAGCTCTCTGTCTCTCTAGGAATTGTGGAGCACAGAGACAGGCCCCTCTCCCCAGTCAAGTATTTCACGCAAGCGGATATAAACCATGGCAAGATTGCTTACCGTCCACCCACTGCAGCTCCACATGTCAGAGAGATTATGGCATTCTCTTTTGCTGGTAAGAAACACCAGCTCTTCACTAGCTCTGTGTCAAGAATGTGGAAGTATCTCCACTAATTCCCATTACAGACCTGGGTGTGCCTTTTTCCCTCTAAAAAGCTAGCATTCTCTCAATGTTATGGGCCAAACTCACTTCCATTAAACTATGAAGACACAGTCAATGCAAGCTTTGCCATTGACTTCAAGAGGAGCAGGATTAGGACTTGAATTACTGTGAACTCTTTACAGTGGAAATGCTGAATTGTGAAATTGAGATTGTTCAGAATGTTACGGGTCCCATGGAAAATGATCCCACAACTTTCTGTACTTTGGGTTAAATCCTGGCCCCATGAATATCAATAGGAGCTTTTGGCATTGATATCAATAGTTCCAGGATTCTACCCTTTATTTTTTGTCACTCATGACAGAAATCTCTAATTATGGGACAGTATTGCAAAACTCAATGCATTATGGGTTTCATGACTGCCTTTGAAGCATCTGGCATTGATCCGCTCTTGGAAATTGGATATTGCAGTAGATGAATGGATGGTAACCGTTACTTTCCTATATTTTGGATCTTTGCCCCATACTGTTTCCTAGTTTGGGTATGGCAAGTTGACAAGTGTGGGATCATGTTACATGCATAACTCTGTAGGCCTCATGGCAATACGATATGCAGCCAAGTTCTTTCAGCGGGGACAAATCCTTATGTTAAATGCCATTCTTCAAAGTGTATTACGTACATTTAAAAAGAATGTAGGGCCACGTTGTCCACTTGGCATCAAGAGGGGCTCTCTTAAAATGTTCTTCAACCACTCAGGTTGTATTACAAGCTGATCGTCTTCTAATCCTGTAATTCCACATAAGAGTCCCTCGTAATGTGGAGATAAACCAATGGAAAGAGGGGGCTGCCTTTGCATCCTGGTCTGGGGCTGCCTTTCAAAACTGTGTGTTAACCTAAATGGGTGTTGTGAAAACAAAAGCCAACAATGCACAGGCGTGCAGTACAGAGTCTGATGGGCCAAAGCAAGTTCCTTCTTCTTCAAGAAATCATTGCATTCTTACTGACTTTTAGTGTCTGTTGGGATGTTCTATTTTTGTAGTGGAATAAGAAGAGAAAGCATGTGATATTTAGAAACTTGTTTTAATTTGACTTGGTTGGCCCTTGTATGGGTGTGGGGGAGAGGATGAAGGAGACTCCCTGTCCCCCTGCTTCTGCACCCAGTGCAAGAGCCATTCACGGTTGCAGTCTCCGTGTTCTCCCTTTGCACACTGCCCTAGACAAAGGCAGTCAAGCCGTGGCCCATCCCCTCCCTTCATACCAAGATGTTGCCTTCCTAGTTACACACTGGGAAGTTCAGGAACAGAGTAAGCCTCCCTCATGCAAAGTCCCTCCACGGGCACGAGGGAGGACAAGGCAACGCTCTGTATTTCCCCTGCTTAGAGCAGTGCCCATCTGGCACAATCTAGCCCTGAGTGTTTAGTTGATTTTTTTTAATGTTCTATCATAGAGGTGTATGGTGCCTCACAGGGTACAGTAACTCTGTTTGTGTTGGAGTGGTTAGTTCACTGGTGGTGACATATAGAACCAATTACACGAGAACTTCAGAGTTATGAACACATCGGGAATGGTGGCTGTTCGGAACTCTGAAAAGTTCAGAACTGAACAAAACATTGTGGTGATTCTTTCAAAAGTTTACAACTGAACATTGACTTCGTACAGCTTTGAAACTTTACTATGCAGAAGAAAAATGCTGCTTTCCCTTTATTTTTTTAGTAGTTTACTTTTAACACAGTCCTGTACTGCATTTGCTTTTTTTTTTTTTTTTTTTTTTTTGGGGTCTCTGCTGCTGCCTGATTGTGAACTTCCAGTTCCAAATGAGGTGTGTGGTTGACTGGTCAGTTTGTAGCTCTGGCGTTCGTAACTCTGAGGTTCTACTGTAGCTTTTCTTCATGGTCTGTATGTACTGAGCTACTTTCTGCTGTAAATAGAAGTGTAGAAATTGACTCAGTAACAAGTGAGCAACTCTGTATTTGCTGATGATGGGTGGCTGTGCTATGCAATGTTTTGAATCCTGGAGCCTCATTCTGAAAAGACAGCCGAAGATGAGTAACTGACAGGAGGGCTGGCGCAAGTACAGGCCGGTAAACCCCACCCTGCCTTCTTACAATGTGCAAATCAAGTTTTATTAGAGTAGCATCACTCTGTCTGCAGTGAACTCAACTCAGTCAGTGAAATATGATGATATTAGCACTCCCTGATTTGCAGAGCTGTGTGTGCTGAGGAAATGAAACCTAGAAGCAATTATCAGTAAGTAACTGGGCCTGTCAGGGTATACAAACACCAATTTATGCAATTCTCTTTTGTAATGTTGGCTACCTTGTAGCATTGAATAGCAGAACGTTTCTCTGTTAATTGTATTAAATTCCAAGTTCTTAACAATTACAAAGCGGAGTACAAGCAGTTAATCCTTACAATAGCCCTGGAAGTAGGGAAGTATTAGCATTCCCATTTTACAGATACGGAATCTGAGACAGAGGGGAGCTAACTGCTACACTTTCAAAAGTTACCACTGATTTCGAGTACCCATCTTGGGACGTCTTGTACCTACTGCTTTAGAAGAGCTGAGTTCAGTTCAGTTGGACTTGTCAGTGCTCAGCATTTCCAGAAACCAGGCCCAAGATGTTGCAAATTAAACAACCACTAATGGAGGTGTCTAAACTCGGTGGCTTTTCTGAGGCTGCACGGCAGGCGAGTGGCATTGCTGGAATTAAAAGTTAGGAGTTCCTGACTGTAACACCCAGAATCGAGGCATATGTAGTAAGCTGCCTCCATAAAATGTCAGGAAAGATATTCCAGTTTTTGTTGAAAACAAAATGGATTTAAATCCATGTGACCTTATTTTTTTTCCTATGCTAGTCATAAATGTGCTCTACTTTGTTTTCCCCCTGCAGGTCTCCCGGAGTCGGTGAACTTCAGTTTCACAGGTAAATTAATCACTATTCTTTCACTGGCATAAGGGTCATGGTACTTTTTTCCTTCCTGTTAATGTCCTTTGCTTTACCTCTCCCTGCCTGACGCCCCCCCAGCTCCCATTTCAGGGACTTGCGAGTGTTGAGTAAAAGTCTGTGAAAGTAAAAGTGCACCAGAAATACTTGAATACTTGGTTGTTTTCACAAATTGTGGATTAAGATGCATGGAGGACAATGACTCCTTGGTAGGAGCCAGGAGTTGGTTTTCTTAATAGCAGATACGCCTCTTTTTCTAACCATCAATTCAAATCCTGCAGGTCTGATTCAGTCAAAAATCCCATTGACGTGAGTAAGGACAGCAAAGTTTGACTCAACGATTATTAAATGTAGTATGGAAACATTTCAGAAAACTGAAGTGTGTAATAACTTGTTACCTTGTTTAAGCCTTTTCAATGTGCTGCCTACAATGGGCATGCCAAGTATCCCTTATTCTGGGTAACCCACGTGTGTTCTGGCTCCAGACTGCAGTCTGTAATAGAGAGAGTCAGCACTGCTCTTCCAGTACGTTAGTTCTGCCAGGGACGGATTAGGGATAAAGGAAGACAGTTTTTTCAGAACTCCTAAATTATGTAGTCTTGTGTCTGGATGGTAATTAGAGGGGGATGGGGCGAGAAACTACTGTGGCTTGACAAGCAGTGGTGAAAAGCAGCCAGCCTGGAATGTGTTTTTTAGGTGCGTTTCAACATGTGTCATTTAAAACAAGCCAGTTAATGCAGATGTGTTTACATTTGGTTGTAGTGTCCGACGGAGAACATACCACCCCTGAACTGACGTTTACCATTCACTTGCTCTCGACGAATGAGCAGCCTCCGGTGTTCCACGTCACAGCTCCATTTCTGGAGGTCAGCCAGGGTGGCAAGGCTACAATTGGTGAGGCGCCATGAGGGCATGTAGCAAAGGCACTATTCTGAACGAGCATGGCTGAAGGGATTACTCTGAGAACATGCTGAACAGGCTGGGGTCATCGCCATGAGCCCAGCACATGCAGCTGGTTCAAATTCCGGTGTGGGCCTCTCTCTCTTTTGCTAGGGGCTAGATTGTGTCATTTAGCCCAGAACCTGCTTTGGTGGCAGTGCCGAGCCCAACACCTCCATTCCAAGAGCTCAAACTGCTGCACCTCTTGGAAGGGTCCGGCATATACCCCTTCCCCATGGCTTCGTCTGTTCCCCACGCTCTCCCCCTTTTGGCCGAGCTGCTGCTAGGGGAGCATCGTGCTTCCGGTCCCTGTGTTCTGCCTAGTCCAGGGGCTGCATTCGGACCTGCTCTGGTGGGCTGTGCAAGGCGGGAGGGCTCCCCACTCTCTCCCTGACATTGTGCAGGGGGCAGACTCTGGCCCGGTATTAGCAATGTAGCACGTAACACTGTCTGGTCTCTGAGAACATGCTGCCCAGCTCTATGTGCTAGGGTAAGGAAGTGTTGCATTTTTATAGACGGACTCATAGACCCACTCACGCTACGTCATGGGGCTGTCTGAACACATGGACAATTGGATGCACTCCCCTCCCACATGGTTAGGAGTTGAAGGTCATGCTAGCTGTCACTTGTAAGTCTGATTGGCAATAACGTCTCCGTTTGAACTCATGACCTCAGCATCACCAGGGACAAATTATCTCCAGGCAGGCAGATCCACAGACATTTGTGTGGAGGAGATGAGAGCTCCAGAATTACATTAATTTTAAAATATGAACTCAATTAGAGCCCATTAATTTCTGTCACTTAATGCATGTAAAATTGCATATGCTAGACCTGCTGCTTGTAAGGGAAGGTTCGCTGTAGAGCAGACTACAGTTCTGACGCTAGTGCTGTGTATTCCCCCGATGCAGGGATACAACTGGCAGTAAGTGACGCAGACACAGCTCCTGAAGATCTCTTCTTTGAGCTGGTGGGACCTCCTCACCATGGGGTTCTGCTCAGGTATAACGCTGGGGTCCACAAGCACATGAAAGCAGGTGAGTTGAGCAGGAAGAGGAGGAATTCAAGTTGGGGGAAGTCACCAAGGCAGTATATTTTCCCTATCTGTGTGTTTTTGTTAATTTTTAATAAGCAATTGAGCTAGGATCTGTTTGTCAATAATAAATTGCTAGTAATTGCCTGTCACGAGCTCTTCAGAGAGCTGACTGAGTAATATTTTCAGAGCACTGAACACGTTCACTAAAGCTGGGCAGGTACCAGTTCACCTGTCCACCAGAAATTTTCCCATTCTGTATCTGGACGAAACTGAGACCTCTCAAAATTTGCCATGGAGAGAAAGCGACTCCCCACCCCGCAGTAGCCCAATGGTTTGGGCATTCAGCTGGAAAGGGGGAGACTCCAAATCAAGCCCCAGCTCTGTTGATCCAGGAGGCAGCATTCCCTAGTGGGTAGGGCACTGAACTGGGACTCAGGAGATCTGGGTTCTATTGCTGGCTTAGCATCTGGCCTGCTGGTTGACCTTAGGCAAGTTGTTTTCCCATCTGTAAAATGGGGATAATGGGAAAGCAATACAAAGAATAGATAGGGAGGGAGCAGCCCTGGTATTGGAAGCCTTGGCGAGAGATGTGGATTTTAGAAGGACGTGGAAGGAAAAGAAGAATGCTGCGCTGATAAGAAATGGGAAAGTTTGTTAGTAAAATATTACTCATTTTGTCACAGTTTTTCTGTACCACTATGAAGGTCATGGCTTCTCCCTGCATACATTCTAGCTCATTAATGAAACCCTCAGATAGAATCAGAGCTCACACAGCTGTAAAGGGTGCATCAAATACCAGATAAGCATGTGCTTAAGTGATTTGCTTCATCTGGGCCCGAGGCATTTGATCTGAACTTAAAGTATTAATTTCATGCAGTGGATAGAGTCATCACTGTTTTTATATTTCTTTTTGGGAAGGAGACACTTTCACGTATGAGGAAGTCAGCCGAAATGCTTTACAATATGTCCACGATGGCTCATCAGTAGCAGAGGACAGCATGGAAATCTCCGTAACTGACGGAGTTACCACTGCAACAACGGTGCTGAAAGTTGAAGTATCCCCGATGGATAGCGAAGGTCCCCGGCTGGCCCCTGGCTGCTCGTTGACAGTCACGGTGGCTAGTAAAAGCTCTGTGACTCTCTCCCGATCACACCTTGCTTACATTGTAAGTTTGTATCCATTCCTTCCTAAACCCAATGCATTCAGTTAGCTTCCTTCCCCTCAGGAGACCACTGCACCTTCAGGATGTTGATACTTGTCAAATACTTCAACCTTTTACTATACCCTGACTACAGCTGCCAAAAAGGGAATAATGAGCTCTTTCATCCTACCAGATTTTCAAGGCTATACATATTTGACTGAAGTAAAGGTGAACTGCAAAGCAAAAGTGAAAATTGAGTTAATCCCATATTTATGCACCAAACACCCTCACTAACCGGGCCTGTGAGTTTGCTCAGCAATAATCTTCTTTAAAACTTCTTTTCCCTTCCTGATACTGACTGGCTCTTCCTGGTTTGTTAAAGAAGGACCTGTAATTCTGTGACATCATGCTGTGATACATTGCTTGCGTATGCTGTGAGTTTTCCAGTATCAATGGTGTCACAGAAGTGTGGTGCTTTGCTAGAACCAGTGGATTTTGTAGCAATGGAATTAGCAGTGGATTTCGTAGACGGGACCTGTACACAAGCTTCACAATTTAAGGGACTATAAGCATTTTAATGGCCTATATTCAGGGCTTATATAACTTAATTGTAAAAAAAAAAAAAAAGGCTTTGGGTAGAAACATGGGACATACCCATATAAAGGTGTCAGATCCAGAAAGCAATATTATTGCACCATTTCTCAAAAAAAATCTCCTTGGTCTCTTTCAAGTTTTACAGATTTAAATGACATACAAAAATTCATGCAGCGTTGTAGCTGCGTTGGTCCCAGGATATCAGAGAGACAAGGCAGGCGAGGTAATTTCTTTTATTGGACTAGCTTCTCTTGGTGAGAAAGACAAGCGTTTGAGCTTACGCAGAGTGAGATTTACCTTACCCACCTTGTACTGAAGTTCACTCATTTCTGATACGTTTTTGGTCTTTGTTAAAACGCAAAATTAAAAAAAACAAAACTGCTTTGACTTAAAACATAAATAAAAAGCCAAATGATTTCCCCCATCGTGTATTAATATCTGTTGAGCCAATATTCTGTCCTATAAAAATCACAGAATTATAAAAGTCTGTTGAATCAATAGACCATTGCAGCTTGAAAATTGTTCATCTGACAGATTAAAATGGCCCCTAGGGGGTCGTTCCTGCTTATTAACAGCATGTCTTGCTCTGCATTTTAAAGTACTAGCCCTTTGGATACTTAGTACAGGTTTGAATGAGCTCCTGGAATATATACTTATTGTACCTAATAGCCCAGAAAGGCACCCAGGGTCAAATTCGCTCCTGTCGAGATGACTACTACAAAGTCCACGCACCACTTCAGCCGAAGTGTCTCAGGAGCCTAAGTCCCACTTTCATAAGTGATTTAGGGATGGATTTACTAGGGTATTTAAGCACCTAAAGAGGCAGATAGGTGACTACTGGCATTTACAAAAGTGCCTAAGCAAGGTAGCATCATTCCCCTGTGTGTAGTTGTTTCCACTGACTTAAACGGGAGCTAGGTACCTAAGCAGCGAAAAAAACCCACCTCAGGGCAGCGAGTCTCAGAGCCCAGGTCAACAGACTCCTGGAGCTCGTGCTGTGGGGCTAAGAAGAGCCGTGTAGACGTTCCTGCTTGTGCTGCAGCCCTGGCTCTGAAAACACGTGAGCAGGGGGATCTCGGAGCCCAGGCTGCAGCCAAGTTGGAACAGCTACACTGCTATTTTCAGCCCTGTAGCACAAACCTGACATGACGTGGGCTCTCAGGTGCGCTGCTGTGGGGTTGTGTTTTTGTTTTTCAGTTAGACATACACTTTGGCACTTCTGTAAATCCAACTAGGTGCCAATCTGCATTTTTAAAGTGCCTAAATACCACTGAAAATCTGGCCCATGGGAGCCTATTTTTAATTGAACGTCAATGGAACTTAGGTTCCGAAGCGCCTATGTCTCTTTTGAGAATAGGACTTAGGCACTTTTGAAAATGTTACCTCATATCTGTAAAGCTCTTTGAAGATGAAACGTGGTCGGTGTTATCCTGAGCGCTTGGAAGGGGAAAAGGCATCAACGAGCCGATGATTGGGATGAGGTTTTTTGGTGTGTGTGTTGAGGAAAAACAGCAATGGGAACTATCACAAAGTTTTCATGAGGGAGGCAGAACAACTGTCTCGGTGGTGGTTTCTGGATGAGGGAAAGCAACACCGGGAGCTGTCATACAAATTTTTGTGGAGGAGACAACTGGGGGGTGGCAGGTGTAGGAGTTGGAGTAAGACAGGATAGGGGGAGTTTATGGAGGATGCAGATGTGGGAGTCCCATCCATATCTTATGTAATGGTTTAAAGCTGACAACTTTTAAGTTAGGTTGGGGGAGTTATAATTTCCTCTTCAGGTTCTGATGAAGACACAGATTACTTGACCCTATGCTCCCCTGGTTTAAAATCCCACTAGTTCACTTCTACAGCTGAGTAATTTACTTGCCTGTTCTTTGTTCTGCAAATAACATACAAATACCTGAGAGAGACAAGGTGGGCGAGGTAATATATTTTATTGAACCAACTTATGTTGATGAAAGAGAAAACCTTTCAAACTACACAGAACTCTTTTTCAGGTTTTGGAAAGGTTCTCAAGCTTCACAGCTACATACAAAGTGCAATAGATTGTTTAACATAAATAGTTGTTGTCAGGGCATTTAGTGCACTGGATGAGATACACCATATGTTGTGACAGGCATGTGTAGGACCCATGGATCTTGAAAGGTGTGTTGTGGGCGGTGTTGATCATTGTAGTAGTGGAGATGTGTCTGCAGGTTTTGCATCTGTTGTTATGGCAGGGTCTGGTGCTGCTTTGAGTTGGTGTGGCCTGGTCTCTAGGGAGCTTGCTTCTGATAATGAGCTTGGCGAGGTTGGAGGGTTGTCTGAAGGCCAGAAGAAGGGGTTTGGATTGTAATTGAGTAAGGACTGTGTTGGTTGTAATGGTTTGATATTTCATATGGGTGCCAGTGCAGAGTGGTAGGTGATAACTAAGGGTGTGCAGTCATAGGGTTGGTATTTTTTCCAAAATGAAGCAAGTTCTCTCAGCATAGTTGGTTGGTCTGTTCCATGATGTGATCTATTTCTCTGGTAGTCAGTCCTTCTTTGGTGAAGGCAATTTTAAGTGTGTTAAGGTATATATCCCGAACTTCCTTCTCAGAGCATATTCTGTGGTATCTGAGTGTCTGGCTGCAGATAACAGATTTCTTGATGTGTTTGAGTGGTTACTGGGTCTATGAAGGTAGGTATGGTGTATATAGTTGTCTGTAGGGTTCCATTGCTGAAACTGATCGTGGTGTCCAGGAGGTTGATGCTGGTATGCGATTGTCCTAGAGGGTAGCCTGTCATACTCTTAGAAATAACAGCCTTTTGTATGTCACAGTATGACTGTATTGCCAACCCCAAACATTCAGAAATCATGACTTTGGCTTAAAAATCACAAGATTTTTAAAAAATAATACATGGTGGCTTTTTCTTTGCTTTCTGGTTTCTAGGTTCATGTTTTCAGGCTTTTCTCTGCCACCATGAAGGCTAGACACTTTTTTAAAAAATGAAAGCAGAGTCTCACATAATCACGTGACTGCAGGAGCTGTGGCTGTAAGAGAAACACCCATGTGGCAAGAGTTGGCATCACTGGTGTGATATCATGAACAATACGTAATTACATAAACTGATGTCACTTAGGCTGATGTCACTCAATGAGGTTTTCCACATGGCAGTTGGGGGATTTCACTTGTGGTTATATGGTTAAATCACCACTCAGTGCACTGAAAAATTTATGTTAGGGTATTTTATCAGATTTGCATTGACTACACTGTTGGGAAATCATTTTTAAAAGGACCCAGGAAAAGAGATCAGAGTACAGACACACTTTAATACATTAAAAAGGATTTCAGGTGCCATCACTTTAATAGTACTGTTTGTGGTGGAGGAAGGTGAAATGATCGAAAGTCGACATTAGGTGTCTGATTTTTGTGGGCACTCAAATCTTATGTAAAACATAAATCTTGCTCCCTTAATGTATGTAATGAAAGGCTATGGGTCAAAACCTGCTTTTCTTACTTCCATTGAAGTCAGTGGAATTACAATTGCGGGAAAGAGGCTTATTTATTTGTATGTTGAGGCTACGGTGACTTAAAACTTTGACACTGTGGTATATGTGGTCACCTGAAACTTTTTAATAAAGATGCAGACGTCAATATAATATCATACAGTTGGATACGCATAATATAGTTAAATGGGCCAAATGCAGCTCTTAAGTGTGCCAGTGTAAATCCAGAACTAACCCACTGACTTCAATAGAATTTGCTCCAGATTTACATTGGTGTAACGAAGAGCTGAATTTAGCTCAGTCTCTGTATATTCTCTCTGCCATATAGAAATTATGTTTCAGTCCACCTTTTGGGGAGGGGGCAGCAACTGGGTATTATTGGGAAGGTAAATTCTACTTTTAATTCTGGTGTTTAATGTGATTTGAAAATGAAATACGCTCGACTTATACCCCAAGGAGTGTGTGTGTGTGACACAGATAGATAGAACACTTTCTCAGTTATGAGAGAATGAAGGTACACGTTGTGCAAGATTCTCAGCAGGTGTAAATCAGTACGGCTCCATTGAAATGAAAGGCGCTCCGAGGGTTTACATTAATTGAGGCTCTAGCCCAGTATCTATATATTTTACCCCTTGACTTTTTTCTTTCGTGTTCACTATAAAGAAACAAAAGCAAACACTGCTGCTTGGCCTTGCTTTTCTTATTAGGACAATAATTCTGCTGGCTCGAAAATAAGAATTCAGTTAATTTCTCTGCCCATGTATGGCACCCTCATGCGGACCACACCTGGGCAGCATTCTGAAGAGCTTTCTGAGGTTTATAATTTCACCATGGACGATATCAACAACCAGAGAATCAGGTAATAAACACGTATTTTTCACCACGCCGTATCTTGTTGGGCTCAGCGAGAATTTCAGAGCACCATCTGCAGGGAACATATGTTATTAATGTTGGGATATACAGTATTTATAAATTATAGCAGATACGGTGTCTCATAACTACACTGTTGTATCTTGTGATAATAAAAATGACCGTGATTGTGTATACAAAATAGGGTATTGCCGCACTCACACAGTGCTATTTAGCTTGAATATCTTCAAAATCTGTCTCTATATGTGTTGTCGTTTTGATTTTTTAGTTAGGCAATACCAAATATGATGATATAAAAGAAAAAAAATCCTTTACTTTAAGTAGTTCCAGTCATGAAACATTTGACACCTAATTCATGTCTCTCCTATACTTGGCTTGTATTGTGTGAACAGTGGTATCCTCTGTGTTATAGCTCCAACAGGAAACAGTGTTTTCTAACTATCCATGCTGAAAAAGTGATACAACAAAAATGATTAGGGGTATGGAACAGCTGCCATATGAGGAGAGATTAATAAGACTGTGACTTTTCAGCTTGGAAAAGAGACAACTAAGGGGGGGATATGATAGAGGTCTGTAAGATCATGACTGGTGTGGAGAAAGTAAATAAGGAAGTGTTATTTAATCCTTCTCATAACGTAAGAAATAGGGATCACCAAACGAAATTATTAGGCAGCAGATTTAAAACAAACAAAAGGAAGTATTTTTTCACACAACACACAGTTCCAACCTGTGGAACTCCTTGCCAGAGGATGTTGTGAAGGCCAAGACTACAACAGGGTTCAAAAAAGAACTAGATAAGTTGATGGAGGATAGGTCCATCCATAGGCACTGACTCGGTGGGAGCTCCGGGGCTGGAGCACCCATGGGGAAAAATTGGTGGGTGCTCTGCACCCACCAGCAGCCAAGCTCCCCGCCCCCCTTCCCCAGCTTGCCTCTGCCTCCTCCCCTGAGCACGGCGCACCCCTGCTTCTCTTCCCAGTGCTTGCCGCCGCATAACAAGCTGTTTTGACGCATAACAAGCTGTGGGAGGGAGGGGAGAGGAGCAGGAACGTGGAGCGCTCAGGGGAGGAGGCGGGGATTTGGGGAAGGAGTCCAATAGGGGCAGGGAGGGGGAAGAGTTGGGTCGGGGACTTTGGGGAAGGGGTTGGAATGGGGGCAGGGCTGGGGTGGAGTCGGGGCGGGGTGGGGGCGCGCGAGCACCCACCGGCGCCAGGAGAAGTTGGCACCTATGGGTCCATCCATGGCCATTAGCCAGGATGGACAGGGATGGTGTCCCTAGCTTATGTTTGCCAGAAGCTTGGAATGGGCGACGGGATGGATCACTTGATGATTACCTGTTCTGTTCATTCCCTCTAGGGCACCTGGCATTGGCCACTGTCGGAAGACAGGATACTGGGCTAAAGGGACCTTTGGTCTGACCCAGTGTGACCATTCTTATGTTAATAAACTGCACCACTGATTTGTGGATTTCCCTTCCAGACAGGGTCAAAGCTGAGCCTGTCATTGGCTCCTACACAGAAGGAGCCAATACTTGCTCTTGCTGTATGACACCAAACTAAGATCCATGCAGTGCTGTATCCTTCCAAACAATATAGATGTAGTTTCATACACATGCACAGACTAGACTGAACAACTATGCACAGGGGAATGATGCTGCCAGAACATTTGTGTATTAACATCAGCAAAGTGGAGACTGAAGGTGATAACGCTTAAGCACATAAATAAGTCAAAAAGAAAAGGAGTACTTGTGGCACCTTAGAGACTAACCAATTTATTTGAGCATGAGCTTTCGTGAGCTACAGCTCACTTCATCGGATGCATACCGTGGAAACCGTGGATGCATACCGTGGTAATAGCTTATCCAAAGTGTAGGGAGAGTGGTCACTTTGGATAAGCTATTACCAGTAGGAGAGTGAGTTTGTGTGTGTGGTTTTTGGAGGGGGTGAGAGAACCTGGATTTGTGCAGGAAATGGCCCACCTTGATTATCATACACATTGTGAAGAGAGTGGTCACTTTGGATGGGCTATTACCAGCAGGAGAGTGAGTTTGTGTGTGGGGGGGCGGAGGGTGAGAAAACCTGGATTTGTGCTGGAAACGGCCCAACTTGATGATCACTTTAGATAAGCTATTACCAGCAGGACAGTGGGGTGGGAGGAGGTATTGTTTCATGGTCTCTGTGTGTTTATAATGTCTTCTGCAGTTTCCACGGTATGCATCTGATGAAGTGAGCTGTAGCTCACGAAAGCTCATGCTCAAATAAATTGGTTAGTCTCTAAGGTGCCACAAGTTCTCCTTTTCTTTTTGCGAATACAGACCAACACGGCTGTTACTCTGAAACCTATAAATAAGTCAGTGAATAAAAATCACAGAAAAATCATGATAGAAACAGTAGGATTTCAGAAGTGCTCAACATTGGCCTGCCTCTGCTTTTACTGAAGATGATGAGAATTTGTTGACTTCAGTGAGAAGCAGAGGTAGGCCAATGCTGAGTGTTTTTGAAAGTCCCACTCCACGTCTCTGCCATACAGGTGGACTGGAGACAAGTGTCCAGATTTAAAAGTTTAGAAGAAAAGAAAAAAGAAACCATATTTCTTTCAGGAAAGGCAGGTTTGATCTGTTGGGACAATACTCTCATTGTACAATAACCTTCAGCTCCCGTGTTCTTTCCTAACCACCCCGGTGTTGGGTCCTGCTTTCCCTGAGAGTCTTTCAGAGCATGATTGCACATCGGGTTTGCAATGCGCTATGTGAAGAACGATCTGAATGTTTTTCACTATGGCTGACTAGCCAGCACGCTCAGACCCGCCTTTTCCTGATCAACATCACTCGCCCAAAGACATGGGAAAATATTCGTTCTTGCTGGATGGACGAGATAGAGGAGGAAAGGATTGACTTGTTATCTCCTTGAAAAGAGGCATGTTCCTGCCCGCACAGTTCTTAAACATAGGAAGTGAAATCCTTTCAGCAGGCTGTCTGTCTGACTCGCTGATCTGATTCTTGATACAGATACTCAACTGAGTTTGAGACTGACAATCAGCCAGTCACAGATATTTTCCACTTCAATGTCTTCGATGCTGACAATAATCGGCTCGACAGCCAGATGTTTACCATCACTATCGCCTCTGTCCAGAACAAGCCTTCGATCATTGCTTTTGCTGACCTTATCACTGTGAGTAATTGCCCAGAATGTAGGAAGTTGTAGCAGAAGCACGTGTGACATAAACAATTGAACAGTTATTTTCCTGGCTGCTGTGCAACCATGGTGAACTGGTGTCTAGTACAGATGCGAGAAAGCATGGTGTCTCACGTGCAATCTTGTATGTTTAAGTGTTGTGAAACTATCTGGTGAAGTTAACAGTACCACCTTGTCCCTGAACCTCATCCAGTCATTTCCGTTGCACACAGTGGCCCAGATCCTCCACTGGTGTAAATCGGTGTGCCTCCATTGATACCCGTGGCAGTGTGCTGCTTTCCACTTTTTGGGGATCTGGCTCATTGTATCACCAGGTGACACACAAAAGTCTCGGGATGGATGAACCTAAAAACATCTGGAAGTTTGGCTCAGCATGTCCCATTTCAGAGTGCTTATCTGAACCCTTTAATGTGTTCTCCCTCCCTTCCCAGCTTTCCACTCCCCATCCTTAGCCATCAAACCCACTGAGCAAACCACAACCCCCAACAGGTCACTGTGACACTGCGGGGTACACTCTGCTGCTTAGACCACTCCCATTGTATTGACACTAGCCCAGTGGCATGCAGACTGCTGCTGGGGCAAGATAAGCTCTTACTCAACCTAGCCCCAGCGTTACATTGGATTTTTATATCCTATGGGTAGGGAGGGGCAGGAACTTTTATAAAACATGCAGTGTCAGGGAAAGAATTGGGATTTATCCCCTGCATACTCCAGCGGTGACCTGTAGTAAGAGTGAGCTAGAGAATTCGTGCAGAAACAGGTAAAGGGATAAGTTTAAGACACTCGTGTGATGAAATCCTCCTTGAACTGCTGATAAAGGCCATTCGGCAATGGTTATTGAACCTGTTTTTGTTTCAGAAGCATGTTTGTTCCGCTTCTTTTTACCTTGTTTTTTTTTTTTCAGGTTGATGAGGGAGGCAGTGTACCGCTGTCAGTTCACCATCTCCTAGCCACTGACTATGATACAGCCAAAGACGACCTAATGGTTACAATAATTACGCTACCAATATATGGGTACATTGAAAACACAAGGACAGGTAAACTGTATCTACACCTGTTTTTCCTTGTATTTGGTCAGGAAATGGGAACACAGGAATTTCCAGACTGGATGAGGCACAGGGTACCCCATGTTTCTGTCTCTGACAATGGCCAGCACCATCTGCTTCAGAGAAACCCTGCAGTCAGCAGTGGTGAGATAACCTGCCCCAGGGAAAGTTTCCTTCTAACCCTCAAAAGTTAGAGGTTGTCCCAGCAACGGGGTTTACATCCTTTACAGAGACCTTGTTTAATTTTTAATATTTACTATTGTAACTTGGGCTGTTCTTGTTATCCATAGAAATCCTTCCCTGACTCCAACTAATAAATGTTGCACTGCAGTTTTAAAACTAGCTAAGCTGCAAAGCGTGGCTGCTATTATTTCTCTTATTTCGCTGCAGGACCTGAGCTTTAGATTCTCATATTATCTGTGGACATTCCTCCTGGAACTTGTGCTCCTAAATCATGCAGATGCTCCTATCGGGAGTGGTTGGTCCCAGTTTCCTTTGCCTATAATTTCCTTTTCCCCCTATGCGGTTGGTTGCTCCCCGTATCCTGGAGGGCTGCACTGAAGAACCCAATGGCTTGGCTCACAGACCTTGCAGGTCCCACAAGTTATGCACGTAGCTCGGGTATCTGATGCCTCTGCAGCAGCCCTTGCTTCCCTCTGGCCATGATCCCAGCTCTTTGGCAGTGCAGTTACTTTGGAGCTGAGCTATCAGAGACTTCTTAGGCAGCACTTCCTGTTGGGATCCCCCTGTGAGGGGCAGTTCCCCAGCATAGAAGGAACTCTGCAGAGAAATTAATTAATTCTACCTGCATTAACCTTCCTTTGCTTCTTCCACCCCCTGCCTGGTGGGGAAGACGCCATAAAGTGGGAGATCTTCATACAGAGAGTTCCCCCGGCTTGGGGACCCTAAAGATACAATCCAGCCCTCAGCTTTTGCCCTGTCCTTGTGCAGGCAGATACATGAGAGCTTTGCCTTTGAGAGGACTGAGTAAAAAAAATCTGAGTAACAACCTTTTTTTCTTTGTTTTGTTGTTAAACCTCTTTCCTAGCCTTTCCTATTGTTCTGGGCTTGGCTTGTCAGCATCCCTTCTGGACTGTGTTAATTTACAAGCCCGTGTTACTGTTAGGACACTGGTAAATCCCTGTCTTTTTCATTGCCATAACCTGTCTTTTTTCATTGCTTCGGTCTCATCAGGGAGACCTTAATGGCGGAGATGTTTGTTTCACCCTCTCCCCTGTAAAAGCAGTCATTGGGGAAGGAAATTTGAAATCGATCAATGCTCCCAGGATTAGAACCAGGGAATGGAGGGGACAAACTGTAAATCACTCAGCTGCTGTGATGTTTTTTCTCTTTCTAATAGATTAGGTTGTAGGGGACTCAGAGTTTAGACATGAGCAAAGTTCTCATGATAATTGTAGCCACCAGACCAAATTAGGCACTCTCCAAACACAGCTACGTGAAGTACAGTGGGGCATTGTTTGCCAGAAGATATCGCACAGTTATCGCAGTTACTTTGTATTCTAAGTACAGGGGAAGAACTGTGGTTTCTAAGATACCTCTGTGTGGTACATGATCGCAAATGTGTAGTGGTTTATAACAGCAATCGCAATTGTTTTTCCTCTGGGGCCTGCAGGCAGCTAAGCAAGACATATTCACTGTATCCTATGGAAGAGCCAGAATAAGTCAGTGTTTTGAAAAAGACTGAGCTTCTCTGATTAAACAGACCTTTAATGGATGACAGCCAAACTGTTTTTGCACGGGTGAGCTGGGCTGTTGGTTCTGCTGGGGAAAGATGGTGCATTCGTAACTGCTTCATCATGGAAGGCAAACCTCATAAAAGGGGACTGAAGCCAGCCGCTGTATGTAAAACAACAAGATCTTTACATTTCGTAGTGCCAAAGAAGCAGCTTTCTGGGTGGGTCACTAGACACATTAACAATCAATTCCAGGAATGGGAAAGCAGAACTTGGGATCGTTTCCTTACTCCCGTTGTTTTCTTCGTGAAACGAGCATCTTTTCACAGATGGTGCTTTGTTTCCAGGTGGGACTTTTGGCCCTGGGGGCTCTGCAGGCTCAGATGCATCGTTCTCCATTCACGACGTGCTGGAGAACAGTATTTACTACTTTCAGAGCGTCCATGAAAGCATCGAGCCAACTAATGACTTCTTTGCATTCTATGTGAGCGATGGCTTCAGCCGGTCCGAGACTCACAGCGTCAACATCACCATCCAGGTACACGTCGTCTAAGGAATACGACGTGTGGTTAACTAAGCCCTGCCCCACGCCCAACGATGTGGATGGCTTTTCAAGTCTTGTTGCCACCGCTGACCTAGCACCAGATTGTGCCGCGCTCTGAATACCCATGCAGGGGAGGGAGTGAGGGTAAGGTGCCCCCTTATGCCTCTCTGCTCACTACCTCAATTACAGGGCCCCCGCTCCCCTATGTGGCAGGCAGGCAGTGGATAGCTTCACCCACCAAAACACCAGCCAGGGCAGCTAGGCTAGTGTGAGCAGGGACATAGTATGAATCCGCTATAGTGCTGGCAGAGATGACACATTCACCTGGGGCTGGCATAGATAATAAGAATACCCGGCTTTTCTGTATCGCTTTTCAAATTTAGATCTTAAAGTAGTTTACAAAGGAGGATCAGTTTTGTTATCCCCATTTTACATAGGGGAAAACTGAGGCACAGAAGGGGAAGTGACTTGCCCATGATCACCCAGCAGGCCCATGGCAGAACTGGCAATAGAACCCAGCTCTCCTGAGTCGCATCCTGGTGCTCTGGCCACAAGGCTACACAGTCTCCCTTCGATAGGCTTTCCCATGGAGCAAGGGGAAAACGGGGGATCAGAGTGTGACTGCATAACAATCTGTTGCTCTGTTGCTGGGCAACACAACTATGCACCAATTCCCCTTTCTCAGAGCGCATGGCAAAGGCATTTATTGGTCCCCCTCCATCTCAGAAGAGGCAGGACTTTGACCAACTTGCAGGAGACTCTTACAACACTTTAGTTAAAAAAAAACAAACTTAAAACTGTGAACAGTAAAACAAGTCAAGGGTGTGTATTTTTATCTCAGGGGAATTTCCTCTTTACTACATCTTCATGGTGAGTTTGCCCTTCTTGTGAGTGAGTTTTCTTCTGGGACATCCTGCCTGTCTTTGTGTTTCTGTAGCGGCGGAATGATGAGCCCCCGAAGATGACGCTGGTGCCTGTCAGAGTGCACGGCAGCTCAGGGGTGGTGATCAGCAATACCTCCCTAAGCCTGCAGGACTTGGACACTCCAGATGAGCAGTTGGTCTTTGTAGTTACCAAAAAGCCTGACCATGGTAAGACCGAGCATAGGTGGAATATCTCTTGCTGTGAGACAGGCCTGATTTGTTCACGTAAAATACATATGTGCTGGCTAATCCAGGGGCGATTTAACCCTTCGTGACAGGCCAGTTCCTGAGGGTTTTTAGAGGCCTTTTGGTGGATGTTGTGCTGGAGGAGACACAGGGTCTATGGCTAGGGGGAGGAGGGACTGGTCTGGGGCGGGAGAGTGGCAGTACCACCAGACCCATCTCTCTCAGGCTGCTCGTTTCCATCAGCCTGCCCTGCTACAGCATCCCCAGACATGGGCTTTACCCGCAGCCGGGGGCCAAGTTCAGTGGCAGTGGCCAGCACGGAGTTCATCACCACGGCACACAAGCCTCTCTCCCTGCTTACTTTGCATTCTGACTAGAAAATGAATAATCGATTTATAAAGTGATCAGGTAACTCCGTTCCCCTCCTCCTGGCCTTCCAGCTCCGCCTAGCCATGCAAGCAGGGGGGTGTCACCTGACAAGGAGTGGGAGACACACAGGAGTACTGCCTCTGCATGGCATGGGTCTGAAGGGAAGCAGCAGCTGGAAGAGCTGCTGCTACATGGAGCCTGCTGGCATCCTTTCAACAGGGGGCTTGCAGTAGGGGAGCGCAGGGCTACTTCATCCACTGGGCTGAAGAAACCTCCATGGAGCAGCTGCTCAGCTGCTTTGCCAGTTTAGGAGAGGATGCCACCCCCATTGCCCTCAGTCCTGGCCCAACTACACAGATTGGTACTCTGCTAAGGATCTGACCCTACAGGAGACATTCAAGTTAACCCAGGCCACCCCCACCTTTCCACTACCCGGTCTTCCTGCCTCCTTTTCTTTATTGAATTCAGGGGGCAGAACAACTTGACAACAACTTTGGAGTGTGGGGCACACACAGCTACGCTGCTAACCTGTCGGACTTCTTGCACTTTGAAGCCAGCTTAACTGCTGCATACCGCTGGAATGGGTCCCTTTGTAACCCCGGCAGAGAGCGCGTGCAATGCACAGAGTGCTGGGATATATTTTCACTATGGAGAAAATTACCTGTCAAAGAATAATAATAAAACCGTGTTATGCTTTGCTGGGGCATATGGGATCCTTTTGTTCTATATGCCAAAGCAAACACTTGAGCTGTAAACCATTCCTCTGCATGTTCCTCCGATGCTGATTGAACTGATGTGTAGCTCTGGATATGAAGCCAGGAAATAATAACTTGCAGCAGCCCGAAACCTGCTGTTCATTATTTACAACAACTTATTCTTGCAGTTTTTTTTTTTTTTTTAGTAGGGGTTGGATTGTAGTTGTAGTTGCAATCGTTCCCCTATTCTCCACACAATACCCCACAGTTCAGTCTCCAGCACCTCTAAATGGAAAGGGAGGAGGTGGGATCAAGACCACACTTCCCCCCGCCCTGGCCAGCTGAATCAGCTGGCCCAGGAGGGAAGCCTCTGCAGTACCCATCTAATGGATGGTGTAGCAAGCATGCCTCTCCTATGCACCAGGTTACTCTGGCACCATCCCTTCTGGAGCTCCAGCTGGGCCAGTGCAGATCCACTCTGCCCCCAGTGCACACCAGTCCCTAGTGGGCATAATCAGACCTTTGTCACTTAAAACCTGAGAAAAATAGTCTAAGATTCTCTGAAACTTGCCCTCACCAGAAATGAATCCCAAGAGCCAGTCCTCAAAACTCTCGATTGACATGGTTCTGCCAGTCATTGCATATTAGACAGGCGGTCAAGCACAGTTGTCAGTAACTGTTCTGACAGCATTTGTCCCATCCGCCCTGCTGGCATGCCCATGTTGTCTGAAGAACAGAGTCTCTGGACACAGCATGGCTCTGTGTGTAGACAGCTTTAATGGTGCTGATCGCCTGATCCAGAATAATCACCAGTTCTCTTGGAATTGGTTTTTAAGTACTTGATGGGAGTTTTAAAGACTCCCAGTTCATATATCTTTGTTTTTAAGAAGAGAGAAAGTTTTTAAAGGGTAGTGGCCGAGGTAAAAGCTAGCGCTATTGTCTCCATTGCAAATGCTGGCTTTGTCCGGTGGGGGTGGGATGTATTAAAAGACTAGATGGAAGTGCATTGTGTTAATGATCCTTTCCCCCAGAAGTCGCAGACTGATTTGACAAGCGATGGTCTATCGCTTCCCCTGTGCAGACAGAAAACTCCATGAGTTTCAGTTTGAAGTGTTTCCTACAACTTTTCCATTGGGGTTTGCCACCTCCCAGAATAGACAGGGAACTTGGACTCCACAAATCCAGATGGCCAGAGCTCAGTGGGGCAGCCTAGGGATCTCAGGCCATCTGCTGGGGACTGAAACACTTGTACAGGGACTTGGGACCACATTTTTAAATTCTCCTGGGAGTTAGGCACCTAGGCACTTTCGAGAATCCCACTCGAAATACCTGTTAAAATCTGGCATCTAAATAAGCCAGCCATAAGCATCTAAATACCTGTTAAAATCTGGCCCTCAGTGCTGCTGCTCTCCACCACACCTATCCATTTAGCTCACTTGAACCAGTGTAACTCAAGAAGAATACAAGGGCCTCCAGGATATACCCACCAATGCAAAGTAGTCACCTGACAGGTATAAGTGAACTGTGCACAGGAAACACTGCTTAACACTTTAAAACAGGAAATAAATGCCAAATTCAACTGAAACTACAGCAGACATTTTAACTAATCATTACATCTAAGAGATGAGAGGCAGAGGATCTGAGCAGGCCAGCCTCTGGACAAAGTCAAATTCTAACCAGATCTGGTAGTGATCAGAAAGCCACGAGCAATGTCTTGAGGCTCTCTCAAGCAAGCTATGGTTGTCAGGAAAGGACTCTCAGTGAATAATTGATCTTTCAGTGTGGCCAGCTAACTGAAACATAAAATGAAATAAATCCGTTAATTTCTCACAAAAACTGAATTTTTTCCATTTTTCTCAATGGAATGAAAAACCAAAACAGTTCCATTCAGGTTGAACAAAACATTTCAAATGTCAATTTGGACTTTTTTTGCCATAATTAATTTTGCCATTTTCAATGTTTTTGTTTTCATTTTTTCCAGCCAACACAATTCACCAAATTCGATCCAAATGTCCTAAATAATGTCTTTAAAAAAAGCATTTTGGGGGCGAATTTACTATTTGTCACAAAATTTCTCCCAGCTGTAGTAAGGAATCAAAGGTCCAGAGACTCCATCATCCTGTGCCTTCAGTAGTGATTTACAACACCTGTGCCAAGTGGGTGTGGAAAGGTAGTGGTTAATGCCTGACCTCCCAGGTGTCAAGGAGCACACAAGTGGTAGGGCAGTAGAGAATCCAGCCCATAGTGTTTTTGATGTTGGAATGTTACACTAACGCTGAGAATCAGAGAGACTCCCATGTGGCTATTTATGTTTAATGTGCCTATTCTTCCTCAGGTCACCTCCTCAGGAGACAGTCTTCCTCAGAGCCTCTGGAGAATGGGCGTGTTCTGTCTCAGGGCTCCTCTTTCACCTATCAGGATGTCCTGGACCAACTGATTGTTTACACGCGGGGGAGTTCCAGAACGCAGACAGATGAGTTCCGATTCTCTCTCACGGATGGGCTGTACACTGAGATGGGGAGAGTGGAGTTCTCTGTGGAGCTGCCAAAGAATGAGCCACCCAGATTAGCTGTGAACAGGGGCCTGCAGCTTTCAGCTGGTACGGAGTGAGTGGAGAGACTAACAAGCGTGATAGAAACGAATGGTCAAGATTTTCAAAGCTGGCCAAGGCATTTAGACACACACACCTCCTATTGATTGTAATCAGAAGTGTGCGTGTTTAAATCCCGAAGCTGGCTTTGTACATCTCAACCAATGCTTCTGTCCCAGTAAGTCAAAAAGGTTTTAAAACTGATGGAATGGTGAAAGAAGGAGGGAAGGGAGGGGAGAAGGAAACCTTTAAAATTGCTGTGCTTCAAGGAACAGCAACAGAAGTTGCTTGACATGTCAAAGGACTAATAAAAGTTAAAAATGGTGCAGGCAAGGGCGATCTGTCAAACCTCAGGTGGCAAGTTCCCTGCAGTTGAAGTGCTTTGTCTAGTCTAGTTTTAAATGTCTTAAGTGTTGGGCTCCTGCCATGTCCCCTTGACGCTTCTACAGCCTGCCAGAGCTCTTCATTAGCAGTATTTTCCTGATGATCAGGTTTAACCAACCTTTCTGAAAATGTCATTCATTTCTCCTAGTCATACTGTCCTGAACCTCCCCAAGTAATTCCTCTCCCTCCTGGCAGCTCCCCTTGAAATATTTGTAGATAGCTATCATGTCCTTTCTCCTTCTGCCCCACACTTTGCCGCTCCTTAGCCAACCTCTATAATTGGAGCTCATGCTCTTCTCATAGCAGTCCTACGCTGGAGTAATTCAGGTGGCATCGGTGGGGTTTACCTTGATAATCATGGGTGTGAGAGGAGAATCGGGCCTGTTAACATAGTTCAATATTTTCTCCTCTGGCCCCATAGTCAGTCTGTTGTTCTTCTCTGTACTGTCTCCAAACTTCCTGGTACTGAGTTGCCCAAAGTGGAACTCCAGCTGTCTCCACCCTGTCACATGGCGAAGACAGTGAAAGCTGCTCTAAAGCTATGAGCCGTTCTTCTAGAATTCAGAATTACCCACTGCCATATCCCCAGATCCAGAATAATTCAGTGCAGCTTTTGAATATTCAGACGTGCCAGGGTACACCAGAAATCATCAGTTCGTTGGGAGCTTGATTAGCCAGTGGGCTTTGCATGCTGTATTCAGGGATGGGAGGACTGGGAAAGGATTTGGTTCAGAATGAGGAGGGAAGTGCTGTGGGTGCTTTGATGCCCCACATGGACAGGACATGAAGGTCCTTTGCTGTGATGCTTAGGAACGAGACTCCATGCTTCTAAGATCTGCAACAGTGGAGCATCAGAAGTGCCCTAACCCTCCAGCCCCCAAGTAATCCTCTTCCTTCGAGGCATGTCCCATCCCTCACTAGCTGATTATCTGAGCAACGCTTGTCTGAGCTCCTGTTTTCTGAAACAGGGTCAGGTCTCCCACTGAACTTTTTGGGCGTGAGCATATTTGGGATAATAGGGAGTTCAGGATAAGTAAGGATAAGATTTTTAAGGCTATATTGTACTGGTATTTTTACAAGGTTGTTAAGGACACACACATTCGCCAATACTCTAGATCTGATGTCGGTCCCACATGTTGGTGAAGTGCCAAGCTCTGAGGAGCCTGAATTTCAAGTATGGGCTCCTTAACAGGACTGACATTTGGGTACTCAAATCAGCACCTAATAAGAAAATGTTAAACTGAGCATCCCGATGCAGGATTTAGGCTACCTACTAAGCTATCTTTTCATTTGAAAATTGGACCTACAGTGCTTTCCTTGGAGGGAAATAAGTGGAGCTTTCTTGAAAGAACAAAATCTCTAAATATGTAACACGTTGTTTATAAATAATGGAATCCAGTCTTTCAAAATGATTTGGCAAGCGATTTGGAAGGATTGAGTGGGGCTGTTTATGTAATCTGTTACTATCTAGGCTCCGTAGCACACATCACAGGTCAGCACTTAAAAGCTACAACTATTGATTCGGATGACCTGAAGGTCAGATATGTCCTGAAGAAAGATCCTAGTACTGGACATCTGCAGATGACTAAAATTGATAACTTGGTCCAGATCTCTGTGAAGGGACCCATCAAAAGTTTCACCCAAGCTGATATAAATAAAGGTGAGCAAATTTCTTGACCCTTTCAGTTCCAATAAATAAAACTAACTTTTGCCAGCTCTTTTACAACCCCCCCAAAGGAATAGAATGTATAACGAAAAGACTCACTTTGCCTATAGTAATGAGAGAGAGAGCACCAGTTATAATCTGCTTTAAATGAGAACTGTGAACTGAATCTTTCTCATCTAAAGTACACATACTCTCTTTTTTTTGTCTTTGTTGGATTCTTGTAATTATATGTCTTGTTACAGGATAATTAGGGATAGTGTCATCATTGTCTGGGTTAATGTAAAACTCATAGAACTGTTCCTGAAAGCTTTTTTTAAAAAATCAGCCTGCATATATCTAGGGCCACATTGAATGTGTGTTTGCGTGTAGGACAGGGCGTGTATGGGGTTTGAAAGAGTGGGCAGTAAGGGGATAGTAGTGTGACTTTAAGAGGTGGTGCTATTTGGAATCTGTTTTCACCTCCCAACAAAGGTGCAAATTAACTCATTAAAGCAAATAAGGGCATAAATTAGAGAGACAGACAGTTGCCTGGCTCTTCCTCTTAATTTGTATTGTGGTAACATCTGGAGGGATGCCAATCAGGGCAGGTTATGCTGCCCATTGTACTCATGCATAAAGACAAGAGTTCATAATTTAAATGTACGATGAGAGACCGCAGGTAGATACAACAGGTCGAGGGAGAACAGGGTAACAATAAGATTGTTACCTGTGTAATGAGCAAGACTTACATGGTATTTTGTTGTCCCAATAAATCCCAATGTAATGAGAAAAAGACAAGGCATAAAACATAAATCTAAAATTATTATAAAATTATAGATATATATGGATGCAATTTATAAGGACAACTAGTCCAGTCGCTCCTGGACAGTGTGTCCTGACCCATGTGTTAGACACAGATTTTCAAAAGAGCCCACGTGACTTAGGAGCACCAGTGTCATTGACTCAGTGGGAATTGTGCTCCTAAATCACTTCAGCACTTTTGAAAATCTCACCCACCATCTGGTTCTAGTTGATCTGTGAGCAGGTTGGGCATGTCTGCAAATGTTGTAATACCACCCCCCCATTCCCTCCCATGCAACATTAAGCTAAAGATATTTTAGCTAATCACTGATTCTAGCATCGAGTTGTATTTCTAAAATAGCCAAAATCTTTACAATGAGGGATGATGATGTGGAGCCGGGAGAGGAGAGAAAGAAAAGTAGCAGAAGACCGATTTGTGAAGGGAGAATTTATTTTCAATAACCAAGTGTTTAAAAACTCTCTCTCAAAAGGAGAAAAAGAAGGAGAGAGAAAATTGATACACAAATCTGGAAACTGTAGCAACCCCCATGTTCTGCCGGCTAGGCAGATTCCAAAATAGGTCACAGCAGCCAGTGTTGCAGCTTATATTGTATGAAGCCACTTCTTTTTCCCCTTCTCTCCAGGACAAGTGGAATATAGTCATGAGAAGGGGGAGCCTGGAGGGAGTTTTGCATTCAACTTTGATGTGATCGATGCAGAAGGCAACAAACTGGTCGACCAGTCATTCTATATTAGTGTCTTAGGTAAAAGATGCTATGTAAGCAATATTTTCTTAGCTATGAAAGATCATAGATTAATACGGTGAGATTCTCACCCCTGCTCCGGCCAGATAAAGGGAGTGGCGTAAAGGAGCCCTAAAAGGCGTAGATCTGTTGGGAAGAATTTCTCTGGTGCAAGAACTGGGAAGGACAGTCACCAGCTGCTGGATTCTTAGCGGCACAGCACAGAAACTCACCCATAGACCTTATAATCTCATCTGACCAACAGGCCATAAAATTCCACTCATCAATTGTTTCGTCAAGCCCATAACTTCTGGTTGTGCTGGAAGCATATCTTTTAGAAAGACATCCTATCATAATTTAAATAAATCTCTAAGCAAAAAATCTTGATGATTTGGTTTTCGTTTATTGGCAACTCAAAACCCTTTGAAACTGGGGCCTGGGAAGGAATCGCTCATTAAAAGAACAGTTCATTATTCATGTGGGGGGCCTTCTCCATTGCTTGAGTGTGTTTTGAGTCAGGCCCATTGTGATGTAACCGCCACTGACCTGCTCTGGTGACTTTTGAGTAAAGCATCATGTAAATCATGCCCAAAATATTCAGGTAAAAATTATTTGTCTTTGAAAATTTTTGCTACGGGGTGTGTGTGTGTGTGGGTGTGTGTGTAAAGCCAAGGAAGGGAAGCTGATTGTATCATAATTCAAACCATTTTGCCCCTGCTGCTTTCAGAGGACAGACTCCCCCCATCCATCATAGCGAACAAAGGGCTGGTCTTGGATGAAAATTCAGTGAAGAAGATCACAACGCTGCAGCTCTCCGCCACCGACCAGGACAGCGAGCCTGCAGCGCTCCTGTACAGAATCACCAAACAGCCGCAGTTGGGTCACCTGGAACATGCTGCATCACCAGGTTTGTAAAGCACTCTCTTGCTCTGTCACGTCCTCTACGGAACACAGGTTTTCAGGGATTTAAAGGTTTTTAGAAGTTCATTTCTTGAAAAATGTCTGCCTGGAATTAGATCCTGGATGAGATCTCAAACAACCATTAACCCAGGGAGCTTAAAAGCAAGGCCAAAGGAGATGAGGCATGATCTGGCTTCCCACAGAGAGGATTATTTATTCCACAGCTTGGGGAGTTTAGGACTCATAGTAACCTCACCTGCTGGGTTTTACTCACCAATCCAGCTCATGCTACCGGCTTCTGTGAATCTCCCTTTCTTGTAACCCACTATTTCAGACAACCCTAGTGCACATAACTTGCAGCTCCTCTGTCACTAAACTGAAATTCATACCGCGTATAACTTGGGGACTCATTTTCCTACGCTTAAGAACTGATTCCAGAACTTCTCAAAAATTCACAACCAACATCCCTTGTCAGTGGATATGCCCAGCAGCCAAAAGACTTGTTTTTACCTCAGTATCTTGCCCTGTACGTGTTTTGGTACGAAAACTCCAACCCCTTTCTCAGCAATGCTTAAGATGTGGGAATTTAATCACAAAGTTTGAAAGAAAGACATATCCAGATACCCAAGGTACGATGTGCCATATACTGAATCAGCAAAAGCTTTATGGGAGACTGCTTTGAGCCCTGGAATTTGCTAATACACTTTTGCATGAATTACCTAATATTTAAGTACTTTCAAAACAAACCTTTTCCGGAGACCTGCCAGTAGCTTTTTTGTCCCCTCTGTCAGACTTACAAAACAATTCGCTGCAAATTCAATCTTTAAATCTTATTGTTGCCTTCCAGTGCCAGTTATCCCAGGATATTATGTGTCCTCTAATCCTATCTAATGAATTACTCTAAACCTGTATCCTCAAACAATATGTTCCTTTGGCTTAGATTATGTTTATCTTTTTTTTCAGTGTGACCTTTCATTAGATTAATGGACTGTCAATCCTTGCTGTGTTTTCAGAAAGCAGTCTGTGCCCTTACAGCTTTGTGTTAGAAAGAAACGAAAGTAGGAATAAGCAGTTAGTGTTCTTCTTTCCTCCAAACCTTTTGCCTAAAATGCAAACCAAACATTGAACATCATACTTTGGAAGTCGGAAATAGCTGGATTAATGTTTTTCTCATTAGTTTAAGCGTGCTGGTTCTAGTACCAAAGCTCTTTCAGACCCTGGAAGGCATCAGACGTTGATGTGAGGGAATACTCTGAAGGAGGTTGTTCTCATGGTGTAACTGGCCCCAGCTCTAAGCAAAAAATACGGGAGCTCTCAGAAGAGAGTCCGTTCTCACAGGCCTTCTAACCTAATGAGCGCCAAATAAGCTTTGGATAAACATCCTTTTTTTGTGTTGCTTATCTAAACCAAACCGCTGAAGGTTTGAAGTTTGCCTACCGCTAATTGATAGCCATTTGTTATGAAACACAGATCGCCAATTTTGTCCGGGTGTTTTCAATCAAGGGCAAAATTTTCAAAAGCACCATTGAAATCAGTGGGAGTTAGGCCCCTGCATGTGTTTGAAAATCCCACTATAGGCATCTATCTGCATCAGTAGGCACCTAAATATTTAAAATATCTAAGTGCCTAAGCACTTTTGAAAATGGAGCCTAGGGTTTTTGTTTGGTTTTGAAACTTTTTATTAAGGCAAAGTTACAATAAAATGTTAATATACATCATGCATTACTTATTACTTTTTCAGGATCAGGTTAATATTCAGAGAACCTGGCTAAAGATTCTGGCTTCCTGGCTGGGGAGTCCTCTTCTGAGTATGCTACTAAGTGTGACCACATTTCTCAATACCGACCCTCTTTTTGGCACTTCTCTTGTGTATGTACTTGGTGTGAAAGTTTTTTTCAATTTCAAGGACAGTCCATAACCCAGCCACCACATGTGCAAGGCTGTTCCTCTTTTCCTGCAGCTCACTTTTGAAAATTTTATCCTGGATCTTTTCTTATGCCAAATAAAGCTGTGAGAACCTTTTGCCCATGTTCAACAAAACCTCTTTGGGTTGTTGTCTGAGAGATAATAGAACTGTGGGATTTACTGTTCCTCATAGACTGATTCCCCACAGATACTCTGCATGACCATGTCCCGGTCAGTCTGCTGAGAATGTGACTCAACTTCATATAATCTCATCCTTTAGGATGGGAGAACAGCACAGCTGGGATTTGCAGGAGCACTCACCATTGGCCTAACTCTCCTTCCATTGAAGTCAGCAGTAAAACTCCCATTAGCTTCAGTGCGAGCAGAGTTAGGCCAACTGTGCATGCTTGTGAAAGACCCACCCTATGTTCCTTCAACTTGTGCGCTGGAGCTATGTATGCGGCACGTTTCTGTCCTTCCTAGAGGTTGTTTTGGGTTTCCTGCTCTTTTTACTTTTCATCATTCTTCTTGTACATTTTTCCTAACATTTTGGTCCAGGCACAAGGATTAAATCATTCAGCCAGGCAGACCTGGCCTCGCGCAGCATCCAGTACATCCACACCAGTGAGGCGGAGAAGCATGCTGATGCGTTCACCTTCTCCGTCTCTGATGGAGTGAATGAGGTAGGTCTGAGCACGTGGTTCTCTGAGTTGATGCAGACGGTTGATTCCGGACTGATGGATGTGCTGGGAGTAAATTCCCCTGATGTCATATGGGAGACATAGTTACACCAAAAAAATAAAATGAAACAAGCTTTGACTCCTGAGCTTCTAATTTAGCATTGGCGTGTACTCTTGCTAGTCATACGGACGGAGGTCAGATGTGTCACTGAGGGAACACATTTAGTGTGTGAGGTGGAGCTGGGAAGTGGCAGAGGGGTAGCAGGGTGACAGAGAGTTCAGGCCAGCTGAAGAAACCATCACACACACACACAATCTGCAGCATTACCTATGAGCTGTCCCCATTGGCTCTTCATAACGTTGTTGCTTCGATTCAGACATATCCTGAGTAGAATGTATTTGTCAGAAAAGGTCTGTTTTTCTTTCTTTCCCAGGTCAGTCAGACATTTGACATCGTCATAAACCCAGTAGATGACTCCTTGCCAGTGGTGCAGAGCCCTGGGATGCGGGTGCAGGAAGGGGTGAGAAAAACCATCACGGAGTTTGAGCTGAAAGCCACAGATGCCGACACAGAGGTAAGGCGCGCGTCGCTTCCATATCCTCTCTCCCCTGTGCTGTTGCACAGCGGCATTTGTAGTCAGAGGGATTCAAACTAATGTCTTTCCTCCCAGCACATACTCTGTGTGACCACGGGCTAGACAGCTTCAAACAAACAGCTGGGAGGAGGGTAGGTCTGTGTGAGAAATGATGTCTGAATAAAGCAAAGTCTTGGCTCGAGAAATGTCATACTTCATTTCTTGTGTCTCCCTTCTATGTGTAGCAAAGAAAAACCATCATTGGTCTAGGACCTAAACCCCACCCCCATCTCCTCTATAAACCTTGTGGGCTCTATCCCTTTTCAGCTCAGCTTAGCTTGGCACAGATGAAGGGGATAGATGCAAGTCACCTTTCTTCATTCCCTTCTCCTGGGTCTCACTAGGAGCTAAGCAAGCCCAGGGCACAAGTTAAAGCAGCCACAGGGCTGCTGTAACTGACATGGCCTAGACTTGTAATGCTGAAGCATTTCTACGAGGGGGATGTAGAGCTGGCTCTGATGACTTCACTTAAAACAGAGAAGTCCCCAGCTGCCTCATCTGGGCACAATGGGAACTTATGCTGGACCAAGCACCCGGCTTCTGAGTGTGTCATTCCTTAACCTGAGCCGTGGGACCATGTCCCGTGGACATGACAACAGTCTTTCACTGACAGAATAAGCAACTTGCACTTTCCTGTGAAAAGAATGAGCGTGCCTGTATGCTACGACTGCATGAAGTATGGGGACAGCATGTCAGACTAGGTGAACCTATGGTCCGATCTAGCCCGACTGACTCTCATGTGACCACTGTTGATGTCCTCCTGGAGACAGTGACATTGGGAAAGGGTGGTTGGCTCAGTGGGGCCAGCGTGCTGAGCTGGCTCAGTGCACAGTGGCTCTTCTCTACTTCTTTGAACTCTTGTCCCTGGAAAGAAGATGGGTGAAAAGTTAAAACCCAGTCATATCCCTCTCCAGCTCTGTTGACCCAAGTAACCCACCACTCCCACAAGGAAATTTTACCAGCTTTGCAACCTTCCCCACCAACCCCTTTCCTTTGGACAGGCGGAATCGGTCACATTCACCATCGTGCAGCCTCCTCAACACGGTCTGATTGAACGCACCAGCAACGGGCAACACTATCGCCAGACGACCACCTTCACTATGGACGACATCTACCAGAACCGGGTCTGCTACAGCCACGACGGCAGCAACTCCCTGAAGGATCGCTTCACCTTCACGGTGTCCGATGGGACCAATCCCTTTTTCATTGCGGAGGATGGAGGGAAGGAGGTAAGGGAGGATGGAGGGGTGGGGAGAAAGAGATTTCCTAGGAGTGATGTAAACCTCCCTGAACATGTCCAGTGGCTCTTGGCTGTTGCATTTTATACCTTCGGGGCCAGATCCTCAGCGAGTGTAAACTGGCAGAGCTCCATGACCTTAGTGTGGTTTGACGCTGGTGTTCCACCATGTCCTTGTGTGCTCGTGGAGTGCTTTGACCGTATGTTTGGGTGTGCTAGCTGGTGTGTGCTTCATGATTTTAAAGTGTGTTTTGTGCCCAAGTGTGTGTATGCACGCGCCCATGCGCTGACATTATGCAGATTGTTGCGTTCAGTGGAGCGATGTGAATTTACAGTCGCTGAGGATCTGACCCCAACAGTTTAAAAAACAAAAAAAAAAAGCGCTGAAATCCACAGAGCTACATCGATTTGAGCTGGCTGAGGATTGACCATTTATCCCGACGCAGTTCTAGATCTCTTGCAGCATCGTGTGGAGTAGTAGCCTTGTGCTTTGCCCAGCGGTACATTTCAGTGTAATCTTAAATCATCTAGTCCAGGGGTGGCCAGCCTGTGGCTCTGGAGCCGCATGCGGCTCTTCGGAAGTTAATATGCGGCTCCTTGTCTAGGCACCGACTCCAGGGCTGGGGCTACAGACGCCAACTTTTCAATGTGCCGGGGGGTGCTCACGGCTCAACCCCTGGCTCTGCCACAGGCCTTGCCCCCACTCCACCTCTCCCCTGAGCCTGCCGTGCCCTTGCTCCTCCCACTCCTTCCCCCCCCCCCCCCACGAGCCTCCTGCACGCCACGAAACAGCTGATCAGGAGGTGTGGGGAGCAGGGGAGGCGCTGATTGGCGGGGCTGCCGGTGGACGGGAGGCTCTGGCAGTGGTGGGGGGCACTCATGTTGGGGCTGCTGACATATTACTGCGGCTGTTTGGCAGCGTACATTGGTAAATTCTGGCTCCTTTTCAGGCTCAGGTTGGCCACCCCTGATCTAGTCCATTCAAATGGCTGAGACAAGAGAGGAAAAATTCTTTGCATCTTCACTAATGTAAAGAAACAGCGCTACTGACTGCAAAGTGCGGCAATGCTATAGACAGCCAGCATCACGTTGAATAGCAGCAAATATTGTCTGCCATTGCAGTATCGGCACCGGGTATTCTTCGGTTAATTATGTGTTGGCTCACCTGTCTCAGGGCGATGAGGCTTTCTTGGCTCTTCAGCCTTTCGGAGCAGGTAGAAGCTCTCAGAAGACCAGAAATCTCTCTGAATTATTGAAATCAATAGAGCTATTGTAAGTTACACCAGCTGAGGATCTGGCCCATGATATTTCAGTGCTGAGAGTGAACAGCAAGTGGAGGGGTTATTGCAGACTCGGAGTGAGAGGAGAGTTGTTCGAGTGAAAAATGGAAAGTGTATTTTTAAAGAATGGAAACAAAACATCCCTGAACAGACAGCGCTGTGAAATCGCAATGCAGCACAATTTAGCTTTGCCACTGCGAGAGAAAGGCATTAAATCCCAGAGGCTGAAACCAGGGAGTATTAATTTAATGAGCACCCTCTTTTGTTGGTTATTCTTTTCCCACTTCTTCTGCCTAGCAGATATTTGGGATAAAAAGACCCAAATCATCCCTGAAGCCGTAAGTCTCTGAAACATACATTCCAAATGTATTTTCAATGTATGTTTGTGAGCGTTTCAGGGAACATTTCACAAGGGTTTTTTTATTAATTGGTTTCAACATCTGTAATTATTTATATTACAGTAATAGTGATAGGCCCCAAATGAGAACAGGACCTCATTGTGCTTGGCAGTGCATAGTAAGACACAGACCCTGCCCCGAAGAATTTACAATCTAAATAGATAAGACAGTCAGATAGGAGTAACAGACAGGAGCTCTTTGGGGTGAGATTTTCAGTAGCCTCAGCATGGGTCTACCTCTGTTTCCCTTGAAAACAATGGGAGTTTTATCATTGACTTCAGTGGGAGAAAGAGATTTTGAAAACCTTCCCCCGCCCCGCCCCTGTGTTTGGTTTGATTAATCATGTAAGCTCTTCAAGGCATGGACCACGCCCCCTTCCGTGAAACATCCGGAATGCCCGTAGTGATAGATCAATAAATAACGCCTCTGGCCGTTTAATGTTAAGCAATGATGTGTATGAGGCGTAAATGGCCACTTCTGTGTTGGGACTCTTGCTTAGATTGTGACAGCGGTGCCCCAGCGGTTCAAAGTGGACATTCTCCCTGTGGATGATGGGACTCCCAGAATTGTCACCAACTTGGGCCTGCAGTGGCTGGAGTACATGGATGGCAAGGTAACAGCTTGTGTTTAGCTTTGTTAAAACCAGCCTGATTATGTTCCTGAAAGAAGGGAAAGAGGGAGGGAAGCGACAGGCAGAAGAAAATCCAGAATGTCTCATCACTTCTCTTTCAGTGATGGGAGTAACAAAAACCCAAGTACCCGCCTTGGTCTAGGGAAATGCGTTATGACAACAGAGGGCACATTGGAATCAATGTACGGTGGCGGGAGGGGATGAGGTAAAGGTACCTCATAGAGATACTGCCACGGAGGGGCTAAACCCATCTCCTCAGAAATCTCCCCAGACAGCCAGCACTCTGTAACGTGGAAGGATAGCTATATGGATGTTTCCCACTGGAGTACAGACAGCACCAGGAGGCTGATTGTCTGCAGGCATGACATTGACAGAGCAAAATCGGTTGAACTTAGTAGAAGTTCCAGGGAGATTCCTTTTACTCGCAGACTGCATGATGACTGGAAGTATCCCTTTTTTGTGTGGTGGTGTGCCCTGAAACTGTCTTCCCCGATGGGCCTCAAAAGGAATGATTCCAATATGTTTCTCAATGCAGGGATTTCTTCCCCCCATTAACTTTTGTTTGTTTTTGCTGAATTCCAAATAGGATATCAGGGACAGACACACCTGATAGTATTTTGAGGAGTCAGTGTAAGTTGTAAAGAAATACTCCAAATTATTCACAGCAAAATAGGTTCACACATTATTAAGAGAAGGCTATTTCAACTCCACATGCCTGACTTATTAAAAAGCATTGTGCAGGCATCAGAGTTTTATTGCCACAATTTTCCATTCATGTTGTTTTCTCTTAAGGAAACGTAGAAAAAGTAGAGCTGGACTGAGACACACACGTGACAGGGCAATGAAAGAGGGGTAGCACTTGTTCACTAAAGCTGTGCAAAGTGTTCTGAATGGAACCCAAAACTCAGGCCATTCTCAAAGCTTCAAGCATGCCTGAGCCGAGTTTCAACCAGCTGTGTTGAGAGGTTGTTTTCATGTAAAACTTAGAGGTTTGTCATTGATTCAAGACCAGACCAGACCGTACTTGGCCATTTTGCACAAATTTCCCTTTGTTCAAACCACAAACTCATATCAGACCGTAATCCGAATCTGAATCCTTTGCTTAAGGCACTAACAGGACTCCTCCGTCCCTGTCTATCCTAGGCTACTCTTTGCATGTCCTCGGTGTTGTTAAGTCCCAGAGGTTTTCCCTGTCTGGGTAACGTTCAACAGATCAATTGTTTCAGACCGCATCTCAGGAATTGTGTAACCTCTTTGGTGTGGCTTTAATCCAGGCAACAAATCTGATCACCAAGAAGGAACTGTTGACTATGGACCCTGACACAGAGGACAAACAGCTGATCTATGAGATAACAACTGGACCCAAACATGGTCACTTGGAGAGCAAGCTGAAACCAGGGACAGCTGTGACTACATTTACACAAGGTAGGGTAGCAGGACTGCAGTTTACTGACCTCCTCTTTACTTCCTTCCATTCCTCTTCACTATGGCAAAATAGCTCATGTATGAAAGAAACACAGACAGACCGATTCTGATGTGTACCATCCCTGATTTCAATGGAGTTATTGATTTACACCAGTGCCAGGAGAGTAGAATAAGGAAGGTCCTTCTCTCCCGTGTCAGAAGGTTACAGGGGGGTTATTAAAAAAACCAAACAACCCAAACTTTGATTTTTCTCTCAGTTAAATAAATCAAATGTTTCCCGTGGAGATGATCTTGAATCCAGATCCCAGTCATCTCAGCATTCAGGGCTGTGTGGAGCTGATGGTTTGATTAGGGCCAGTCATAGATTTTGCACCTGGATCTGAACATCGCCAAAGTCTGGGTGTGTTTGAATGTAAGGATTTGGGTTGTGCTCACCCATGCTTTCTAACGTATTTGAAAAAGTATTTTATCCATCTCGAAGTATTTTGTTTTATGGCTGGATTTTTTTAAAAAGATTTCCAAGCTTTTTCAGCACTGATGGCAGAGGCTTGCTGTTTTAAAGAGCTGCACTGTGCAAATAATATCCCCCAGCAGTTTTTTATAGATTAAGAGAGAGAAAATGTTTGGGATGCAGTTTGCGGTACTTGCTGAAGAGCTAAAAATGCCTTCTGAAGGTCTCGTTTCTGGTCTTTCCTGTCTTGTCTTATGAAAAATGTTACCCTAGCTGGATAATGTGCTCCTGACTCTTCTGATCACCTTTTGCAAGACAGTCGTGTAGACACACACAATTGTTATAATTGCTAATTAGGGCTTGATAGTGCTACTGGGTAAAATTTCTCATTTACAAAATGGGTTTAGGCAATTGGGAGCCTAAACCTCCTGGAAAATAAGGTTTGAAAAGGGGACGTAGACTCCTAATTGACTTGGGTGCTTTTGAAAATTTTACCCTTTGTCTTATTTTGCCGGGGGAAAACTAGCCTTTTCAGGGCTGTGGTGACTTGCAAGGTGGAAGCAGGGAAGTAATTTGAATCTCAAAGTGCCTTCTCTGGGTGCTCCATTTAGAGACATGGCTTTACACTTCCCCTTAGTCAGGATGAGCGTAAACCCTCCTGTGACATTACACCCCATATTCTTCATAGAAATATGTTTGATATGAATATGGCATAACTGAGATATACTTTATGCAAGATGGCTCATGTAAGATACCATTGGAAAGGTTATGATTTACTGAATGCGATTATCCAATTTGTTTGCATGTATCATTTCTGTCTCTGGAGTTAGGAATATTGATTATGTAACCATTACAACTGTGTGTATGTACTTGGGGACATGCCCACCAGACAGTAAGCAATCAGACCTAATGGGCCATTAGAAAAAGACAATGAGTCTTTGAAGACTGGATCTCCCATCTGCCTGGAGTTCCTTCCTGTGGACATTGCAAATAAGCCTGGTTTCATAGTTGCATTGACACTGCAAGGTCAGGTGCTAAGATCACCTGATACAAAATATCACCTTGGACACTGCTGGTTCTTTTCCTCTGTAGGGGAATGGAGATCAAACAAAGGTTTCCTGCCTTAGGTAAATCCCTTTTAAGGCTGGGGAGGGGGTTAATCTGGACTCTCTTCCATTGCCTACCCAAGAAGAAGGACGACTGAAAGTTCCTGAAGGGACAAAGATACTAACCTGAGGGGAAAGGCAGGGGTGAGTCTGTGAGAAGAAATAACTGGAACTCTAAGCTACAGAAACTCTGCAACTTGCCTAAAATAACATTTAGGGTGAGAAATTACAGTTTCTTTAAGATCTTAAGCTTAGCATGCATGTTTTTGTTTTACTTGCTCATTAATCTGCTTTGTTCTGTTTGCTATCTCTTACAATCACTTAAAATATGCCTTTTATAGTTAACAAGTTTGTTTTGCTTATTATTAAACCCAGTTAGTGCAATTTCTAATGCGGGGGGGGGGGGGGGGAAGTTGTCATATCTCTCTTTGCATTGAGGGAGAGGGTGAATTTTTATGAGCTTGCACTGTGTAGATCTTACTATACAGCGTAAGACAATTTACCTTTGGTCTGCACTCCAAGGGAGGTGGACACCTTAGTGCTGGGGTCTTCCCAGAGCTGATCTCAGTGTCTGTGTCTTCCTGCAGCTGGGTGTGGCCCTGCCTGTGTGTGTGCTAGAGGAGGCTTAAGAGCCTGGCTCAGCAAGATCGGGTAAAGGGACGCCCAGGCTGGCGGTCCAGGCAGGCTCAGTAGTATCCCAGTACATCAGGTGGCACCTTAAAGGAGGGCAACCTGTCACACCTCCATCTAGCCCTTCACGTTTCTGTTACAGTAAAACACAGAGATGCCAGTCAAGAGTAAGGCCCCATTTTGCTAGGCGCTGGGCAAACACAGTCAAGGTTTCTGTCTATCGCTTCTCATCAGAACTCCCCAGCCAAGTCTGTCCTATCTTGCGTAAAGTAAATCCAGGCTAATACAAAGGAAGAGACCCAATATTATTTTATGGGCAGAGTTCAAGGAGTCAGTTTAATGCTATGGCAAAGCTCAGACGCTACTGCAGCTATATAGCGGCCTTAAAGGGACACACCAAAATACAGACCAGGGGATTTAATTAAATTCTTCTTAAGCAAATTTGTATTAAAATAGTCCCAGTCAAATTTAGTTAAAAAAAAATCCTACCCAAAAAAATCCTTTTTTTCTAAGTTGTGGAAGAAAAGATTGGATCAGTTTTTTGAGAGAGCAAGAGAGATGCAGCATAATTTCGGATGGCTCTTGGACTGGTGTGAATGACAAATAACTGTTACAACCATTAGAGTTGCACCAGTGTCAAACTTGTGATCAGAATCAGGCCCATAGAGATGTATGAATGCCTGGATTGACGCACTGAGAGTCTCTTCCCGACAGAGGATGTGAACCTGGGACTGATTCGGTACGTGTTGCTGGAAGAGAAGATTCAGGAAACCATGGATAGCTTTCAGTTTCTAGTGAAAGACAGCAAGCCCAACGTTGTCAGTGACAATGTCTTCCATATCCAGTGGTCTCTCATCAGTTTTAAATACACCAGGTAAGCTATCCTATGGGTTACAGCACTCATCTGACATACAGGGCCTTATTCAGAGGTGAGGTGGGTGGGGTGGAAGTTAAGTTACACATCAGTAAGTAGTTGGTGTAACTAAGACGCTGAGGTGGCTACAAGGAGGTAGAAGATAGACTCGTAGACTCACTTCGGATTTTGGCCCTCGGTTTTCATGCCGCAGTGCTGGGAAGTGGCATGGGCCTAGCATATGAGAATAATCCCATAGGGATAGATCATCATCATTTATGAGTATATCTCAGTAGCACCCAGCAGTCCCAGTCAGGTCCGAAGCCCTGTGGTGCTACACATGAGTAAAGGTCAGTCCCAAGTGATGATTCAGTCCTACAATGAAGCCAAATAGAACCCAGTAGTTTCAGCTGAGAAATCACTATGAGTGTGTATGGAGAGAGCATAATAATACCCAGCTCTTACTCAGCGCTTTTCATCAGTAGATCTCAAAGTGCCTTACAAAGGAGGGCAGTGTCATTAGCCCCAGTTTACAGATGGGGAAACTGCAGCACAGAGATGAAGTGACTTGCCCAAGGTAACCCACAGGCCAGTGGCAGAGCCAGAAAGAGATCTCCCAAGTCCCTAATCACTAGGACACACTGCCTATGCATGACAGTGTGGAGTGTAGCGTTTATCTGCCTGAGTTTGGGATGACTGCAGATCCAATGTGTTACCTTTGTGATCGGTGGGAGTAGCACCCATATATCTAAGATTAAAGTTTGCCTCCTTATGTTTGTCAGACCCTTACTGTATCTCCAGATCTCACCTCCCTGGAGGCATGAATTAGACTGGATTTGGGCTTGCTTAGTATCACTAAAAACATACAAGGCTCCTGGTCTGTTCCATTCTGGTTCTTATACCGTGCTCATCACCTTAGTACCTACCTGAGCACCCAGTTGTGCATTAAGTGACATGCCTAACATATCTCCCGTGTTTGTGTTGTGTACGTTCCCAGCTACAATGTCAGTGAGAAGGCTGGCTCTGTCAGCGTAACGGTGAAGAGAATCGGTAACCTCAATCAATATGCCATTGTCCTGTGCCGCACGGAGCAGGGAACTGCCACCTCCAGCATCAGTTCAAAGCCAGGACAGCAGGACTACGTAGAGTATGCAGGCCAGGTGGGTTGGGAAATTCAAGCTGGAAGGACTGTATACCCCCAGAAATAGCAAACCTGATACAGTGAATCAGACAGCGTGTTTTTTTATTTGCTTGTACCTGATCTGTGTTCCCCTAAGGATGTCTGGACTCTGCTGTTTCATCCTTTTACCTTAGCTGTTATAGCCCTGCTTCGCATGTCTGAGACATGTGGGGGAGGAGAAGAAGGAAGTGGCAGAGTTCAACATCTCACCGTAGAATAAGCGCACGCGTTGCACTGTATAACATTAGAAGGGCCCTGCCCACGTGGGCGGAGTGGTCAATAATGACGAGGACAGGCTGCACTGCAGCAAAATGCATTTCAATGCAGCCGTATGTAAGGCTGTGCGTTTTTTCTTCCTAGATGTAGGTCACACCTATAGAAAGGGGGGACTGTATCCTGGAAAGCAACGGCCGAAGAAGACTTTGGGGTCTGTGAAGGGGTTGGCTCACTGCTGGCGCCGCCTCACGGTCAGGCATGGTGTGGCGACTCATTCCTGATTGGGGTCTGCAGCCAGTGGCTGCTCTGCCTCTCGGGCGCCTTGCCTCTTCTCTCCATCCAGGTCACTTCTGGGGTAGTCCATAAACAAAAACAAGGGGAATTAACACACACAAACTAAGTTAAGGGGAGAGAGGGAGGAACACCTCTATTTCAGGCTGCATCAGGATCAGGCCCTCCCTTCCCTTAGGCAGGGACATTCAGGCAGTTGTTGTCAGGGAAGCTCCTGCCTTCTCTTATTTATCCTCAGGAGCTGAGGGTTGAAGGTCTGTTCTTGTCCGTGCATGGCCCACACATGAGCTGTTCTGCTCCAGCCCCTACGTGCCTTTGCAGGTGTGGCGGGGTTGGGCTGGCTGAGCCCGGAGCAGCTCCTTAACCCCTTGTTGTCCAGTGTGGGGTATGTCTACCCCATCACAGGGTCATAGTGAACATACAACTCGGACATGAGCTCCCGGTGCAATGCTGTGGCAAAAAGGGCTAAAGCAATCCTTGGATATATTAACTGGGGAATAGTGAGAGGAGTTAGGGGAGCTGATTTTGCCTCTGTATGTCGCACTGGTGAGACCAGGACTGGTATGCAGGAGGTCAGATTAGATGCTCTAATGGTCCCTTCTCATCTTCAGATCTTTGACTCTAATGTTGAATGTCAAATTCCTTCATTTAAATTTGTTTTTAAAATGTCAGTTTGAGTCCCCTCTGACATCAATTTGCCAGCAGTGGACTTGCTCCTGATTTTCAGGCCTAAGTTGGCGTTAGCTATTACTTACTAATTTAATAGAAATATATTTATGACTTTAAGAAAAAAAAATCTGGGAAACCAGTTTTTTGAAATTCAAGTAATTCTCTACCATGTTGTCATCCTAAACAACTTCAACTTTCAGTTAGCACATCAGAGCCAAAAACTGAAAGTGATCAGTCAGTTTTCATCATCTAAGCTTCATGGAATTAAAAAAAAACCCACCTTAGTAAAATAAGTGGTAAAACATGAAGTAGACTTTTAGATGACTTCAGTTTTAAGAATCTAAGGTGTTTTTGCGCCTGTAGGTGAGAGGACATTCTTTTAAAGTATGAGTTTTATGTTGACAGAGTCCCTGTACGGGAATATTCTGCAAGACCGTGTTTAATACAGGCTTGCCTAGGTTCTGATCTCATTTATGCTGGTGTCAATCAGGAGTAACTCCATTAAAGTAAATGGAATTACTCAAGCACAAACCTAGTGTGAGGTCAGAATCAAGGGGCCTGATTCTTCAGTGCCTTTTGCCTTGTGTAATTGTTTCCCTCTGTGCAAAACACAAGCAAGAGAGCATGGTAGAGGTTTGCATTCCCTTTGTACATTCGCATTCACTGTAGGTGACTGAACAAGGGACAGTTCAGTGAAGAACTGAGCTCAGGAGCTCCCAAGAGCTCTGATCCAAACCCCACTGAGGTCATTGGGAGTCTTTCCTTTGACTAGTGGGCTTTGGATCGGGTCCCAGGAGAACAAAAGTAAAGCACAGCTCTGAAACATACCAGGACAATTAAAGTTCTGTGATTATTAGCAAAGATTCAGGGCATTCGTGCTTTCCAGAGGGGAGCAGGGAGGGTTTCTGCATTTGCAGCTGCAAGCCCATATGTACACCCCTAGTTGTTCACTTCCTTGCAGGTGCAGTTTGATGAGTGGGAGGACACCAAGGCCTGCATCATTGCTATCAATGATGATGATGTCTTTGAGAACACGGAGAGCTTCACTGTGGAGCTCAGCATGCCAGCCTATGCCCTGCTGGGGGAGATCACCCAGGCCAAAGTCATCATCAACGACACAGAGGATGAACCCACTCTGCAGTTTGACAGGAAGACTTACCATGTCAATGAGAGTGCTGGCTTTCTGTCTGCACCCATTGAAAGGAAAGGTTTGTGGTATTAGATATAGCAACGATGATACTGCACTAAAATAGCGCTACTCAGCACAGGAGCTAAAGTTGCTTTACCAACACTAACTAACTAAGATTTGAAATTCCATTGTGTGGTGTTAGGCCCATTTTACAGACGGGTAAACTGAAACATACAGCGATTAAATGACAAGGTCCTACAATAAATCAGTGGCAGAGCCAAGAAGGCAACTTAGAAGCCCTGATCCCCAAATTCCTGCTTTCACCATTGGTCAGCACTAGAGCAGACACATAAGTTGTGAGCAATAACTGGATTTATCTCTCTAGTGCAAAATCAGTGCCTTCTGTGTCACAGGAGATAACTGTAGAACTTTCTGCTACATTCAGAGTCTTTAGTCCCATCTCTGATGTTGCTTTTGATGATAGAATTTTAAAACATAAAAGTGTTCAGTTGGCATTTTTATTGATTGAGATGTTGGTCCCAATCCTGCAGCCTCTTGTCACAGGAGTAGAAGTACGACTAGGACTGTTTACATGAGGAAGGGTGGCAGGAATGGACCTGTTGTGCTTGTCTGGACTCAGTTTTATCTCATCTGGCTCCATTGCTCTTTGAAGCTAGCAAGCTTTCCCAGCTTTTAAGCGAGTCGATCTTCCCTTCTGGTGGGCAGATATCAAAGCCCCAAAAGAGAGGAAAAAACAGGGTTCCTTCCTTTCTTTTTAAAAATATAGCATTATCCACAGGGAAAAGGATATCTGAAAATAAAGGAAAGAGGGCAATGAGGTTGGCCTGGTTTTCCTTTATAGATTCAATAATTGAGTTTAGGCCTGCTGCCTTAGGGCTCAGTCCAGCTCCTACTGAAGACAGAAGCAAACCAGGGGATCTCTTGGCTTCTTCCCTATGTGTCGGGTGCTATGCGTCCCATGAAACACACCTGCAGTGCTGCTGCGTATAGTAGGAGACATGCCCTCTTCAATCTCTGATTTCAGGCGAGCAGCCACAGAAGGCAACAGTACTGGGGCTGGAGTTGAGTGTCCAGAGATTCAGCTGGCTAAAAATATCAAAATGTTCTTTTGAATTCATGCTAGGTCAATTTCTGTAGATGGTTAAGAACAGCAGGAGTGTCCTCCACTCTCCCCTTGCATAAATATTTTCCCCTTACTGTAGAAATTACAATGGACGATGTCTGAATTCATCCAGTGTGTCAGAAATTATTTTCCTAGTAAGTTTAGGAAACTCAGTTTCTACACAAGCATTCATTTATCAGTTCAAAGGCCTCTTGGTGGTGATTGCACACAGTGTACAAACAAGCATATATATAATCTATATTCTATACCCAGCAGCAATACAGTTAGAATTACTGGCCCAAATACTCTCAACAGGACGAGGCCTGGGAGGTACCTATTGCCATCATGCTATTTTCCAGAGGGGTAAGGAAAGGCACTGACAAAGAACTCCCTAGATACCTTGCTTTTTATATACTATTACAAACAAGTGATGTCATGGCTGGGTATTGGACTTTAACTAAAGCTAACTGAGGGAGTTTTAGAGCAGAACCTGCCCCTGGCTTAGTTAAGACAAGATTCCTGGTTGAGCCCCTTTCTTTTCAAGGTTTCCTCTTTATCTCATGTTGCTGTATTTCTTTCTAACTACTAAACTGTGCATTTCTTTATAATAAATTAAACACACCAATTATTTACCGGACCTGGTGCCCAAGTCCCCATGTTTTCTTTATTTCTGTTACCTCAACCCACACCTTAAATGAGATAACACTGGCATGTCCAGGGAAACTACAAGTTTAACACAAACAATTCCTCCTTCTGTTTTTTTTTTTTTTTTAATTCACATGCTTAAGGCCTATCACTTATGTTGAGATCCAAACTCAGTTTAAACCCAGAGTTCATTCAGGTCTAATGCGGGCCTATGTTCCTCCACAGCTAATGAAGCATCATATAATTTTCTGACCATAACACTTCTGTCCCCGTGGATGTTACATTGTAGGGGATGCCAGCAGCATTGTATCTGCTCTTTGCTACACCGTCTCCAAATCTGCTAAAGGCAGCAGCCTTTACGCACTGGAGTTGGGGTCCGACTTTAAGTCAAGGGGAATGTCGAATGAGAACCGTGTTATTTTGGGGCCCGGTGTCACCATGTCAACCTGTGACATCAAACTGATCGATGACAGCGAGTACGAGGAGGAGGAGGAGTTTGAAATTGCCCTGGCGGATGCCTCTAGCAATGCGCGCATAGGAAGCGTGGCTTCGGCCAAGGTGATGATCAGTGGCCCCAACGACGCCTCCACTGTGTTACTGGGAAACGCAACTTTTACTGTCAATGAGGATGCAGGTAAGGGAGAGCAGTAATTCCGTTGGGTCTGGGCTTGTTGTCACTGTGAGATACTTGCAGTGGAAACACTGCATTACCAGTGGGTGTTGTAAAGAACTGAACCCTCCAACCAGATGTGCGCTGTGGAGGAAAAGGGCGGCAGCTATGACACTTCCTCATCCTGCCCCACACGTTGGAGCTGAGCTTTGGTTATTACTGTCTGCAAGGCATTGTCCTTTCTGAAGTGCCATGGACAGAGTCACCATGAAGGAAAAGAAAAAGCCAACGTGATGGCACCTATTGACATTTCAGATGTGTTTTTTTTCTCATGTCCAGCTAATTTCTAATCATGGCTTTAATATGTGTAACTTTGCCTCCAGGCATCATTGACATTCCAGTGATCCGGCATGGTACCGACCTCTCAACCCCCACCTCGGTATGGTGTGCGACTCGGACTTCAGATCCACCCTCAGCCAGTCCAGGAATTGACTATATCCCCAGCTCCAAGAAAGTAGAGTTCAGGCCAGGCAGAACTGAGGAGGTATTGGACTACACACCCAGTGCTTAGATGGAGCGGATTTCAGTCTGTGTCTCTTTCTCGTACATAATCACTATACTCACTGTTTTTGAAAGTTAAATTTACTGCAGTTGTTTACTTACAGGGGTTTGGGGACATCAGAATAAAAGAGACATATCTATTTTTTTTATAGATACAGTTGATCCCAGGTTCATGCCAATACAGCTGCATCAAGAACCATTTCAATCAAATAAAGAAAAGCATAAATGGCAGAAGGAGTTGCCACAAACCTTCCAAGCATCAGCCAAAACCAGCCTGATTTCCCATGTAAAATCCCCATTTCCAGACTGCAGGCTTTTACTGATGCATATCACACTAATCATAATGGTTTCAGTGCTACCTGGTGTTCCCCATCTGTCCGTGGTATCCACCTATTCTCTCTTGCCATACCCTTTGGTTGTAAGCTCTTTAGGGCAGGAGCCATCTTTTCATTATGCGTGCGTAGCACCTACCGCAGTGGGGCCCCAATATAAAAACGTAATATTCATTTTATAAAGCGCAGTGATACTCGGGGCCTACTGGCCAAGTCAAGTTGTTCATTTTGTCCCATTATGCCACAGAGTCTATGGAATCCTCCTCCATTTGTGGGCGGTCACAATTTGTAATGCTTAAAGAAGCTGAACTTCTGTCTGTCTGTTTTATAGTGACCAAAAATATGCCGGGCACTTCACGGGAGACATAGACAGACAATGGTCCTGCCACAAAAAGCTTACAAGGGGCTATCTTAAAAGGCACAAATGGCAATTAAGGACCATACTCCCATTGACTTCCAGAGGGAATTAGGTGCCTGACATTCACTTGTGCCTTTGAAAATCTCCTGTGCATCTTAAAATTCTAGACATGAGGGTGACAACTTCAACAGTAAGGTGGAGCTGGGGTGAGGAAAGGGGAGGATTACAGCACAGTTACTCTCCGATCATATTGCTGAGTTACCTGCTAGGTTTGTATCGAAGCCCCAGTAGCTGAATCTGATGAGACGGAAGAATGGTCTGGTGGTTGGGGTGCTAGCCTAGGACGTGGGAGATCTCTGTTCAATGTCCTGTTCTCCCACAGACTTCCTGTGCAACGGGGGGCCAAGTCGCTTGGCCTCTCGGAGTCTTCATTCCCCATCTGTACAATGGGGATACCAGTACTGCCCTACCTCACGTAAGTATTGTGAGGCTACACACATTAAAGATAGTGAGGTGCTCTGAGACTACAGTAATGGGAGCCCTATAAGCACCTACAGTAGATAGATGCATCCGCCATTTTGGATTAATATAAATCTAGTCAAATCAAGTTAACATTCTGGTTGAAGAAGATTCAGCTGAAAGAATCTCTCCAGGATAAAGGTAGAGCCTTACTCTTTGATACAGTGTGCGTTATATGTGAATACCATAGTATTTGAATGAACTGTTGCTGTTTGTGCACCTAGAAGAGCCCACATTTAGTGACGTTACTCAAGTCACCTGAGGATGAATCCCAGGATATTTTCTCTTTCTCGCCAAAGGAGGATAACAGGTTTTATAATCTGGTTCTTTTACTTTTCCTCTAGTACTGCACCTTGACAATCCTGGACGATGCCCAGTACCCAGTGATTGAAGGGCTGGAGACGTTTGTTGTATACCTAAGCTCACCCCATGGGGCTGAATTGACCAAACCTTTCCAAGCTATAGTGGCCATTAATGACACCTTCCAAGATGGTAAGCTATACAGTGAATCTATATTGAATCCATTCTAGCTCCGTCCTTTACATATTTCCCTCGTGTACTAAGAGAAATTGGAAAACACCCGGGATGCGTTTGATGACATCACACAACACATTCCATGTCACCTGTCCTTCATAGTTTCTCTCCCTAGTTTCTTTGTCCTCAAGGAATTAAGGTCGGTGGAAGTGCAAAATAAAATTCCTATTTTCTCCTCCCATGTGGGGCCAGACTTTGTGACCCTTGCTCACTGTGAGTAGTGTCGTTTCCGTTGTATGGTCCCATTGAAATCACTCATGCTTCGTGAGAAGTCAGGCACTATTCAGCGTGGGTATGGGCATGAGAATCTGGCCCTTTTTTTAGCAGCTGGGTTGAAGCTTACATGTATTAATTTCAACTCACAGTATTTTTCCTCCCTCCTGTGTTTTAAACATGAACCTGACCTCTGTGATTTTCTCCCTGGGAGGTACCTGCTTGCTAAAGAAATGCATCAGTCACATAACCACAGAAAAACTGCTTTGTAATAACCTGTCATTATCTCTGCTCCTGAACCGTCTGCTGAGACTTGCCCTCTTGGCGTCAGGCTTTTTCTATCCCTAGCCACAGAAGATGTTATGATTGCAATAGTGCCCTAAGAACAGTAACCTATCTAAGTATTACCCATTCTTCGTCTGTATCCCCAGCATACAGTACGCGTGCTGCTCAGACACATATACCTTAGGGCAGTTGTTCCCAAACTTGTTCCGCCGGTTGTGCAGGGAAAGCCCCTGGCAGGCCGGGCCAGTTTGTTTGGTCTGCAGGTTTGGCTGATCGCGGCTCCCAGTGGCTGCGGCTCACTGCTCCAGGCCAATGGGAGCTGCTGGAAGCGGGGCAGACAAGTGGCGGAACAAGTTTGGGAACCACTGCCTTAGGGCATGGCTAGTTCTCCAGTATGTGCAGAACAGGTGGTTACCTCAGGCAACAAAATATTAGGGAAAGCAAAATGTTCAGTAACTTTTTGTGTGGGTGACGGAGGGTTGGTAGGATGAGAGATTTGCTTCTTTAGCAAGAGCAACAGAATCTCCAGTTCCCAGTGGGAGCAATGATCAGCTGCTTGGTTAAAGTCAAGAATACTCTTCGTGAGCACAGTTGACTATCTAATCTGACATCTCGCTACAGGACTGTCAGCCCCACCTGGTACTTCTTCAATAGATTGCATGCCTGCTTTGGCCGCTATTTAGCTTTTATCACGGTGCAGGTGTGGATGTTGTTGTGCCCCTGCAGTACCCAACATGCAGTTTGGCAAGGACTTGTATGCTGTGAAGGAGAAGGAGGGTGTCCTGCACATTCCCATCATCCGCACCGGAGACCTGAGCTATGAGTCCTCTGTCCGGTGCTACACCCGCAGCCAGACAGCAGCAGTCATGGAGGACTTTGAGGAGAGGAGAAATGCGGAGGAGTCTCGCATCACTTTTTTGAAAGGGGAGAAGGCGAGTTAAACCTAACTGGGTTGGGGGAGAACCAAGAACAATCAGCAGAATAGGTTTTGAAAAGCTGGATGTTCTCCTGGGCACTCTGTTGTTCAGTGGCTTCACCAGACCCCCTTTCTCAGAAGTAATATTCCAGCTGCTTTGGATTAGCTATTGTTACTGTTCTGGAATTAAAAGATGAGTCCATGGAGAATCTGCATTTAACACTAACTAAATATTAGTTAACACATAAAAAACAAGTGTTGGGTATCAATAATATTTAGCATTACAGCTAGTGCTTTTTGATTAGATAGTCTTGGAATACACACGAGGACCAGCTGTAGTGAGTAAGAAGTGCCATTTTTCCACAGCCGCTTTTCATCATATAGCTGCACTTTGATGCCCACGCAGAGTTTCTAAGCCTTCTTTCATCATACCTAGCATTTAACACTGTGGTGTTAAATGCTAGGTAGTGAAGAAACACGAATCTTCCATTAAATTCAGAGGAATTATTCGTGTTAGTTGCTAGTCTTTAACTGATGATGTATTTGGCTGTAGGTGAAGAACTGCACTGTCTATATCAATGATGACTCTGCATTTGAACCAGAGGAGCAATTCCGGATCTATCTTGGCAGTCCCCTTGGAAACCACTGGAGCGGAGCTAGAATCGGAAAGAATGACATGGCCACCATTACTGTCTCCAATGATGAAGATGGTAAGAGAGAATGGGCTACATTAGGAACTAGATGGAGCAGGTACAATTCCAGGGCAGTCAGTGGAATTTACACCAGGTCTGAATGTTAGCCATTATATGTAAACTGCCTCGAATTAAATGGTTGACTTGTTGGTCAGTGCTCCATTATATTGTAAAAAGAAAAGGAGTACTTGTGGCACCTTAGCGACTAACCAATTTATTTGAGCATAAGCTTTCGTGAACTATAAGCTTATGCTCAAATAAATTGGTTAGTCTCTAAGGTGCCACAAGTACTCCTTTTCTTTTTGCAAATACAGACTAACACGGCTGTTACTCTGAAACCTGCCATTATATTGTATTAACTCACATTTAAAATTGATTCTGAATCTCATGTTAGTGGTACGCTGTGGCACATAGATAAAGGACCACTAGTGCTAGACAAAATGTAGAGTTAGTGTATTTGGAAAGGTCAGGTAAGGCAGCCTACCTGTCTGCTGGAAGGGCAATCTGAAGGAATGACTGCCAAGCTTACTGTATGGCTCCTGGGCCCAGCAGAGTGTCAGAGAGCCATGTCTAGGCTGTAGGCTCTGCCCCTGTATGTCAGGAGTGCCTCTCAGACTTCACTCTGATGTGCGGAATAATGTTGATGGGTTTTAAAAGGAGCTATGTCAGTTCAGCCTTGGCTGCTGGAAAGCTTACTGTGGTGCAAATCATTTTGAGGCTACTAGAGTTGCTACAAATACGTGTTTCTGTTCTTCATACCATTTCTCTAGCCCCCACCATTGAGTTTGAAGAGACTGCATACCAAGTACGGGAGCCTCCAGGCCCTGAGGGCCTTGCTATTCTAAACATCAAGGTGCTCAGAAGAGGGGACCAGAACAGGACCTCAAAGGTCCGCTGCAGCACCCGTGATGGCTCAGCCCAGTCCGGAGTCGATTACTATCCAAAGAGTCGAGTCCTCAAGTTCAGCCCTGGTAAAGGATACTTGGAATTGAATTATGAGGTGGAAGGATTACTCAGTGACATTTAACACAGGCCAAAACAAATTAAAATGAAAGGAAAATGTGCAAGTAATTTACACAACAATGCTCTATGTGGGGGATTTTCGAAAGCATTTGGCATTGACCCAACTCTGCTCCCATTGAAGTCACTGTGTGTGTCTTGTTTTTCATGGGTGTATGATTTCATATATAAGCTAAAACATGAGCTACACCAACCCCCTCTAAAGTATTTATGCTTTGGGGTTTGTTCTAGACACACACACTGCAGTCATATTTGATGCAGCATTTATAATAGGAAACACCTATGTCATCCTTTCAATAATCTTTCACAGGGTGGGTTATATTTACTTTTCCCAAATCAGTCATAAGCCTCAGAGGAATTCTTTAAGTATGTTGGAGAGACCACAAAAAGCAGTCCAACATGATGTTTTGACAGAGCACACACTGGGGATGTCAGGGTTCTCTCCACTTCCCCTGCAGGCAGCTGAGAAAAATAAAAACTGAAAAACAGTGGAGGTGGGGAATTGAGACTCCCACTGGAGCAGACCATCACTTTTCTGCTGGTGCCAAACCACATTCCCCCTCGCGCCCTTCTGCATACAGGGGGTGCTCACGCTGCATACAAAGCGTGAGTGAGCAGGGAGTGATGAATATAAGGAGACAGAAAGATGGCCTAGCCTGTGTGCTCACAGGGATTACCTGCCTTTGAACAGATTGGAAGGCCATCCCCAACCACAACACCTTTCATGTTTGGTACCATGGAGTATGCGAATCCCATATTTCATCCCTTCACAACACCCTTGCTGGGTGACAAGGGTTTTTTGTAATAAACTATAAATGTTCTGCATAAGGTTTTAGCCAGGCAGTTGCCATTAAAGTCAGTAGGAATCCCCTGGCTACAACCCTGCCTTCTGCTATGGCCAAAATCCTGCTACGGTGTAACCCTTCTTCCTGCTACGGTGATGAAGTTTGAGAATGAGAGTGATTGTAAGAGAGAGAATATTGCCAGTTGACAGCTAACAATACAGATTCCTCAAGGAGCCTGGGTATACAGGAGTTCTGCAGAAACCCCTCAAGATCCTACAAGATAACTCGAACCATGCCCCACGGGTCCAACAGCAGTAGCTTTGCATGTTAGAGCCAAAGAGTTAAAACAGAGACACTAGTAACAGGGATGGGATATGTTTTGGATCATAGATTTTTATTACAGTCAGCTAATATAAGACAGGCACTGTTAATCCTCATATAGCATCTGCTTGTAAGTCTGCCAGATGATCAATCGGACCAGTCGTTTTAGCTGGAGTTTTATTTATGACTTATTTATCTATCTATCCTGGCTGGAAGGTGCTAAATCATTAGAGTTCAGATAAAACCTGTAATGTGTATTTTATCGTAATGTTTCAATGATCCTGACCTGAGGCAGCTATGCAGTGTTTTATGGGAGCTGTTAGGGTAATGTCAGATGATATATCAGGTTCTCTGTTTCTCTCGTGTTCATTCATGTAGGGGTGGACCACATCATATTTAAGGTGGAGATCCTGTCTAACGAAGACAGGGAGTGGCATGAGTCCTTTTCTGTGGTGCTGGGTCCAGATGATCCAGTGGAAGCTGTTCTTGGGGATATCACCACTGCAGTAGTCACTATTCTGGATCAGGAAGCAGCAGGGAGCCTTATTTTACCAGCACCTCCCATTGTAAGTAGCAAAACGTGAATGATGTAAGTTAGTGGTATGGGAGAACCTACAGAAAAGCAGAACACGCAACGAAGCACAATGGGCTTGCCTGCAGTAGAACATGCAGGCCTGTGAAGCCAAGGCCTTTTAAAAAACTAGTGTGGAGACTCCCGAATGCTTGATCTAGGCTACAGACAGTTGTGGCTAAGCGGACCCCCTGTTCATGTGACCAGTTAACTCAAGGTTAAAACTCTAGTGTAGACACACCCTCTGTAGTCACAGCATTCCTCTTTGGACCAGCAGAGGCTCAGGGTAAATTGATACTGGTATTCCAGGTGGTGTGGGAGGCAGGCAAGGCAGTGAATAGGAGAACAGGCTGCATAATGGTTCTTCACCTACTTCACAGAGGCATGGGCCCATGCTTTCCTGCCATTTGAACTGTGGCATGACTGAAGAGACATAGTTGCTTATGTTAAGGTGAGATGGGCTGGAGATTGCCAAGGCAAAAATGGCAGATAATAAGGTAGTAGTATGGGAAAGTCCCACTTAACTAAGCTGTTATCATAAGGTAGGAACCTTTCTAGTGGGCAAATCACTTGTAGATGTCTGAGTCTGCTACCACCTCCAAGCTAATGGAGCTTATCCTTTTGCCTAAGTTGTAGAGGCTTATGCTTTTAGATCCAGAGTTCCTGGGTTTATTTCCCTCAAACAGGGAAGTTGTTACACTGGCATTGCCCTTAGTTTGGGCAAAGGACGGTACGTGCACTGATATGTTCCTTGTGTGCTTCAGCATCCAAAATAATATCAAATACAATTATGTTGGTAGCATCCCACTCACCTTTTACTGCATAGAGCCTAAATGATATCTGAGCTAGAATGCGAACAGCTGGGCAGGTGTAGGACTTGGCTTGTCCCTCTTCTGAGGGACACGGCTGCAATTCAGGTACTGGATGTGTTCCATAATGTAGGATTTAGTATTTTAATAGCATAGGATGCTCCAATATGCTGATAGCGCTGAGCATTCCTGCTGAGTCCACACACCTCTCTCCTTCCCTGTAATCCTCAGTGGGATTTATGAAGTAAAATAAATACAGTGCACCAGTAACAAGGTTTGGAAATTGAGAAAACAGGCAGCCCAGCCCTTGTTTCATGTGTCTTTCCCTCAGTTCCTGGTGAAAGCTGGTGTATTGCATTGCTGCAGGTGGTCACCCTGGCAGACTATGACCATGTGGAGGAAGTAACCAAAGAGGGTGTAAAGAAATCCCCTTCTCCAGGCTACCCACTGATCTGTGTAACGCCTTGTGATCCTCACTTCCCCAAGTACTTATTCATGAAGGAGCGCTGTGATGAGGCCGGGATCAACCAGTCTTCAGTACAGTTCAACTGGGAGGTGGCAACGCCCACTGATGGGAATGGGGCCAGATCACCCTTTGAAACAATTTCGGACAATACGCCGTTCACTAGCATCAACCACATGGTACGTGACTGTGTACGGTAGTGCAAGAGGGTGTGGATTATGCATAACAGTTCATGGTGAGTGTTGGGGGGCTCAAAGCACATCCTTGAAGCATTTGCTGTTTTGAGATTCTAGGTCAGTAGAATATCAGTTCTTGAAGAACCATTAACTAAGTTGAAGTAATGTGTGTATATTTCACACCCATCCAGCCACCCACAAAGCCCCCAGCTTCATTAAGAGAACATTATTAAGGATGCAAAGTCCAGCACACAAAAGTTAAGATGTGCCAGAAATAAGGTTGCCTGTGCAACCTTAATTCAGCCTGCTGGTGCATATGCATTATGATACAGTCTTTAATTCCCTGATCAATAGGGACCCCTGCCTCATTCGGTGCACAGGACGGATGGTGCTCACTGAATGAAAACCCATTCAATATTTTGTTTTATTCTGGTTGTTTAACGGGTGGCCCTTGGCATTATTTACTGCACAGTATTCAAACCCTTCTCTGAAGACAATTATTAATTTCCTTCCGGACATTTCCACGGTGCTCCTCACAAGAACATGAAAGTGCTTCACAAACATGAATGAATCTATTTTCTGTGAAGTTGGGGGAGAGGGGGATGGCATTATCCCCATTTTACAGAAGGGGTACTGAGGTAGAGAGAGATCAAGGTCAGAAGTTTCCACTAATTTCGCATGCCCAACTAAGAGCCCTAGGACCTGACTTTGAGAGTACTTAGCAGTACATTGTAAGCCCTAGGGAACAGGGACCATCTCTTTGTTCTGTGTTTGTAGAACACCTAGCGCAATGGGGTCCTGATGGCTAGCAGCCTCAGGCACTACGGTAATATAAATAAATTGATAATAATAATCCATAATAACAACAGACCACTTCGTATATTCAGCCACAGCTCCCACTGACTTCGTTGCAGTTGTGAGTGCTCAGCACTTCTGCAAATCAGCCCTTGCGTGTTGGGGCGGGCCTGGTTTTGCCTTTTACATACATGCAAACCGCTTTCCTCATTCCTCCCAGGTGCTGGACAGCATTTACTTCAGCCGGCGGTTCCATGTGCGCTGTGTGGCAAAAGCCATAGACAAGGCCGGGCACGTGGGGACCCCACTGAGAAGCAACATAGTTACCATAGGGACCGACAGTGCCATTTGTCATACTCCTGTGGTAGCTGGAACGGGCCGAGGATTCCAGGCTCAGTCGTTCATTGCCACTCTGAAGTATCTGGATGTCAAACACAAGGAACATCCCAACAGGTATAAGCCTGGAAATGGGCACTCACCTGACCATGATTCTGGTCTTCCAGGGGTTTAACGGTTTAATTCATGTTTTTACATACAAAACAAACAGAACAGAAAAAAGATGGATGTGTTTAAGAAATGAGGTCTCTTTTGTATATCATGAACTGGCTCTCTTCCCCCCCGTCCCCTCCTCATATTTAATAGTGAAGGGATGCAGCAAGCATTCATATAATTGCCTCTGGGGTCATGCCTTACTCCTTGAGTTAGAAACACTGTAGTCAGTGGGTCTATATCAAGGAATACAGTGCTACTCAACATCAGCGAGGAAATTCAGCCCTAAATAAATACAACACCAATGAATTCAAATTTGTACTCTGAGCTGTTGACCAGACGGTAGCTATGTGCTGTGTAAACTGATACAATATGCACCCTTTTTGTGAACAGTTTTTGCATAAACAGCTGTTTCTGCTTATTTATTCTGTTCTAGAATCCATATTTCAGTGCAAATCCCCCACCAGGATGGAATGCTGCCTCTCATCTCCACTATGCCTCTGCACAACCTGCACTTCCTCTTATCCGAGTCCATCTACAGACACCAGCATGTCTGCTCAAACCTGGTCACCATCAGGGACCTGCAGGGCATCTCGGGTAAGGTTTAAAGCAAGCGATTGCTTTGTAAATGAAAAAGGAAACATGAACAGAGGGTAAGCTCTTTAAGGCAAGGACCTAGCATACTATTGGCACTATATAATTAATAATATTGAGATATCAATATGCAGTAGAGTTGCTACATTTGAGGGAGATAAATGGGGAGGAATGCACTGAGCAGGTCATTTCCCCTTTCCCGTATATGTTCTGTGGCAGGGTACACAGTGAGCCCCTGTGCTTCATTCTGCCTTGTGGCACAGAAAGCAGCATCAGCAAACGAATCATGTGGAAGGGACGCCATGAGCCAAGGAAAAAATCCAAAACTTGTCTTTAAAATTTAGTTTAAGCTACCCTGGCACTGCAAACACTCTAATGCACAAGTCAGAATTGTATGTTCATTGCATGGTGTCACTATAGGGCAGAGTTAAGGTTGTTTGGATGCCCTAACTGTGCGTTTTCAGACCTTAACACATTTGGATATTTTAGAAGTTTAACCTTAGCCCTGAGTTTCCTGGCTTTATAATATTTGGTTCTGGAATAAATGCAACATCCCTGTTAGTTTTTACCTTTATGTTATTTATATGGATTCAGCCTTAACTCCAGTTTAACATAGTGAAAAGTGCCTCTAAGCAGTACTGTAATAAAAATCATCATCTCAGTATATATCCAATACCTCAATGGATAATTAAAATGTTATGTCAGTACCTAGAGTTCCTTAATTCACAGAGATATGTCTCCTTTTGTTTCCTAATTCCAGAAGCGGGATTCCTGGATGAAGTGACGTATGACAGCATCATTCTGGGTCCTGGATATGACCGTCCATACCAGTTTGATCCCACAGTGAGAGAACCAAAGACAATCCAGCTCTACAAACACCTCAATCTGAAGAGCTGTATTTGGACTTTTGATGCATACTATGACATGACAGAATTAATCGATGTCTGTGGGGGATCTGTAACTGCTGACTTCCAGGTGAGGGTTCATTTCCAAAAGACTTGGGCCCAATCCAGACCTCTTTACTAAGGCAGAAGTCCTATAGCAGTAAATATTCGTTGGGCGTGCCTTCCATCCCACGGAATCAGTACACATTTGATTTTCCCCTGGCTATTATTTAAGGCAGAATGGTACATCATGAAATGTACTTGGCTCTTTTATTTTGATAAGAATGGTATTGTTTTAATTATATTATTCCATCATATGCTAGAGACTATACTGTAAATGTTTCAAGTGTAATAATGTATTGGTAATATGAAAATTCATGACTGTCTCTGCTATTAACTATTTCGGACCAGATTCTCAGATGGTGTAAATCAGCATTGAATTCAGTGGATATATGTTAATTTACCGTTGCTGAGAATTTTGCCCTCTGTGAATAGTGGAGTGAGCTCTCAGGAATTTTTTGAGATTTCTCAAATTTGCAGAAGAGCACAGTGAGAGTAATAATCTAGTATAAAATAATGGCTTGTGTGTATGAGTACCACTGCCCTCTACTGGTTGCAATATGTATAACCAATATATTATAAGTTTCAGAGTAGCAGCCCTGTTAGTCTGTATTCGCAAAAAGAAAAGGAGTACTCGTGGCACCTTAGAGACTAACAAATTTATTTGAGCATAAACTTTCTGAGCTACAGCTCACTTGCATCTGATGAAGTGAGCTGTAGTTCACGAAAGCTTATGGTCAAAAAAATGTGTTAGTCTCTAAGGTGCCACAAATACTCTTTTTCTTTTTGCAATATATTATAATAACTCAGACTGGCTCGTGTGTTTACTGACTGAGCAAGCAGAGCTGCTCTTTTAATGTACTGAATAGAGACTTGCGTCTGTAGAGCTGAAATCATGATTCACAGTACCTCGTGCGCACAGTTAGCTTGTGTGGTGGAGGCCAGGTATTATTCCAGACACATACCCGTACATTTATACTGCACACAGAACGAGGGTACATGCATATAAAGATAAAGACATGTTCGTAGACTCAGCTTTGACTAACGCTAGTGTTCTCGGTGAGTGAGGAGCAGCTTTGTATTTACATAATGTTCTTTCAGCAGAACAGGGGGAGGGAGGTATTTTTCATTTCTCAAATGCTAATCAGGAAAAGACTTTCTTTATTCACATGGGCAAACTCATTCATCATTTTAGTGACAGTTACTTTTATTCCAGTTTTTTTTGAAAACCAGCGACGTCGGTGATGATCCACTGAGCTGTTATCTTTATACATGCCCATTTCATGTGTTAAAATACAGTTATCAGGAGGTCTCGAGTGGTTCATAGGCTTTCAGCTGACCTTCGGCACATCACTCAATTTGCCTGCTTTAGACAATTATAGAGAGATTTTTAACAGCAATAAATGCTGACCTAACTTTGTTCCTATTTAAGTCAATGGATCAAATTACCATTGACTTCAGGGAGAACAGAGAAAGGCCAACATTGAACATTTATCACAATCTTGGCTTTAATAATTATAAATGCTACTTATTTCTTTATTATGCAAATCAAGAAAACTATTTGTCTGTTAAACTCTTGAGTCAAACTTTTTTTTATCTGTAAGTATTTTCTTACTGCCTGAAAATCTTAAATAAGATCCTAGACAAATTACAATATTTTCTTTTTCAAAACATCTGCTGCAATCAAAGCTTCAAGCACTTAAAAAAGAGCTTTCATCAACTCCACCTTTTTGTACATTTGCCTCCGTACTATGAATTGGCAAACAAAGAAAAATACCTATTTAACACAACACCAGAATGGCAGTGTGCAAGAACATGTACTGTGAAGAGAGAAAAACCGGCTTTGTGTAAAGATACAATACATGAAATGGGCACGTGTAAAGATAGGTATAATATGATATCTTTATACCTTGCCGATTTCATACACAAAAATCCAGTTACCAGGGGGTCTTGAATGGTCTGTAGGCATGCTATAATTGTCTGTGCACCAAGAGGGAGGACTAGACAAGCTTCCCCCCCTCCCAACCGTACTTGTTCATTAATCAGCAATAATCATAGAAATGCAGGACTGGAAGGGACCTCAGAAGGTCATCTAGTCCAGTCCCCTGCACTGAGGCAGTATTAAGTGTTATCTAGACCAGCTTTTCTCAAACTAGGGTCTGTGGACCCTGGGGGTCCCTAAGGGTACCCCAGTGGTTCCCCAGGCCCCACTGATCAACTCCTCCCCCTCCCTCTCTCACCTCCTCCCCCTCCCTCCCAGTGCCTCCTGCACGCTAAAAGTGGGGTGAAGGCGGGCTTCCTACCTGTTCCGCGCGCTGCCCCCACCCCGAGTGATGACACCGCAGCTCCCATTGGCCGGGAACTGCAGCCAATGGTAGCTGCGGGGGCAGTGCTTCCAGGCAGGGGCAGCGTGCAGAGACCCCCTGGCCTCTCTGCCTAGGAGTCACTGCCAGAGGGTTGTGCTGGTCGTTTCTGGGAGCCACCCAAGGTAAGCACTGCCCAGCCGGAGCCCTTACCCCTGCCCCAGCTCAGAGCCCCCTCCTACACTCCCTCCCAGAGCCCACACCCCTCATTCATTTAAACCCCCTACCCCAGCCCAGAGCCTTCACCCAAACTCCCTCCCAGACCCTGCACCCCTTCCCACAGCCAAACTCCCTCGCAGAGCCCACACCCCGCATCCACTCCTGTACCCCAACCCCCTGCCCCATCCTGGTGAAAGTGAGCGATGGAGGGAGGATGGATGGAGTGAGCAGGGCGTCTGAAGGGGCGGAGCAAGGACTGAGCTGGGGAAGGCTTGGGGGGTCCCTGAAAACTTTTAAATCAGAATGAGGGTCCTTGGGTTGCTAAAGTTTGAGAACCGCTGATCTAGACCATTTTGTCCAACCTGTTCTTAAAAACCTCTAAAAACAGAGATTCCACAGCACCCCTAGATAATTTGTTCCAGTGCTTAACCACCCTTACAGTTAGGAAGTTTTTGCTAATGTTTAATCTAAATCTCCCTTGCTTCAATTTAAGCCCATTGCTTCTTGTCCTGTCCCTATTGCAGTGGTTCCCAAACTGGGGTTCGCAGAACGTTGCAGGGGGTTCGCCAGAAAAATTTCACTCATGGCGACCAGAGTACCCCAGGCATTGGAAGCAGCCGGTGGGACCTGCTGGGCAGGGCAGACAGCCCGAGCCCCAGGGAGAGCAGGGCCGGGCAGTTGGGGCTGGCAGCCCAAGCCCTGCCCCCGTCAGCAGAGGAGCCGGCAGCCCAAACCCCAGGGAGCACGGGGCCGGGCAGTTGGGGCTGGCAGCCCAAGCACCGGCGATCAGCGGGACCTGCAGCCCGAGCTCAGTGGAGCTCAGCTGACCTGGGGCGGTCAACGGGGTCCAGCAGCAGGAGCCCCATGGAGTGCGGAGAAAATTTAAACTTAAATCCCTGGAAATACTCATTTTTAGTAGGAGGTTCACGAGATTTCACAATTTCGTGAAAGGGATTTGCAAGCTGTTAAAGTTTGGGAACCACTGCCCTATCGGATAAAGAGGACAATTTTTCACCCTCCTCTTTATAACAACCTTTTATGTATTTGAAGACTGTTTTCATGTCCCCCCTCAGTCCTCTTTTCCAGACTAAACCCAGTTTTTTCAGTCTTTCCTTTATAAGGTCATATTTTCTAGCCCTTTAATCATTTTTGTTGCTCTTCTCTGCACTTTCTCCAACTTGTCCACATCTTTCCTGAAATGTGGTGCCCAGAACTGGACACAATACTCCAGCTGAGGCCTTATCAGTGCTGAATGGAGTAGAAGAATTATTTCTCTTGTCTTGTTTACCACACTCCTGCTAATGCATCCCAGAATATTTGCTTTTTTTTTTTTGCAGCAGTATTACATTGTTGACTCATATTTAGTTTGTGATCCATTATAACCTCCAGATCCTTTTCTGCAGTACTCCTGCCTAGGCAGTCATTTCCCATTTTGTATTTGTGCAATTGATGATTCCTAATGTATCACCCTTACAGGGGCAGGGAAGCAAGACCTTACAATGCCTTAGAAATACTGCATCCTCCCTTTGTACATCCTACATGTAGGACATCCATGATTCTCCTTGTGGAAAGAGGTAGCCTGGCATCCACATGGCACAAAATCTAGACCCATGGGAGAAGAATTCTATGAATGCTGCTCTGAGTTTTTGCTATTTCTGTGGCAGCTCTGAGTGTATAGGGTTTACTAGTTACAATAAATCTACAAAGCATTGTTATGAACTGGTCCCAGTATCTTTCACACCCCCCGCCTCCTAAAAAATCCATAACCATCTTTTTGTTTGATTGACAGGTGCGAGATTCTGCCCAGTCCTTCCTGACAGTCCATGTCCCTCTCTATGTGTCCTACATTTATGTGACCGCACCAAGAGGCTGGGCTTCTCTCGAACATCACACAGAGATGGAATTTTCCTTCTTCTACGACACTGTTCTCTGGAGAACAGGTAGATGGCACATTTTTCCTCTTTTCTCAGCAGTTACTGCAATCCTCACTTTGGGCATAACTTGCTGAAGCACATGGGAGTTCTGTCTGAGTCAGGCCACATGGGATCAGACCCTTAAATTGTAAATATTTAGCAAGGGGAATTGTCCTTCACCTTCTTAGCTCTGTCTGTTAACAAATGAAACTGCCTTCAGTGAGTCGTAGAAATTGTAGCTGGAAAAGACCTATTGGGTCATCTAGCTCTTTCACTGTCCTGGCAAGATTGTTCACTGGGATATACTTTTTAGTGCTTTCTCCAGCTCTCTTTGAAATTATTCAGATGTTGGTGCTTCCTACCACAGTCTGACAGATCTCACCATTTGGAATTTTTTCCCAGTAGTTGGTCCAAACTGACTTTTGTTCAATTACTGTCAGGTATAAACTCTACACAATCTCTCTCCTTTTTTGATGAGTACACCAAAGAACCGACACCTGTCTGTGGTCATCTTGTGCATGAGCCCATCCTTTCTATTTAGTCAAGCTGTCCGTATTCCTTTTAATTTCCCTCCAGGTTCCCCTTCCCTTGAAACCTGTGCTTGTGGTGAGTAGGGCAAGAATTCTGTTTTGCAAAACATGCTGAGGTTTCAGGATTTGTTTTCATTCTGTGCCAGAACAAAACCAAGAGCTTTCTAAAAAAATGTTTAAAAACCCATGAGAGCGCGCGCCACTGCAAAATAGCCAGCAATCTGAATCAAGCTGAGCAGGGACTTGTATCTGCGTCTCCCACGGGACTACAGGCTATTCTGGGCTGTGTCTCTCTTCATTTTGACCAGAAAATCCATCCTGATATGTTTAGACAAATAGGAATTTTCCAATGAGAAACGTTTCATCCAATGTTCCCTCTAATTTTTTACATCCATGTGCAGAATGAATTTTGTTATGTGCACCAATATGGAGGTGATGTGTAGCGGGGGAGGGGCTGAGGGGTTCAGAGTGTGGGAGGGGGCTCATGGTTGGGGCCGAGAGTGGGGTGCAGAGGCTGAGGGCTCTGGGGTGGGGCCGGGGATGAGGGGTTTGGAGTGCAGGCTACCCTGGGACTGCAGCGTGGAGAGAGGACTCCCCCCAACCCTCTTTTGCCACAGCAGCCCAGGGCTGGGGGAGAGGCGCCCTGCCTCGGCTGCGGCAGCTCCGAAGCTGGGGCCTGGGGAGAGGTGCTTCTCCCTGTCTGCACGGCCCTTGATAGCCTGCTGCATGGCCGCATAGCTTAGAGGTAACTTAGGTTTCATCAATAAATTTCCGACCAGCTGAAGCGGAGACCCCAACCCTGCAGCCCTCCCAGGAGTAGTCTCGGTACTCACATTGAGTAAGAGCTGCAAGGATTGGAGAAATTGGGTGTGTGTTATCAGATTTTCTACCTCTGGAATTCATGCTGGTGATGTAAATTCGTTCGTTGCAAGCAGATGTTCTAGACAGTCCCCTTGCTGTTACATTCACTTTCTCCTTGATCTGGCCATACAGGGATTCAGACAGACAGTGTTCTCTCCGCCAGGCTGCAGATAATAAGGATCTATATCCGAGAGGATGGCCGGCTGGTTATTGAGTTCAAGACCCATGCCAAATTCAGAGGTAAGAGTGTCAGCTTTGATTTAGAACATCATACAAATATTGATTGGCCCTGAGGACAGGGATGATAAAGTTCTAGGATTGTTGTATATGGGTGAGGGCAATGTTCACGTTCAAAGAATTTATTTTTACCCAAAGGCCAATTTGCTTTTCTGCTGTTATCCTCTTAGCTGGTTGCTGTTTGTTTTATTCATTCCCTGGGTTTATTTGCACCATAATTCACCTGCATTGGGAAGGACTGGTAGTATTCTGTCTGCCTTACTCCTTTTCCACTTGTTCCTGCCCAGGGCAGGCCAGTTGTACTCTCTGCCTTCAAGCGCCAGTGATCTAAGGAACAGGAAACCAGAGCAAGCCCAGTTTAATGCCAGGTATTGGGGACTCCCAACGCCAGCAGCGAAAGTGTCGGCATTAATAGTAGGCAGCTGGATGGAGTGAGGTTCCTATGCACCAGAGTTTGCTGGCTGCTGTTAGAGTCAGTTGGTCGTTGCAGGAGACTACTTTTGTCATGGCCCTGTCTAGACGAATGACTTTCTGAAATCCTCTGATTGTTGCTCTGGCAACAGTGGGAATGCTACTGTACATCAGCTGCCAGTGTTTTACCATTGTGGTGTTTGTAAATTTTTCTTAGGGCAGGCTTGATCCTGACTTTCACAAGTAGCCATTACTCACATGAGTTATCCCACTGAGTTCCAAGTTCTTGAGGTCCAAGATTGGACCTTTTCATATTTTGTTTTATTTTAAACCTTTGATGGAACATTAGATATTCTACTGACCACCTCTCCAGCATATGACTTCAACACAAGTTTGCAAGAAGGCTAGATACAGGTAAAAATATGTATCTGTAGGTGATGTATTTGTATTCCTCCATCCAGGGCATTTTGTGATGGAACACCACACTCTGCCAGATGTGAAGTCTTTTATAATGACTCCAGACCACCTAGGAGGGATTGAGTTCGATCTGCAGCTTTTGTGGAGTGCACAGACTTTTGACTCCCCCTATCAGCTGTGGAGGGCAACCAGCTCCTATAACAGGTGAGGAAGGAGGACTGTGGGTACAATCGGCTTTATAGCTTCCATAGACAGAATGGTGTTTGTGCGTGCTGAGAATGCCAGCCTTAACAGCATCCTGGAGCGAAGAGTCCAGTTCAGTCGTACTAGCACTTAATTTCTCTCTCTGCTGTTATGGCATTAGCCACTAGCATGAAACTTTATTTCTGTTTATCGCCTGGGTGGTCTTGATAAATCCTCTAATCTGTTTGGATCTTGCCTAAGCCGAAAGGCTCTTTTGGGCCTAGGATATAAGAATAGAGGTATAATAAGTGAATGGCAACAGTCTCATCTGTCAGATGTCCTGAACACATGGTCAGGGCTTCTTTTTATATGCTCGTGTTTGACTCTCCAAGAACTTCTCACCTATCATTTGTAGGGGCCTGGATAGGTCAGGGGATTGGTCATGGGATATGGAGTCTTTGGGTCTGATTTTCGGTTGCCCTGCACCTGTGTAGCTCTGGGGTAAATGACTACACAAGGTGCAAGGCAACTGACAATAAGGTTTCCATTCCCTTCAGTGGCAAGAGCTGAATTATACTCTGGGTGGTGGGTAGCCCCTAATTTTGTTATTATCTGGTAGCTCCTTTGTCTTCCTCCTCCAGCTATGTTCTGTATCATCTTATATAATTGACACCTCTTCAAAACCCCTTCTTCTCTTTATCCAGTTGCCTCCTCTCCTCTTCTCCGTGTCCTATCTTCTGTTTGTTTACCTTAAATTGTAGGCCCTTTACAGCAGGGAATATGTCTGATTCTGATACCCTCAGTCAATGGGACGACTTGTAGAATGAAATACTACTTTACTGGCTGAGTAAAGGTATTAGAATCTGGCCCTATGTTAGTAAGCACTATATACCTATATGGTTTTTCATAACAAGGATTGTTGGTGGCCTATGTAAAATGGATTCAGTGGCCTCAAGTCCAGTCATCACTATCTGCCTGGTGAGCAGGCTCTGCAAAGGGAGCTAGAATTGAATGGCCTATGGAACCTGCATTACCTCAAGGTTTTGAAATGAGGCACATAGGAGGGCAGCTTTCACTGCTAGAGCCGATGCTGTGTCTGTCATGTGAGTAAAGGAAGAGCTTAATCTCCAGGGCTGTCAATCCAGTTCCTTTCAAGTATACTGAATTCATTTTTGGGGGGGAACAAAATATTTGTGTAAGTAGCATGGAGGTACTGGTAGTGACTTCATTCCTAAGGGCGCATTGAGATTTGCACTTTAAAGCAGGATTTCAATCCCTGTGTTTCACAGTTTAATTAAAATTAAGGCTATCCTTGATATAAGTACTTATGCTATGATCTAGAAATATCTTCATTCACTCTGCTTTTCTTGGTATCATTTTAGTAAATGATCCCTTGTCTCTCATCCAGCTGTGTTCATTCACACAGGCAAATAGAGCACTTTAATTATTGTGGACCAAATTCTCATCCCTGCTGTAACTCCACTGGAATTGATGGAGTTACATCTGGTGGTGGTGGTTCAAAACTTTTATCTTCAGTATTAGAATAGTGCAACATGCATGGATAATCATTTATACTAATGAGAAAATGCTGGATGTAAGAAGCTATGCAACTGCCCATCTGATAAATGTTTCCAGGCAGGTAAACAACTCCCAGATTAATACGGTAACCATGGCATCTCCCATCTGTTTCCAGGAAGGACTATTCTGGAGAGTACACAATCTACTTAATCCCTTGTACTGTGCAGCCCACGCAGCCGTGGATTGACCCAGGAGACAAGCCATTGGCATGTACTGCTCATGCCCCAGAAAGGTGAGGAGAGGCACTATTCTCCTGTTTCACTGCTCTCAGACTTCAAGGCCTGCATTCAGAGTTGTTATAAATGTGTTAACTTCAAGGGAGTGGAGCATATGAGTAACTGATAGTTTGTGGGGTCAGAAATGAAGAACCCTCCACTGAAAGAGATGGAAGTGTGTGGACATAGGAATGAGGCATAGTTATATTAAGATGTGAATGTGGTTGGGGTACACGAATTTCATAGATATTCAATAAAGCTACTTAGTTATTCAAACAGAATGTGTGCAGTGGAATATGTCCCCAGAGGAGGAGGAGTAATGTACACAGCACCACAAGCTGAAATGGCTTAGATCAGTGTTGACTTTGTGCTAGCTTTACAAGGATACTGTCTGTCTGGTTGCATCATTTGAATAGACACAGCAGGCATATGCTATGAGCTATAACAAGAGCAGAAACGAGAGGGGAGAAAACTCCCTATTGGCTTTGAATTCTAGCAGTGAATGAGACTATCCTCCATCAAAATAGTTGAACAGGGCTCCCTCAACATTAAATCTATACTTTGACTGGAGCCACTCAGAACGGTTTGTAACGTGGCTAGTTTCACTACTTCTGAGCCCTTGGCTCGGATGTCAGCAAAAAATGGTCAGAAAGGCAGGGGAAAGCATGAGATCTTTTTGTTTCCTTTTGCTTCTGTCAAAGACAATCTGTTAGGCAGGCCTGATTGTCACAGGTGCTGAATATCAGGGGCTCCAGTGGGAGCTGCAGTGCTCAGGACAACTGAAAATCAGAACCGCGTTGTTCTCGTTCTCCTTTTGGGGTGAAGTTCACTGCCCCCACCCGCATACACTCAGCCAGAGTAATTGGGCTGCATGCAGGCTACTAAGTAGGAGTTGGGTTGTAGAAGATGAAATTCGCTGTCCTAATCTGTAGCTCTTCTGTGATCACTACTAAAGGTGGTTTAGTGGCCGCTGTCTTTCTCCATCCCTTATGGGGCATTTGGGTATATGAAACTCATGCTCATTCCCTTGGTCTGCCTGCAAACCCCAGATCCATGCTGGGTTTAGTCAGCCCCAATTCCATGGCTTGTAGGTGATGCAGAAGCCCACAATGAATCTGCCTGCTCCCCCTGAACAGAAATTGATCCAGTAAAAGATATTACTTCACCCACCTTTTGTGTCTGCTCCCCCCTGGACAGCCCTGCCCATAGGCTTAAATGGGGTGCAGTAGCCCTCCTCAACTGAGAAAATGTCACGCTTGATGCATAGCCTTTATACCAGGCAACAGCTATTTGTTATTAATGAGCGTTGTGCCCCATATTCTCCAGTTTGAGCATATAAACAGTAGGAAATAAAGCTCCAAAGTGTCAAACAATAGTATCACAGCTGCTGGGTTCTTCTGTAGACTCCCGTGCTCTTAGCAGATGCTACATCTCTGGAGGAAAATGCTGACTTGTGGTGTCTGCAGCTCAGGGGAAGATAAGAGTCTAAGGTTGAGTCTTACACACAGATTTTGTAGAACTGTGTTGGTTAGGGGTGTGATTTTTCCATAGAAATAATTACACCGGCATAAATCCTAGTGTAGATGCCATTACTTGTATAAAGGTGCTTTATACTAGTATAGCTTATTCCCCTTCCCATATGGCAATAAGCTAAACCAGTATAAGTACCTTTATGTCAGTATAACTGTGTCCACTCTAGGGTGTACCGATTTAACTATATGGGTATGTTTAAAGTGGCATAACTTTTGTGTGTGGACAAGTCCAAGCTAAATTACCTTCTTTTCTTCTTCAAGTGCTTGCTCAGGTCCATTCTATATTAGGTAGGTGTGCTCGCCCCATGCACTGCTCCGGAAGATTTTCCCTCAGCAGTATCCATAGGGGACTGGCTCTGGTGCCCCCGGAGTGGCGCCTGCATGGCGCAGTATAAGGGGTGCCACCGGCTCCCCCCACCCTCAGTTCCTTCTTGCCGCCAGAGACGGTGTTGGAACATCTGCTGCTTCAGCTAGCGTTGTTTTGTTTTCTGTTCTTGTGAACTTTGAAAACCTGTAACATAGTTGTATATAGTTAGTAGTTTCTTAGTTACCCTTAGCAGTAGTTCTCAACTTTTCGTTAGTCCCAAACGGGACTCAGCCGGATGATGGGGCATGCCCCGGTCCCCAGGCTTTAAGCCCTGCGATCGCTGCAAATGGCCTATGCCTGTCAGCGAGACTAAGGTGCTTAGGCGAAGGGCACATAAGTGACAAGTGCCATATCTGCAAGTCCTTCAAACCTGGGACGAAGAGGGAGCGTGATATCTGTCTAAGAGCGCTCCTAATGGAGTCGGCACTCACTCTGGCAGCAGAGCAGCGGCCCGACTCCACACTGAGCACCGCAGCCTCCACGGCTCCAGAGAAGAAGCCAGAAAAGACTGGGCGGGGAAGATCGCCTACCTCCAATAAGGGACAGAAAAGGGCCTGGGGTGAGCCACAACCCATGCCAGGCAGCTCAACACCCCCAGCACAAATCAAGCGGTGCAGCCCATCCCATGCTTCGCCTGCGACCCCGGGTAGCGGTGCAGGCCCTATCCAGCTTTAGGTGCTGTCAACACCAGAAGCTCTTTGAACAGCTCAAGAGATCCTGACGCTCCCGCTGCCACGCACATCGGCTCCTGCAGTACCTTGGTCTTGGAGAAAACCCGTGTTGGGACCTATGCGTGTCCCTGCCTCAGCGGTACCGATCCCCATCGAGAGGAACGTCCCGCCAGCGTTCGCCCACCCGAAGCCATCACGCCTCAAGACTGGAGAGACAGGCTCAGTGGAGCCCTCTTCGGTCCCCGCACCGGGGGCACCAATAGAGGGACTCGAAGCATACCTTGCTGGTAGATTGGCACAGACTCTCTGAGGCACGCGTCACCCGGCAAGAACTCTGGGACCAGCCCCGACCGTCTCCAAGGGCCCAGGACTGATCGGACACCAGAGACCACCTATCACTGGGCCATCATTGCGTCTCCCTACTCAGGACGATCCTCCCGGCAGCCACCCAGTAGTAGCTCCTGGTCCCATTCAACATCCCAGTACTGGTCAAGTAGCATGAGGCGTGGATCGCCGGGTATCCAACGCAGATACACCGAACGCTGGTGGTCCCCGAGAGCCCAACCAAGAGAGTCTCGCACGGACAGGTTGACTTCAGGATGCAGCGACCGGCACCGGTTGGACAAGAGCTACCGCTCGGCCCGATCCTGGTCGCCCACTACCGACTGTTCCGCTGGTCGCTCCAGCTCAGAACGAGGTTCCCTGCCTGTGGGACAAGCCCTGCTACTGGCGATGCCATCTATATTATCGGCACCGAAAGCTGTCCCATGGCCCCAAGCACAATGGCCGGCTCCATGGTATCCGTGGAACCCCTGGGGGTTCACCCAACCATCCCAGGCTGCCCAATCGGTGTGGGGAACCTCGGAGAGGCCAGCGGCCTCGGTATCCCGTCCCCCTCCAGTGCTCCATACTTTTGGGGGGGTAAGACCCCAAAGGTCCAAGAGGACCCAGTGGCGCAAGCTGCTGGACCACCAATGGATGTGGAGGTTCCCGCGGCACTGGAATCATCCTAGTCATCGCTAGACGAGGCCCCTTCACCCAGGTCCTCAGGATGATGCCAGGCTCCCTGACCACGACAGGAGGAAGGCATCGGAGAGGGAGTCCTTGCTCAGACCCTGTTGAGAACAAAACCGGTGGCATTTCCTGTTCTGTCTGGTAGCGAACAGGTCCACTTGGGGAGTCCCCACCTTTGGAAGATCATGCAGGCTACCTCTGGATGGAGCAATCACTTGTGGTAAGAGAAGAAGTCCCTGCTGAGCTGGTCTGCCAGCGCATTCCTGACACCAGGAAGGTGACAAGCTTCCAGGTGGATTTTATGGCTGATGCAGAAGTCCCACAGACGGAGCGCCTCCTGACAGAGAGCTGACGAGCATGCTCCCCCTTGCCTGTTGATGTAGAACATTGAGGCTGTGTTGTCCATCAGGACTCGTAACACCTTGCCAGACAGGTGGGGAAAGAAAACACTGCACGCCGGCTGGACTGCTTGGAGCTCTTTGACGTTTATATGTAACCATGCCTCCTCCAGAGACCTCTTCCCCTGTGTCTGAAGATTGCCGAGATGTGCCCCCCCAGCCGAAGTCGGAGGTGTCCAACACCAACTTGATGGAGTGAGGAGGGTTGTTGAACAGAAGGAATCCTTTCCAGGACTGTCCTGTGGTCAGTCCACCATCTCAGTGAGGTAAGTATCGTCTGGGGGATGGTAACAATCTTCTCCAGGGGGTCTTGGGACGGGGAATAGACTGTTGTCAGCCATTGTTGCAGGGGCCGCATCTGGAGCCTGGCATGGCAGACCACACAAGTGTATGTTGTCATGTACACCAGCAGGTGCTGGCAGACCCTGGCCCTGGCAAAGATCAAGAGAGACCAGGCGCAGGTTATCATGATCGCCCATAATCGCCTATCCATGGCCCATGAACTCCTACCCACCTCCAGGGGTACTGCTTTGGAGTCACCCAACATGGAATGGACATGAGCAAGCACTTGAAGAAGAAAAAGACAGTTACCTGTTCCGTAACTGGTGCTCTTCGAGACGTGATGCTCATGTCCATTCTATAACCTGCTGTCCTTCCCCACTGTCAGAATTTCCGGCAAGAAGGAACTGAGGGTTGGGGGAGGTGGCCGTGCCCCTTATACTGTGCCATGCGGGCACCACTCCAGGGGGCGCCAGAGCCGGTCCCCTACTGATACTGCTGATTGGAGAAACTTGTGGCACCGGTGCATGTGACGAGCACACACACCTAATATGGACTGGACATGTGCAACGCATCTCAACACCAGTTCCGGAAAAGGTAACTGTCTTTTTTTTTTTTCTCCTCCCAAATTTAGATTTTTGATCCCAATTGCTTTCCAGCAGACAAACCGCCCAGTTCCTGTTGTATACTCTCTGAACACAGAGTTTCAGCTCTGTAACAATGAGAAAGTATTTTTGATGGATCCCACGAAATCTGAAATGTCTTTGGCAGAAATGGATTACAAAGGAGCTTTTTCAAAGGGTAAGGCTTTTTCCTTCGCCTTGTTAATTTACTTTAGCTAAAGGATCCATCTGTGCAACCTCTATTACTGTGTAAGAGAAATGATGTGATATCGGAGATTTGTCTTGTCTATGTGAGCATGCTGTGTTATAGAATCATGCTACAACCCTATAAGACCATGCCTATAACTGTTGTATGATACAGTCATACCACAATATGGCACCATCTACATCGGCAACTCTAAACTCTATCATAATATTATTCCCCAGCCTGGTTAATTTGGCTGTGTAGGTGGTCTCTTTAGTCTTTCTGAATAGCTCCTCTTCCTCCCATGTATATAAATATGACTATTATTCTCTCAACCTTGTCAGGTCAAATCCTATATGGCCGTGTGCTTTGGAATCCCGAACAAAATCTAAATGCTGCCTACAAACTGCAGCTGGAAAAAGTCTATCTCTGTACTGGCAAGGATGGTTATGTGCCTTTCTTTGACCCTACTGGAACAATCTATAATGAAGGGCCACAGTATGGCTGTATTCAACCCAACAAGTACCTAAAACACAGATTTCTGCTACTGGTAGGTTGTACACTGGACAAAATTGTGACACGGAATTGTGGCAGCTGTGGAGTTGTGGGTAGTTATGTCAGGGCAGATTCTGGAACCATCTCTTTGCTAAACCGTGTGAGACTCTGTGACAGGAACACTTTGTATTTCTGATATTGCCTTTGGTCTGATAAAATTCCATGGAGAGCCAGTGAGGTTGAGCAAATCTCAAAGACACAGTTCACATCACAAAATTACTGAATTGAGATGGAGACAAAATTACTCTCTAACCCAGGTCAGGAGTGAGGCACAATGAGGCCTATTCCAGATGAGGAAAATGAGCCATTTAGCAAGCATGATAGCTGCCACATCTTAAATAGCATGTTTTAAACATCACCTCGTTTAGACCAAGGCAGTGATGTTGTAACACACTTTAGCTTGTCGTGGGTAACACTACGGTCCCTGTGTTTAGCTAACATGTTTGCGAAATGGCACCACATTTTCCTAGTGTAGACAGGCTCTGACTGGACAGGAGGGGAAGCTTTCCCAGCTGTTGTCCGCACTGTGCACATTCCGTGTATAAAACAACCTCATGTTCTGGATTGTTGATCCAGCATCTTTCATGAGCACTAAATTTGCTTTCTCTTCTTCACATACACAGTGTAACTAAAACCCAGGCTGTTTGATCCATAGCTCTCATTTTTTACTTTAGTCTGCTCAATCGCTCTCCTCAGGCCTTGGCTACACCAGGCTTTTTTGTCTCCAAGTTTGCAGCATGGCTCCCAGTGCAGGTAGACCGACAATAGCAGTGAGATCGTGGCAGCTCAGGCTAGCCACCCAAGTATGTACCCAGGGATCAGGCAGGTTTTGTAGTGGGGTTGCTAGCTTGAGCTGCTGCCCATGCTGCCACAGCCATGCTCCAGTTCTTAGCATGCTAGCTAAAGGGATCCTCCGGAGGCAGCCGTACACCTGTGTTCCTCAGTGCCAGCACTGGGGGAATCCTCCCATAGCTGGATACAAGGCCTTTAGGGCTCTTTTAGGCCACTCTAGCCCCTTTATACGGCATAAGTGGGCTGGAGCAGGGGTGAGGTTCTCACCCGTAGAGTAGACATACCTTTAGTTCTGTGTGCTTTCACTGAAATATTTGCCTACAGTGCTGTCTGTATCCTACTTTTTCTTATATGTTCCTAATGCAAGTAGCATCTTACTGCACAGCTATGTGAAAGGCAGGAGGGTGGGGGTTTTAGATCATATTAAATATAAATCCAAATCTTGTGGACGTTACCCATCTTTTCCTCACTCCTTATTCAGACACCTTTCCATTGGTCTGAGGACTAGGAAAAAGTTGAGGAACGTCCTTGTGATTTAGACCTCATTTTTAATGGAGAAAGGGTTATACAAATATATTTGTAACAACAGCCCCCTCAGCGTACAGAGGGACGTTTACCCATCAATTTAACAAAAATCCTCTTTCATTGTATGAAATAGTGACTAGTGCACACCACATGTTGAACTGTAAGTGCAGACTTTGAAATTAACATTTACCAGGGTCCTGGATGGCAGCCAGGCTACCATTCAGCAGCATAATAAAAGGTACCCTTAGTATTCTGAGTAAATTTTCATGCATCTATGTATTAGGCTGGTTACACACGGCACTGGGGTTTTTAGTTTAATAAATCTAATCTAGGAATAGTCTATTACAACAAAATATGAAATGCTGTAAATCAAATTGCAATTATAATTATTTCTTATGCTTTGAAATGCCTTTATTAAAAATTATTCTTACCTAAGTCCTAGGAGCTGGCACTTTGCACAACCACTTGCATGGACCTGGGTCTTGGGTTTGACTTTTGGCTGAGAGAGGTGGGGCATTATTCTTGGACCTGGATTCTTGCTTCCGCTCCGAGAGATCTGCAGAGGTGACATGCTTAGCCTCAGGTAGCTGTGGCTAATTTATTGAGCGCCAGACACATACCCACATGGATCTCAACACTATTAGAGCCTCTGTGTTCATTTTTATGTTTGATTGAGCAGCGCTTGAGGATGTCCTTTTCAGTGAAGTCCTCCTGAGTCTAGTTCAGCAGGGAATTGTTGGCTGTGGCTTGGTCTTTGCAGGAAGAAGGGAAGCTGAAGTAAGAAACTGGGAGAGTAGCAGAACTCTAACAGGAGCACAGAAGTCTCTCTCTGGGGAAAATAACGGCAACTGGATAATTTATGAAAAGAACTGGTTAAATTTCTCTTGGGGAAAAAACGAAAGGCAATATTAGGAACAGGGATACTTATGTCTTTGGATTAGCAACCGGAGTTAAGGAAGGAGTGTGTTTTAAGGAAGTTTGTGTCTGAGAGGATGGCCTTTAGATGCACCAGAAGAGAGCCGTGCTGGGTCAGCTTGGACGGAGGCACAAGGACATGAGTGAGAGATGCTCTTCTTGTGTTGTTTTGCTGCTTCCTATAACACATTAACCAAAAAGTCAACTTTGACAAACCTCAGTTGTCATGTAGCTGTTGATTGCCAGTTTGTTACTAATGCATATGTCACCCATAGAGTATGTTCACATTTCTTCAGTACATACTGCTTTCTGTAAATTCCAGGACCGAAACCAACCTGAAGTTACTGATAAGTACTTCCACGATGTACCTTTTGATGCCCACTTTGCCTCTGAATTGTCCGATTTCCACTTGGTGAGCAGCATGCCAGGAGTGGATGGATTTACTATGAAAGTGGATGCTCTCTACAAGGTGTGTTGCATGAGATGTACAGCACCACAAACCAAAATTTGTGATGCAAACAGTCCAAGATACTTTGTGCTTTACAGACTCTAGGCCTGACCCTGCATGTATAGAAGTCCAACACACACTAGGGCAAGCCTTGTAGTCTTATCTAATTTTCTGTGGACAAAGGCAGCACATATTTCCTAGTGCCAGAAACACTCTTCAACAATTTAGGGCCCTAATTCTATACTGGGATCCACTAGCACAAGTGTCTATCCATGCAGAGTCTCATTGAGCCCAGGTCATATTAACTTCTTTTAATGCTAATCTTCAGGGAGGAATTCCTTAGTGTTCAGTTTGCGAATGTGCTGAGCCCCTTTAACTTATTCTGAAGTCCACAGGAATTTAGAGTACTTAGCAGTTCTCCCGGGATCAAGCCACTCAGTTACAAAGGTGGAATTCCTAGAAGGTGGGTGCTGTCTCTGCATAGTTACCCAGCAAGATATGACTCAATGAGCAAGTTTAGAATATAGGTGAGATCTACATTGTCAACAGCTACCTGAAGGAAGCCATCTATCAGTGGGATTTACTGGAGCTGTATGTTAATCAATTTGAAGGTTCCTATTGACTCATTGCCCATTGATTCAGCCCCTTAGCTGTGGTGGGCTCTTGGGCAAGGAACTTGCTCTTCCCTGAGATTCATCTCAGCTCACTTTAAAATCATCATATGTTGGAACAAGAGGCATTAGATGGGAGAATTTTATAAACTGTATTAAATAAATATGCATTATTTTCCCCTTCCCCTCCCTTACACTTTTCCCACATTTTCCCACTGAACTCAATTTGGATTTAGGGCTGCCCAGCATTCTTCAGGATCAGACCCTAAATTAGACAATGAATACCGTTCAGACAAAGTTCAGCTCCCCACAAACGCCCAGACTGGATTTGTTTGTTTGACCTTTCCTAAGACAGTGCTGTATTTAGTTTTTAAAATATATTTGTAATTAAATATTTGTAATGACAGTTCTCCAAGCCATTCAGCAAAGAGTCTCTTTTAAAAGAGTTATTATTTATGAATAATTTATTAGGATTATCATAGTTATCCGAGCTGGTCAAAAACCATAAACAAATTTATAAAAACAATTTTACTGTTCTTTCAAAAATCAAAAACTGTCAAACTTTCAGAAGTTAAAAATGGAAAAAAATATGAATTTTTGGGCATCAGACAAATAATGTTGACACAAAATGTCAAAGGAAATTTTAAAAAATCCAACCAGGTATTTATTTATTTATTATTTCTAGAACTGGACAGAACATTTTAAAATGATTAACACTGAAACAAAATATTGACAAAATATTCTGGGCAATACTTGCCCCCATCTTTTGGTCACCAAAAATTGTTAATATATTGCTATTAGTCACCAAACTATGTGATAGTGTGATGACTTCCATTGTGGTCGGTGCATGGAGAACTGAATGGGGACCTCCAGAGCTAAAACCATGAGCTGCTACAGCTTGAGCTAAAGCTCCCCAAGGACTGTAACAGACCCATAATATCTGTGAAAAAGGCACAGACAGGGACCTATAATATGCACTTGTTCCTGGCTTATAGAGTAGCACTTACCTATTTCCATCTGCTATGAACAGAATTCTAGCATCACTTTAGCTAAAGTCCCAGAGTAAAGTCTCTTTTGTGTATGTGCTGTCATAAAGGTGGAAGCTGGACACCAGTGGTACCTTCAGGTGATCTATATAATTGGCCCAGAAACCATTGCAGGGCCCCGTGTTCAACGGTCTCTCACTCAGCACCTGAAACGCAGCCGCAGGGACCTGGTGGACAACAACGGCAGACTGATTCTGGATGACTCCTTGATCTATGACAATGAAGGCGACCAAGTCAAGAATGGCACCAACATGAAATCGCTGAGCCTGGAGGTGCAGGAAGCAGTCACGGCTGCTTCCTTATCACAAACAGGGGCGTCCATAGGAAGTGCTTTTGCTGCCATCATGCTGCTGCTGCTCGTGCTCCTGTTAGTTTGCTTCATAACTAGGAAATGTCGAAAGCAGAAGAAGAAGAAGAAAAAGCCTGCCAAAGACATCATGGAGGAATATCCGCTCAACACCAAGATAGAAGTACCCAAGAAAAATATAGAAAGGGCGGAGAAGAACATAAACAGACAATACTGCACTGTAAGGAATATCAATATATTAAGTGACAATGAGGGTGCCTACAAGGTCAAAGGTGCTAAGGTCAAACAAGTGAACTTAGAGGTCAAAGTTCACAACAATTTACATGATGGAACAGAAGTTTGAGAGTGCACATTTTTTTTTGTAAAAGCTTTTTATAAATTGTAAAAGAAAAAAATTAAAAATTTACTGGTATTTTTATAGTCTTGTGGAAAAGGGAAGAATATAGCTTTGAGTGGTGGACAGCAATGCATCCTCCCATGCTTCAACTCACAACTGAGCTACCTCATTCAAAGCAGGACTGTGTGACACACCCAGGGCAGAAAACATTGAAACTTTCATGTGGTATCTCTACCAACACTCAGTTCTGTTTTACGCTACACCACTTTCATAACAGCATTCCTGGCAGCCGAATATTTACGTAAGCTCTACAGTGATTCTAACAAGAACAGTTCATTGTAATGGGGTTTAATAATGCTGTAAGATGAACAGGGCAGTGCAGTATCCTTAGATCAGATGCACAGTGTTTCGCAAAGATCCTTGTAAGAGCTGGAATCTATTCAATTCCACTCTATACTGCTTTCCTTTGCTCTTCCTTTTTGCTGGAAGATGTCACGCAGAACATGACTGTTTTGGTCAAGCATACAGGCACACACAGCCATTTCTGAAACTAATGCCAGTATCTTCTCAATGGATGATCTGCATGGGAGTGAAATGCTCTTTGAGAAAATCACCGCATGCAGAGGGCCCACACATAGCAGCGGGTATCACTTAAGCCCCATGTTAAAGGGAAATTAAGTTGTGCCCAGGACCTTCTGCACTGGAGTGATTGTCACTCTCAAATGAGTGTGAATCTTCCATTGTTCTCCATCCTGAAGATTTAGGGTGAAATCCTGGCCCCCTTGAAGTCAATGGCAAAACTCCCATTGACTTCACTCTGACTCTTTGAACTACCAATCCCATCACCTGTCCTTCCAACTCAGTGAAGTCTGGAACCCAAAATCATCTCTGTTTGGTCTCCCAGTCAGTAGCAGCAGCAGCAACATAATAAGATTGAAACACCTTTCATTGAGAACCCTCCACAAAGTCAATGCAAAGAACTATTTGGAGCAGTCTAGATGAGGGGGTTGTCCACTTGGGGGTTGCAGACAGTTGGTTGTGGGCCACAGTGCCCTTCCTATATTGTTAAATGGGATGGAATCCTAGTTAAATCCCAGCTATATGGGAGGAGAGTCCTAGTACTGAAAAGAGCAAGAACCATTGATAAGGGTAAAGCAGTTGAAATGTTCTAACTTTTGTTTACAATGATCTGAGCACTTTGTACTGTAGTGTGTTACATTTTCATGGTGCTGTACCGATATTAATGAACCTCTTAGCATTATTCCAAACCTGATATTTGATTTTGGTGAGATACCAAACCTTTTCTCCCCTGACCCTCAGTCACATACAGTACAGATGGAACAGTTGCTCTATTGCATGATGCACTAGAAAATAGCGTGCACAAGCACGCCATGCCTGTTATTTATTAAACAATATTGCCTTATCTGCAGTGATTTCCGAACTCCTCAGTAACCTTTACACTCCTGGGTGCATTTTAAACTGCATGAAGTGTGGAACACACTCATCCCCCAGACTTTGAGTTCCAGCTATGTGCAAACTGGAAGTAAAGCAGCTGGTACTCACTACTGCCTGCCAATTTTAGGTTTTCCCACACCATTACAAAAACCCACAGCACAACATGTGTCCTTGTTTTTAAGAAGGTTCTCTTCATTTTAAATTTATTATTTTTTAAAATGGAGGGACAAAAAAGCCAAAACTTGTTTTGACCGCAGTAGAGCAACTGCAACTCTGGTACCTAATGATTCCATTCACACTTTATAGTAAGGTTCCATTCATAAATCATAAATTACAAATTAATAGATGTTTTAGTAAATAATAAAGGAGGTCAGTTTCATTATCCCTTTTTATGGATGGGGAAATTGAGGCACAGAGACGGGAACTGACTTGCCCAACATGACCCAGCAGACCCCAGTGGCAGAGCCAGGAATAGACTCCTGAGTCTCAGGGGACAATTCACTAGTCACTAGGCTACAAGGGTTAATCACTTGTTATAGAGGCCAAGAGTTTGCTTATAATCGTTTGACACATTCTACTGATGTGCTGATAAACATATGTATCTTATGGCTGCAACAGGCTTATAACATCACTGCTCATGTATTAACCCTTTTCAAACTATTTGTAAATGGAACATCACTATGAAGTGTGACCATGATTCCTTTAGCTGTGTCCCCCATCTCTATTATAATATTTCCTGATGTGGCACCATTTCAGGTTTGTTTCTGGTAGCTCAGGTACTTGGTTTACATACTCATACTCACACCAACGTCACACAGACATACCTAAACAATCAATATTTTGGGTTGTCAAAGAGCTGATATTACTTTTCTGGGTCTTTTAGGCATTTGGCCAGAAGGTATTTGTTTGTTTCTCCCACAGATTCAACAGCAACTGGATAATATGTGTAAATATAATATGTAATGTGCATTTTCTGAGTGGCCGTGAGATCTGATTATTCAGCTTAAATATTTACAGGGGGGTCTGTTCTCCCTGTGATGCATGCAGACTGCTCCCATCAGTGATTGTTTTAGACTGCAAGCTCTGCATGGCAAGGACTGTCTGCTTTGTGTCCTGAACAGCACCGAGTTGCTCAGTGCCTAACACCAGATATATCATAGTGTTAAATGGGAGTTTTATGCATATGTTTATGGAAGCTGAGAGGTGGAAAGTGGCAGTAAAGCCATCTGTAATAACAGAACCTGAGATCCTTCCTGTGTAATATTCACAAAACAAATACAGGAACCACCCCTGGCAGATTAATTATGACAACCTCACACTAGTGACTTGCCTATGGAAAATTAAAACGCCTGCAAAATTTGGGGTGTTCCTTCATCTCACTTTGATTGTCAGTATCCACTCTGTTAGATGTACACTTCAAATGAAAGTGGTGAAGCTTTGGATTTGTGACTTAATCATTTTATTCACAATTGTCAGCTGTATTTTATATATGTTGATCAAAGACTGTGGATGCTATTTCATTTCATTCAGATATGTTGCACCCACATAGTCTCAGCTTCTGCAATTTGCTTGTTAATGAATTATAAATCCTAGTGTACTTTTTTTTTTAAAGTATTGAAATTAGTACAAATAAAACTTTGGAAGTTCATTTTCTCTTGTGTATTATGGTGCTGTATAAATAAAAACAGAGCCAAGATGCAATGTTACAGTTCTCCATATTTGTACAATTGTTTTAACCTGATGACACTGGGGACATTATATATTTCTGCTCCTAAGAAATAATAATGTTGAGACAGGCTTATGTATGACTGCATTTTTCTGACCTTGTGTGTGCATATGTTTTGATATCCTTCAGTTTATCAAATTATTTTACTGTGCACTGCACCCCCGGTGAAGACCATCTGATATGATCTGAATATATCACTTGTTGTGCTGTCAACCTGTTTTCTTGAATCTCATTATAATGTATGTATTTTGAATATCACTCTATTTGTTATGGAGTTAATGGTTTTTTTCATGCAGTACAGCATGTCACAATACAAATTTTTTGGCTAATAAACAACATTTTGGTTACTTTTTGACACAAGCTTTCAATTTATTTAATTCTTCATGACACACATGAAGCACCTGAATCTCTCTAGTCAGTGCTTTGAAGAAAGATGTCTTAAAGTTAGACACGCATAGTGTTATCCAAAAGTTCAGTTATAGCCTAATTATTTCCCATTAAATTAGCAGTCATGTTATCGTTGTTCAGCATTAAATTTTAAAAAATTATCTCATATCTAGCTAAACTGTAAAGGCTATCAGTGTCTCCTCAATTATTTTACAACAACTATTTAGAAACAGACTTCAGGAATTTAGGTGGGGTTACTCACCTCCACAGATAACTACTTCCTTGTCCCAATCTGTGAATCCCGGATAAGACAGCCCCACTATGTCTTACTTATTCTTTTTTATTTAAAAAATTCTCAAAATTTTGTTTCCTTTTTTTTAAAATATTGAACTCTCGGATTTTTTCCCTCTGTCGTCCTTTCTTCTCTTCTCTATATTTTTATAGACTCATAGACTTTAAGGTCAGAAGGGATCATCATGATAATCTGACGTCCTGCACGTTGCAGGCCACAGAACGTCACTCCTGTTATAGACCTGTAACCTCTGGCTCAGAGGTTACTGAAGTCCTCAAATCATAGTTTAAAGACTTCAAGTTACAGAGAATCCACCATTTACACTAGTTTAAACCTGCACGTGACCCATGCCCCATGCTGCAGAGGAAGGCGAAAAACCCCCAGGGTCTCTGCCAATCTGACCCAGGGGAAAATTCCTTCCCGACCCCAAATTTGGCAATCAGTTAGACCCTGAGCATGTGGGCAAGACCCACCAGCCAGATACTTGGGAAAAAATTCTCTGTAGTAACTCAGAGCCCTCCCTATCTAGTGTCCCATCACTTTTCTTCTTTTCATTTTATTCTTTCCACAGAAAAAATATGACTGCCACTTAAAATTCCAGCCACTACACACTTATCACCATTTCCTGAAAAAGAGCTAAACTCCGCAAGTTGGGTGTAACAGGGAAATCTTAATCCTCCTCATTGAAATGAATGACTCTCCTAAGTCCCATTTCGAATCCCCTAGCCCCCACAGAAGAACTCAGTACCACAGGGAAAGAAAGAAACTTCACAAGCATTACAAATTTATAGTGCAAATTGCAGTAATGTCAGACACCTTCAAATGGCCTCTACGGGTTTTGCAGTCCTCTTAACCCGTTCTCTGAATAATTTCAACTCTCAAAATTACATAATCTATCGGTCTACTTGTGCTGATTCAAAATCTTCCAGATCCCATGGAGCTCCTAACCTTCACAATAAGAATCCTGAGTACAAGAAGCAACAGACTCTACCAGATCCTTCAATTGGCTTTTGTCACTTTAATATTCTTTTTTTATTTCTATTTAAATATTCTCAAGCCACATTAGAAGAGCCCATCAAAACCTTTCCTCTTGTAGATATTAGATCAAAACCAGTAGAAGCCCTTTGGAAACTGAGGAAATAACCACATGTGATCATGCACTGTCTGATCTCCCCTTTAGGCCGCACAAAGACTCACCTTCTGATAGACCAGTATTCCAAGAAGTGCACAAAGCAGTAGGGAGCTTCATTTCTCCCTCTGAGTTGCTTAGTTCCTTCCACGGAACAAAATAGATTCTTCCAGCTACTGAAATCAGATCAGCTGTGGAATGCTGTAAGCTGCTCCCAACTCGATAGTCTTCCCATCTCCAAATGGGGAGGAGGACTGCCTCATGCCCAACTCCTTATTCTTAGTTGAAAAAATGCCATTTGTGCCCAGTGTGGTAAATGTGCCCTCTTTCAAGTCTGTCTTTGTCTTGGAATTTTCTCAGCTCCCTTTCACAGGACAGACCATTTCTCCTTCCAAATACAAACCGCACTTTGAAGCCATTATTTTCTTTTTCTGCAAGAATGGAAGTGCAGAAAGTTGGGCTTCCTAAAACATCCACAGAATAAAAGGATGGTCAAACACCATCTCCTGCCTAGGAATTCCCGACAGGGTTGATTTTCAGCCCTGAAGCAACTCTATCCAAAGTGCATGGAGTGATGTGCGAGGCCTAACTGGACACAAAGGACCAGTCTCCAGCACCCATCAGTGTCTCCTCAGTCACATTAGAAGAGACATTTAGGCAAAGACTTGAGGAATGTACTAAGGAACTTGCTTGGAAAGGGGTTCCTTGCCCCCAGCTGAGATTCCCAGACAAGACAGAGTTTCCTCCAATGCTCCGGTAAGTCTTACTTTCTTTTCTCCCTTCTTGTGCTTGTCAAATGCTTCCGCCGGCCCACTAATTCCCTGATTTTCAATTCCTTGCCTTTCATTTCTTCTCTTACACCTATGCTTTTTTCTCTTTTCCTATTCCTTCTCTTGTCTTTCATTTCCTTCCATCCACTGCGAAACATCGACCTACCACCGTGCTATCTACCCATTCCACTCCTCACCAGCTTTTGGCTTGAGCCCTTAATTCCTACACACGTGCTGAAATCCACACTGGGAAGAGCAACCTGACTCCTCTCACACAACGACTTGCTTTCCTGGAGCTGGTTGCCAGGCTTCCAGCTTCCACAAATCTGTTCAGTGGCACAGAGAGAAAATAAAACTTTACAATCCTTTAAACAACACTAAGTTGCAGCTGGCTCCACTAGATCCTTCAACCCGCATCTGTCGGTTGAACATTCCTCCTTTCCTTCCACTTGAGTGTTGTGCAGCCTCAGAAACAAAAAGTCCATCAGCTGCTTTTCTCCTCTTGAGTTTTGATTGAAACAACTGGAAGCCCTTTTGCCAAATGTCAAAGGAAATTTCTACTTGCGATGGTGCGGCTTCCCATCCCCTTTTCACCACCATTAGCTTCTCCCGCTGATTAAAGGGGCCACACTCTTCATTCTGAGACACTTAACAAGTGCAGGAGGCAGTGGGGAGCTTCATTTCTCCCTTTCAGTTGCTTAATTCCTTCCATAGAACAGTGTAGACTCTTTCCTACACTTTAATTAGAAGATCAGTTGTGGAATGCTGCAAGCACCTCCCAACATGACGGTCTTTCAGTCTCCAAGTGGGGATGAGGAACACTGCCTCATGCCCAGCTCCTTATTCCTAGTTGGAAAAGTGCCATTTGACCTGTGTGGTAAATGTGCCCTCTTTCAAGTCTTACCTGGTCTCAATTTTCTCAGCTCGCCTCGTGGGACAGATCTTTTCTCCTTCCAAATACACACCTCACATTGAACTGAAGCCATGATTTTCTATCTCCTGCCCAGGATTGTCCAAGTGGGTTGATTTCAGCCTTAAGCAACTCCATCCAAAGTGCCTGGGCAAGTCCTAACCAGATGCGAAGGACCAATCTCCAGAACCCATCAGTGTCTCTTCAATCACTTTTAAAGAGACATTTTGGCAAAGACTTGAAGAGCTTTTATATTGACTTACTATTTTATGGCTCTTATCTCCCGCTGTAGCTCTCCCAAACCAGTTTTGGTGATTGAAGGGGCCATGTGCCTCTTTCCAAGAAGCTGATAACTGCAGGAGGCAGTGGGGAGCTTCACTTCTCCCATTGAGTTGCTTTGTTCCTTACATGGAGGTAGACATTCTGTTTCCTACACTTAAATGAAAATAGGAGCGATATAACGGTGTAAACTCTTCCAAAAATCATTGGTCTTCCAATGTATCTGAAGGGAAGGTATTAACTACTGCAGTGGGCGAAAGAGCCGCACATACTGTTTTCTGCAAATAAAAATCACTGAAAAATGCATTTTTCTTACAAATTAGCTGAATAATTTCCTCTTCACATTTTTTGGCGGGAATGAGATTTTGTTCACTAAATAGCTGGATGAGAATAAGTTAGTGCTGTTTTCTCTGTTACAATGCTTAGCTCCATTTTTAGCACAGGTTTGGTGGATTAAGTGACTCTTACTCCTCCTTATGAACTGATTAGAACTAGAAGTTGTTTCCAATCTTTAAACTCCCACAAAGCTGAATTCCACAGAGAGAGAATCCTCGAATCACTGAAATTCCAATTGCGAATTGCAGTGTCTCTATTAGCTCCCTTCTAGTGGCCTTTATTTCTTTTGCTTTCCTCTTTTCCTTTCACTTGTATGGATACAATGCTCTGCAACTTTCAAAACAGAAGCCTTCTGCACTGGCACAGTTGGTGTCCAACTAGAACACATATTAGCCATTTCTAGATTTCAAGTAATATATTCTCTGTAATAATGCAGCCTTCCATCTCTCCTTCTAGCTGTCACAATTCTCTCCTGGTGGTTGCAGGTACTGCACTGAACACAGAAAATGCCAGATTTTCAAAATAGCTCTAGGTTAGATTTTCAGTTTCTCAAGATGCATAATTGGGGCCACATTTTCAAAAGTGCTTCGCCCGGATTAGTTCCTAGCGTGATACCTTTGGTCATACATTTAAAAGAGCTCAGGAGTCATTTGCAGATATATTTTGTAAATCTGGTCTTCTAGTTTTCACACAAAATGTGAGCTAAACACTTTTGCAAATCTGGTCTCAAGATACTAAAATCTGCAGAAGGAATTGTCAAGCTTCATCTCCCTTTGCGCTAATAAGTTCCTCATAATGAGGGAGACAGACTTTTTGTATTTATGAAAAGAGGATCTCAGCGGGGGGATTGTGGAAAAAGCTCTAACAATTATTAACTACCCAGGTCTCTATAAGGAAGAGGTTCATTGTCTCTTTTCCATCTCCTCCAAACTGAGGGGTTAAAAGTCCTCACCAGATTTTGGGTCAAACATTATAAATATTTTGTAAATTTAGGTAACTTATGAATGTTTTATTGAAAATCAGCAATCTTGTGATGTGAATGAGAACCACTGCACCCTCATCAGGTATGAAACTATTATCTGAGCAGGTCTCATGACAATTTCTAGACTGAACTGATGGCCTCTTTGATGAATTGACTCACCCTGGAACTGTACACATACAAAACCTCACAGTATCACAAAAGTGCTTGAAGTCAACAGTGCCAGGACCCATAAGAAAAATCTCATTAAACTGCTATTTTGATC